CCCGGATAGGCGCGTCCAAATACGGGACTCGGCATCCCGACGGCGGAAGGTGGACAGCCATGTGCAGCGCCAAGGGCCATCATCATCGGCCACCGACGACACCCACTCTGGTACTCTCGCACCCTATGAAGCGGGAGGCGCACGCGTCAAGGACGTGCGATAAGGCGGGCTTGGCCGTCAGTCACACAAAGTCACGTCCTCCTTCTCGAACTCGATAGCAGCTCCGCACACTACACTGTCACTCTGCAAAGTGCACAAGCAAGCTGCACAAACAGTCTCACGGGGGGAATGGCGGACTGTGGGCAGCGCTACGGTGGGCTCGTCGTTCGCGGCAAGGAAAAACAAGCGTTTGCCCAGACCAGCCACCACGCGGTGTCGAAATTGTCTTGTTCCGTTGAGTTCGTTGGGTTCGTCCATACAGAAAAGACAGAGACAAGAGAGGGAGGGTGGAGTGGGTGTCTCCTGGGTGGTCTCCGTACATGAAAGCCGGTACCCCAGGGCAAAATTGCCATTGGTGGAACATTGAAGTTGGGGGTTTCTCCGCCCGTTCAGACGCCGGCCCCCCTTCTCCATGTGTAAGCTAAAGCTAAGCTGAGCTAGGCTCAAGCTAGCATCCCCCCCCCTCCCTCCCTCGCCCTTTCGCGGACTCTTGCAAGGATGTCAAAAGGTTGGGGGTCTCTGGGGAAGAAGAGGCGGGCACGGCGGGCCACGCGCGGCACGGCGCCAAGAGATTTCCTCAGTCGCCGCATTCCTTGGTTTGTCTTGTCCCGCTGGACGACACAACGGATAAGAAGAGGGAATGGTTTATGAAAGGCTTTGAAGACTAATAGAAGCACTTGCTGGTATGAAGAATATCACATTTAAGCAATGTTTGTTTCCCCCCTCCCACCCGGCGGTGAAGATGGCCTCGGCAAGACGAAAACATAGGCAAACAGCGGTACGGATATCTCACTGTGTGTTCGGTGTGCAGGAAAACAACCCAGCCAAACTCCCATGTCCCCCCCATCTCCACTCCCCCGGAACCAGTTGAGCGCTAGGCCGGGCCTCGACAATTATGGGGAAAGATGCCCGCCGGCCAACCCAATCCCTCCTCTCGGTTGGTTTCTCTTCGTCTTTTTTTCGCCATCTAGCGCAGCCGGCCAGCCCAGCCGCCTTCGTCGACCAGCATCCTTTGCGGATAGTCAGACCGGGGAATGAGGGGGACCGGGGGGTGTGAGATGAGGGGATTTGGGGGAATAGATTGGGGGGGGGGGGAACCTACTACTCTTTTGGCTTTCTTGCGGGGATCCTATCTGAACGGCTAGGTTAGTTACTTTTGATGAGAGAACCAGGTATGGCGTGCCTTTGATGATAAACCTTTTAAAGACAACCTCCCATCTCTTCCCTTCTTCCTTGGCTGAACGAGAACTCTCCCTCTTCCCTCGTTGGCTCTTCACCTCTCTGCCGGAGTTGCTTGCACCAATCTGTCGCTACTCAACCCTCATCTCTCATAGGTGTTTTCCATCTTTCTAGCAAGTCACAAAACAAGGAGCTCCGTCAAGATGGGTCTTCCCACCGGCAAAAGAGTGTACAACTGGTACATCTCCCTGATGGCGGCCATGTGTATGGTCCTCTACGGGTATGATGCCTCCGTCTTCAACTCCCTCCAGGGCTCAGCCAACTGGCTCGCCTGGGTCGACGTCGACGCCAAGAAGGACACCCAGCTCATCGGCCTCGTCAACACCGCCTACACCATCGGCGCCATCGTCGCCGGTTTCTTCATCGGCGGTCCTACCGTAAGCAACCTCTCTCTTTCTCCTCTTGGAGCATCTCGTACCCAAACCAGTAGGAGTCCGGGCTAATTAAATCTACGGAACAGGCCGACTACCTCGGACGTCGCTGGGGCATGGCCATTGGCTGCTTCGTGACCATCATCGCGACGCTCATGCAGACATTCACCCCCCACCACAAGCTCGGCGTCTTCATCGCCGGCCGTGTCGTGATCGGTCTCGGCCAGGGTATGGCTCTCACCGCCGGCCCCGTCTACATCGGCGAGGTCGCCCCCTCCGAGATTCGTGGCCACATCATGGCCTGCTGGCAAATGTTCTACTCTGTCGGCTCCTTCATCGCCTACTGGATCAACGTATGCTCTCCCCCCCCTCCTCCTCCCCCCGCTCCCCTTCACAGATCATCATATCTGACTGCCCTCACAATAGTACGCCTGCTCCAAGCGCCGCGCCCAGCTCGGCGAGTGGGACTGGAAGATGGTCGTCATCTTCCAAATGCTCGTCCCCATCATCATCATCATCGCCCTCCCCTTCCAACCCGAGTCCCCGCGCTGGCACATTCAAAAGAATGGCAACGTCGAGGCCGCCCGCGCCGCCCTCATGCGCATCCGCGACACCGAGGAGGAAGTCGAGCAGGAGCTCCTCCAGATCCGCGAGGCCATCGAGTACGAAAAGGAGGCCATCAGCAGCAGCTACACCGCCCTCTTCAAGGACCCTTCCATCCGCAAGCGCCTCTACCTCGCCTTCGCCCTCAACGTCGGCCAGCAGCTCACCGGCCAGGGCACCCTCAACTCCTACTCCACCTCCATCTACAAAAAGGTCTGGCCCTCTACCGACACCATCAACCTCATCAACGCGCTCAACGCCACCATGGGTATCTTCTTCACCCTCAACGCCATGTGGACGGCCGACCGCTTCGGTCGCCGCTGGCTGTTCCTCGTCGGTGCGGCCGGTATGGCCATGTGCATGCTCATCGTCCCCATCGTCGGCATGAAGACCCCCACCGCCGCGGACGGAACAAAGAGCGAACCCGTCGGCATCGCCATTGTCTTTTTGCTATTCCTCTGTACGTTCTCTCTCTCCCGACAAGACAAAACAAGCCTCCCCCCTCATTTTCCCGTTCTCTCCGCTGACATATACCTCCAGTCATCTTCTTCTACAAACCAACATGGGGCGCAACAACCTGGATGTGGACCGCCGAAATCTTTTCCGTAAACGTCCGCGCCCAGGCCGTGGGCATGTGCTCCCAGATGCAAAACGTCGCAAACACAATCTTCCAACAATTCTTCCCCACCTTCCTCGCCAACGAAGGGCTCAACTGCCTCTTCTTCTTCATGGCCACCAACATTGTCCTCGGCATCTTTGTCTACTTCTTCATCCCCGAGACCAAGCAGATCCCGCTCGAGGAGATGGACCAGCTGTTTGGCGGCGCCAACCACACGGAAAAGGGCGCGCAGATGCTCGGTGTTGAGCCCGAGGAGTCAGGCGGCCACCACAACCACCACAATCACTCTGCTCTGGACAACAAGGAGGGTGCTGAGATTCAGCAGTCTGAGAGGAAGGAGGATGTGTAGATGGGGGAAACGTGACTTTGATCGAATTTGGAGAGAGGGAGTAATGAGTAATGCAGATTGATGTGTACTAGTATCAGAGAACTGCGGATGGGCCGAACAAGGGCCCAAATCCCATCGCGTTATACCCTAGATTGCGGAATTGAAGCTGTCATGACAAATAATCTGACTTTTGAATGTGTGGATCGACTGTCAAGTGTGATTGACTAGTATGGAGTGTTTAGGGGGGCGAGGTATAACAATATAGGAAGAAAAGTCAGAATGTCTTCACATGTTTGTGGAAGCTATGGTCGTTCTTGTGAGTGAAGTCGAATCCCACATCACAACCATTACGTTGTACTCTGCGCCCAGCACACTTGACTATATGTAGTTTTAGAGCGACGGAGAGCCCAGAGCCTTTTCTTCTGCATGCCGGTATCACTCTCCGTATTCCAGATGAAATACGAGAGGAGCAAAGATGGGTGAAGAGAGCGAGCGTGGTATGGATCCAAGTAGGAAAGTTAGACCGGACTCAGTGTATATTTGCGTTGAGGATATGTTGTGGGTGCCAAGGAACGGCACAGTGAGGACGAGACAGAAATCGAGTATGATGCTACGAGGACATTCTTATCACGAGAACAAGGCATCAAAGCTTGCTACTACAAAGACGGTGATCACAACAAAGACCATTGGTATAATCCTATTAAAGGCATCAACAATGAGACTCACCAACGTCTTAAATCTATGGCCAAGGTGGATGGCTACCGCCTTGAGCAGAGACCACAAGTCAGCCATATAGAAGACAGAGATAAGACTTTGGTGAATTATAATCATGAAATGGCCAGATGCGAAAGAAACGAATTTCAAAGGAGTCGCCAATTCAATTACAGAAATAAGTCAAAATTGAAACACGACTGAGTATCTACGCCTAGGATACCCAATATCACTGGAATTCCATGTTATGTAATATTTCGAATTCTCTGAATCCAGTCAACAAAATCGTTAGCACTCGGCATCTGGAGTTCAAACCGGTGCGCATCTCCTTTATAAATGGTCCAACATTTCATCAGCTGACAAATAAGTGTATGATAAGTCGAGCTCAACTAGCTCTTTTACTTCAAATCTACAGCGACAGTGTTGTCCAAGATGTAAGGGGCACTCAAAAATGTTGATGTCGTAAAGGTAGAGCCATGCTAGTCATTTTTTCTGATTCCGGTTCCAACCTCGATACTAACACTCTTCCAACCAGCCTCTTTCTAATCATCATCAGTGCTATCGCCCGTCTCCATATGTTTCTCAATACCCAAGCGTTTCAGTCGCCTTGATACTGAACATCCACCAGAGGCCCCACAGAGGAGGTCGAGATCGGGGGAGGATCAAGGAGAGGATGAGACCGTGTACAAGGGCAACCGACAGCCCATAACGCCACAACAACATATTATGTACACCAAGCGGCAATCAGGGCAACGCACTAAAGAAGCATCTAGACGAACACGGCTTGAAATGACTAAAGAAGAACTTGCACGTCACGAGGTTCAACTATACTTGATCACACTGGTGTGTAGAAGACATTTTTAAAGGCAGCACCATCTCTACGAGCTAAGAATACAAAAGTGCTCCTCCAGCCAAGGTACCCATATTAGGTATTGTAAACGACCCTTCAACAAAGCCTACGTATTATGGCTCACATTGGCGGACCCTGTTCGGGAGGCCCAGGCATCATCTGCCCTGCTCCATCGCCGACCCATCTGTACTGCATCATTGGTTGCCCCGGGAGCTGATGCTGCATCATGCCTGGCATCGGCACCTGTGGTGACGCCATGAGGGCTTGAGGATGAGGATGAGGTGGATAAGATGGATGTTGAGCATGCTGAGGGTGTTGACCATGCGGTGGCGAGTGGCCATGAGGTATGGGCGAAGACTGTTGATGTAGGTGGTAAAGTGGCTGTTGTTGCTGCTGCTGCTGCTGCTGCTGCGATTGACTAGGCGATTGCTGATGCTGCTGTGGCGGTTGCTGGTGTTGTTGAGGCAGCTGTCCTTGCTCTCTCATCTGCCGACGCACTTGAAGCCATGAGAACAACTCCGATGATATCGTTTCAAAGTTAGTCTTCAGCTGTGATGCAATATCCCATCGCTGGGAGTATCTTCCGAGTGTTTCCACAACCTGCTGCAAGCATCGCATACTTCTGTCCAAACTGTCCTCGCCGCCAGCCGGTCGGTGCGGTAAGGGTGGCGGGGGAGCGGTGCCTGGACGAGTGATGGGTGGAATGATTCTTTGCTCCGAGATTAGCAGCTCGCGCGCGGCGTTGAAGCTGGTGAAGAACTGCATCGCCACAAAGTAGACTTTGAGAGCGTCAAGGGAGGAGTAGAAGGCCGTATTGATGGAGCTGTGGACGACGTTGTGGATTGTGTTCATGTATGCGATGGCGTGTTCAAAAATTAGTTTGCGGGCGTAATTAGTCAGGTGTGGCGAGCGATCGCTAGGCGCAAGGCAGTAGATGTAGCTGTATCTCAGCTCGAGCTCGAAGAACTCGCGGATGCCCGAGGGGAGATTGTCAGGCAGGGACTCATGCCACTCTCTCATCTCCAGGCACATCTGCCATATGAAAGAGGCGGCGTCTGAAAGCGGCGCCGCGTCTCCCTGGTGGAGCGTTTGATACCATTCAGATTGTAGTCGACGAAGCTGGAATAATACCAAGGCCGAGTCTGCTGATTGGGGGCCAGTAATCGGCCCCGAAGTCAAGCCAGAGTTGCTGGGATACTCGACGTTGATCGAGTCATCAGTGAATGAAAAGGATCTGGCGCGAATCATGCTGATTGTCCTATCCATTTTGTTAGAAACTCTGTACCTGGGGTATGTATATCCCGGGCTTGACGGGCTTACCGGTCGAGTGCGTAAACACAGTAAAACATTTTCCTCCGGAGGTCAAGAGCAGCCTTGTCTGGGACCTGAAGTTGAGGCGGATCTTGATGAAATCCCAAGTCCACCACGGCGCGACTCGCGAATCCGATTAAATACCAGCTGTCAAAATGGCCTGGGTCAAGCATTGAGTATTGCGTGAAGAGGATGAGCGACTGGATCTGACTGGGATACCCAGGCATCAGCGCTTTATCGGCGAAAGGCAGAGCGCGAGCAACAAAGTCGAGACCGCGCCGAATGTAGTCGTCGTTTTTGTCTCTGCTCTGGGCCGTGTATCCGATAGCGAGAACCATGTACAACAGCCAGAAGTCAGCGTCCTTGAGCCTGTCCTTGACTCTTTCGTCTTGCTGATAGACATCATCCAAGACGGTGAGCAGGTGAGTTTCCGAGAAGGACGGAAAAAGCGAGTAAATGTTGGCCATGTAATACTGAATAGTGGCAAAGGCCTCGGCTCTGGTTGGGAAACTGTCTTCAGCCGGATCCGGTACCTCATCGTTAGTTGCGGCAGCCAGCACCAAGCGAGCGAACGTCATGCCGCTCACAGATGGCTCAAAGTCGCGGGTCGTTGCGTTGACAGATCTGGCAAACGTTAGCACGTACAATGCAGCGGTAGACCAATGGGCGAATTTACAGGAAGCCAAAGTCAGATACAAGTGCGTTGACATCCGAGTCCTCCCTCTTACGGGCAGCCTTACGGTGAATAGCGGCTCGGATGTTGGCCAGAGAATCCTTACGGTCAGCAGGAGCCGCCGTCGCTTCGTCGATATCATGGAGATTAACCGACGCCTTGCGCGATCTGGCAAAAGCCAACCGCTTCTCCAGCTTTTCGACTCTGAGCTCTAAAGCCGCTACATAACTGAGTCTCTGTTAATCTCAAAATCGCTGAGTGTCTCGTCATAGGTCGATATACCTTCTCTCCTTGCCCCTGGCAAACTGGTCATTGGCGGAGGAACACTCATTCTCACGGCCTGCCTTCTCACAGGCAGTACAGGCTGGAAGCTTTCCATCACACTAAGGCAGCCAAGCAAGCATTAGCAAACGCCCGCCAGATCCATCAGGCTGAGCAGCGGGGGAAGAGGATAGATACCTTGACTTTTGCAGCTCGACCTGTGGGGCACGATTAGCCTCGCATGAGCAAAAGCAGTCAGCCGCAACCATGACAACTCACATCGCGAGCAGGCCGAGACAGGCCGCGATACCCGCAGCAGGGGGTTATCTGAGAAACTAGATCGCGGCATTGGGTGCGATGGAGGATGCGACGGGGGAACGAGGTGCCGTGCCTCGAGGCCGCGCTATCGTAAAGCTTTTGAGTTCGAGGACGAATCGTGAGGGATTCACGACGGAGGAGCAGAGCTTGATGATTGGGTTAATGAAACGGAGACGATGGGCCGGGCGATCTGCAGGGCTCTCTTAAAGGGTATGCAATCCGTCGGATAGGACGATTCAAAAATGGATTGAAAGTGAATATGGTGGTAGACCTCTGCCGAAAGTGATGTGAAGCTGAGATTGAGGTCAGGCAGAGTTGGCTGTAAAGCCGGATCGTCGTGGACGGAACTCTGGAGGGAGTCCGGGATCCGGATAACGCTGCAGGGACTGGCGCACGTAAGAGAACAGATCGTCCTAAGCGCGGTATCGCGTGTAGCAGGTAGCGCGTCGGCTGTCGGAAAGTTGGGAGTCAAGCGAAGATTCAGCTGGATGCGAGAGGTCAAAAGGGCCGCAGCGATGATGCGTATGATCAGGAAGACCAAACCGCCGATCTGCGATGCGGAAGTGCAGCGGAGCCGAGGGCGCGATGAAGCCACGAGTATCCGTAGAGTATCCGTATCCGTAGTAGGTATCTGTAAAGAGAACAAGGTCCGGGGCAACTGTCCCAGACGAGGCGGTGCGCGAGTCGTTCACGGCCTCCCCCTTGCTGTTGCTACCGCAGTATCCGTCAGAGGCCTGTCGATGCTTGGTGCTTGGTGCTTGCTTGCTTGCTTGCGTGCTTGCGTCGTGCTTGCGCTGGAGGGCGAGGCAGGGCAAGGCCAGGCAAGGCAAGGCAAGGGAAGCGCAAGGCCAGGGCCGACGAGGCAGGCCGCAGGACAAGGCCGGGGAGGGCAGAAGTCGACCTGGACGGTTTGGGGGGGGGGGGGTTTCGTTCGTATTACGCGGGGGCGGGCGGTGGTTGTGACTTGATGCTGCGACTTGATGCTGCCACCGGGCGCATGATCCAACGGCGGCGTAATCTGTGGGGGTCTTTTACTGACTACTGTGTACAGACAGAGATCGGCGGCACAGTTGACACGGTCTTTCCCCTCTCTTGTGCGACCGACGCCGACTGAAGGGTCGACGGTTACCCCGCCTGTGCTCCGTTTCCGTGACCTGACGAAGCTGAGGTGCTGGTGGCCCTGCCCTGAGGTGGGAGGCGGGCCACCACAAGCTGGGCCTGAAGGCTGAAGTACAGAGTACAGAGTACCTACCTACCTTACCTACTACAAGCCACCCCTGAACCCTGACTGCCCTCTTTGCCAGATAAAGTCCGTCCGGCCCCCCCCCTCCCCCCCCCTTCCCCTGGGCAGTCGCTGGCAGCTGCTTGTCGATGTATATTGGGCTTGGAAAGCTTCCAGGGTTCTCTGCAGCTTTATTTTTTTATACGGGGGGACAGGCTGTCGTCGGGGCCCCCGATCGCGACGAGGATTGACGATTCAACGTGCCAATGACCCAATTTGGAACCGGCAGATGCAATTTTCTGGAACAAAAATAGAAGGCTAACCACGAGTCCGACGATCCGCGAACGAGAGGAGAAGCCCAGGGCCGCCAAGGGCCGAGGGGTGACAGACCGGGGGCCGGCAGACCGAGAGAGCGGCCGTCCGCCGTCGTAGCGATAAGGTTCTGCTTGGATCCGTCTCACATCCATTACCGTAGACGTCTGCACGGAGTAGACATCGACAACTTACCACGGTATTCTACCTACTACGTACAGCGCCAGCCGGGCTCGACCCTGACCTTGAGTGTCTATTTGTGGCCAGGGGTACATGTCAGGTCTTTCAGGTCTTTGTAGAATACGGATAACATGTTACCAGATTCCGATGTATTCCAAGCCGTGATAGGTGAGTGACTGCAGACAGCAGAGGAAAAGCTAGAGGCGTTTTTGATGGCACGAGTATCTCGCCGGCCCCATGCCTCTTCCACCACCAGATGGATGGCTTGCCGGCAATGGCGGCCCAGAGCAACGCACGGCTTTTCCGAAATCAATGTTTTGTTTTTGGTTTTTTGGTTTTTTTTTTTTTTGAAGCTCGTGTCTTCGTCCTTCGGCCGCGCCGTCCTATCCTTGTGAGGGGTTTAATCGATCTAGGCTGGCCGGCCTGTCGACAGAAGAATCAAGATGAGAGCCAAGACGACGCTGACAGCGAGCACCATGCGTTACGATAGTGAATTGCGTTTTGGCTTGCTGTGGTCTGCCAAGCACGCAAGGTGCACATCGCCGAATCGGGCATAGCGGACACTCGCAACACGGGATGAACAGACGGAGACGTGGATCTGGCGATGAGATGAGGTGATGATTATGGAAGCTCAAGCCCAGCAGCCCTGTATTGCGCATTGGCTGGCGATATACCCATCAGCCGGAGAGAAATTATAATTTCAAAAAAGACAATTCGGATAGGCGGAAGGAGGGGGCGGTGGTTGACTCGGAAGAAGCAGCCAACGCCCTCTAGTCGTCGCAATGGGCGTGTCCAGACCGAAATGCCACTTCTGACCGACAGGTCCTGTCCTGTGGGATGACGGTCAAGACAGTTGACAGTTGTTTTGCTGCAGGTCCGGACTGAGACAAAACCAATTGAGCGGCGCCAATAGGCATGCGTGATAGTGCAAGCCATGGTGCGAGTTCCCTTCGCAAATGGGAGAGAGAGCGAGAGGGAGAGGGAGAGGGGGAGAGACACTGGAAAAGTGCCGTGTCTGTCTGTAGTGCGCACTGGTGCTTGGATTTCCCCCACTTGTTGGAGGGGTCTATGAAAAATGTCATCTCATGCAGGGCACGCCGTTGTTTCCGTCCCACAAGGCGTTATTGATTTGGACGACCGGTGTTTACTTTTTTGAAAATTTTCTGTCACTTTTTCCTTTTTTTTTCTCTCTCACTCTTCCCTGTGAACCTTCTTCTTCAATATGTCGATCTCGTGAGAAATACTGCGAGGTTTGAAGCGCGGTGTTGGAAAAGTAGCATTGGTGATTCAATGACACGATGAAGGCAGGAGCGGGATCCGAGGACGGAGGTACCTCGTAGCGCATCTGTACACCAAGTCAGGTTTGACTCCAAGGTCGACAGAGAAATCGGCAAAGCCTAGATGCCAGTTCCCATATGGCAAGGGCCGTGAGTGCTAGTGTAGCCGAATCAAGGGTTCAGTCCAGAAAAGGCTCGTTGAGCGTCGGGAATCCTTCGAAATCAAGATTAGGGCGGGGTAGGAGGGACAGAGCCGCGAATGCATGCAGCTGCCAGCGGCCAACATTGGGCGGCGGCCGCGGGCAAATAGACGGTGTGGTGAAGAAGTGTCAGGTACTCTATATTTTGTCTGGAGACTGCGGTGGAAAACAGGATGGGAGGGAGGCCAGTGTTTGAAGGCGGTTAGTCATGCATCCGTCATTTCCTCTGGGGCATCTATTCTTGGCGGATGCGCGGGCGCTCTCATGGATCTCATGGATCTCATGGATCCATGGGTTCATCGTATCTCTGTATCCGTACGGCGTCTCCCCTGAGGCTCAAGCCTGATGGCCGTTGCTCTCGTTCATGTCATGTCATGTATTCGACGTCTGAGGTAGGTAATTGTCGGTCGCATGTGACTTGGGGAGATGGGATTGGGCCTGGGGGGAGCAAGGGACGGGACGGCGAGGTAGAAATGCTACCGGGTCGGTGTTCCGTCAGACCGGCGGTGATGGCACTCGAGTTCGATGAGGAAAGTTGAGATGGGAATGTGAGAACAGGGTGAGTCGTGGACGGGATGCCATTGGTGCCATCGGTGCCAGTAGCAGCCTTTGGTACGGCAGAAGGGGGGACCTGGGCTGCCTGGCACGCCTGGGAAGGATCAGCTGCATGTCTCTCACTCGCTCTTGCACACACTTTACAGTTTGAGTCTTTAACTTCCAGGTTCTACGTTTCGCAGGCACGGCACGAGAGTGGTTGGAGATGTGGTGGGTCTTGGAGTGGACACTGCGGCGAATCAGATGATCAGACTTTTGGGGGAGATGATCATGGAAGCAGGAAGGAAGGAAAGTATGGGGCAATGCTGACCTCTAAATGGCAGGGGAGGGCCTAGGGCCCAGGGTCCCAGGACGCAGGAGGTGGAAGGACAGGAGGCAGGACCTCGAGCATCCAATGATCCAAGCACCTCTACTTTACTTGGAAGGCTGTGTTTTGACTTTGGCATCTGGAGGAGCTACGACCAGAGGCATGATGAAATTGCAGGAATGCGCATTTGGACATTAGTCAGCCACAGACGACCATCTACCTGAGGTATACAGGTATACCTATACCTATACCTATACCTAAACCTACCTATGTTTATTACACACTTTCTCACATTGAATAAGGTAGGGCACATGAAATACGCGGACACATATATACACACATACACAGAGGGAAGGGGAGAAAGCCAGACAGAGGCAGACAGACGTCCAGGTTTCCCATCTCCCAACCGGGGATTTGTCTGTCAGTCAATACTCCGTACAGGCACTCAATAGCCGCTCCCCATGTGTGCCGTGTCTGCTGCCCGCCTTCATATCTCGCCCTGCCTCTCACCCACTTGGCTTGAGCCTGTTCAAACCTCGCGGACCCCAAATCCATGGCTCCAAGCCAGGTAGGGCTGGCTGGCTTGGAGACGAGGACACATTGTCCCGTCTGCTACACGACGTGCCAGATTCGTGGGCGACTGTAAGGATCTGTATCCGTATCCACGCCCATGGATGATGCCGCCGTGATTAAGGTACCCCAAGGCATACTGTCGACTGTCCACCAATATCCAAGACCTTGTCCGCGGCCCACGCGATACTCCCTCCTCAGTCTCCACGGAATGGATCCTGGATCCCGCCCACCTACCGCGCGCCCACCCCCATTGCAACTGTGACGAGTTCTTGGAGGCTTCGTCCCGTTGCCATACACACACTCACGCACGCTCTCTGATTTCAGTCTCTTCCTCTATTCCTCTATCCCTCTAGTGTCCCCGAGTCCATGGCGTGACGGAAGACGGAAGACGGAAGCAGCGTAGCAACCCAGGTACGGATGGATACCTTGCTGCAATTGTCGTCCCTTCTTACCGCAGCTCTGCTAAGGTCCCCACCGCAATGGTTCTGAAACGCCCCTACCGACACCTGGTACCCGCGAACCTTGACCGTCGTGGCGTCGCCCTGGCCGATTCCTCTGATTAGCGAATGAACAGCCGAGACCTTGCTACCTGGAAGTGGGCTCGCATCTGTCATCCAGCTCCCGCCTCAGCAGGTACCTAGGTACCCTCCGTGCCTCCCACTCTCTACCTCGGCAGTACATCCCCCTTGGCCGTGGGCTACACGCGTCAGCCATGTCCCTTTTCCTCCCCTCCTCTCCCTGCCCTGCCGGACCACCGCCCCTGCCCACAGGTACCGAGCACGACAGCGAGACGCCGCCGTAACTGGCCACACCACGCTTTCAACCCATTTGCTCTGCGGATCTGCGGGCGGACTATCGACTAGGTAGACGGCAACTCTGTACTCTGCAATCTGCACTTTGTCACCTTTTTCGGTGCAGTAGCAACACCTTCAATTGTGGACCTCTTTCTTGTCTCTTCACTTCGCCGTCTCCTCTTGTACGCACTTGGTACCCGTCTCTACCCAGCCCGACCTTCACCACGTCCGAGTCCACAACACACGCGACTGGCGACACAAGAGGCCCCTCTCTCTTCGCGATACCCTCGACTTGCCATCGAATCCCCCTTCAGCCAAACCATGAGACATTCTGTCCGCCCTTGCGCTCGACCGATCCCTTCGCCCACATACGCCTCCGCCCCGTATATCAACCGCTTCGACCTACACAACCCCCAACAGCCAGCCACTACCGCCCTTGCCGGCTCTTCCTAGGCGTCCTCAGTGAGGCAACGGCACAGCATCGTCTGTTGGACAAGGTGCCTTTGATATCCTCGCTCTGACACACGTCGACTGGGCCACTAGCCTCAGTCCCTAACTCGCCCCATGGACGTCGCAGCCGTCTTCCGCCATGGCGCAGGCAACATGATGCCACGAAACCCGCCATACCATCACCACCCGCCTCCCAACGCCCCTCCGCAACTCTACCCGGGTCCTTCCCACGCTCCTCCTGCCGGTCGCGAAGATCCAGAGAGTGACGGTCCCTCCAATCGCATTGCCCACACTCTGACAGCTTGCTGTCGCTGTCGCCAGGTACGTCGGAGCCTTTTCTCGTAGACCCAGCGCCTCCCGAGCTCCCGAGAAGTGACAAGTGATGTATTGTGTTCTCCGTAGACCACGACTGACTTGTTCGACTTTGTAGCGTAAAACCAGATGCGATCCCACCTTGCCGCGTTGTCTGCCGTGCGAACGCGCCGGCTCGGTTTGCGAATACTATGACACCACCAAGGGGAAGAAAATCAATCGTAACTATGTCATTAAGCTGCAAGAAAAGGTGCGCGCTCTCGAGGCCGAGCTGCGCCAGTACACCGACGACGACAGCGAGTTCTCCCACCTCGACGAGGACATCGTGCGCCCCGGTGGCCTGGTTCGCCTCAACGACACCGACGAGACCCCGCGCTACCTGGGTCCGAGTAGCGGCATCGCAATGACACGCTTGCTGGTCCAGGGCGCCAAGCTCTTTACCGATTCCAAGCGAATATCAGAGTTGATCCCCGAAGTTCGTGCGCGGAGGATGACGCGCATGCAGTCCATCGTCATGACGAGAGACCGGAAGAAGAGCTATCCCATGATCAGCGCCCACCCCGCCCAGCACCTGCCAACCAGGCCCATCGCCAACAAGCTCGTGGACGTCTTTTGCCAGCGATGTACGTGCCGAGTGCCCCTTTCCCGTTCTCGACGTATGCCTCGACTGACCTCTTTTGAACAGCCCAAGTATTTTGGCCAACGTTGCACGAGAAACTATTCCTGGATGATCTCGAGGCGGTGTACGCCGGAGACCCAGACCCCTACAAGAACCTCATCGTCCGCATGGTGTTTGCCATCTCGTTGCAGAAAATGGATCCGCAGTATGCCGGTCTGGCTGACAGCTACTACTTGGCGGCTATGGAACACTTTGAGCAAGTGTCCCGGCCAAAGGACCTCAAGTCTCTGCAGAGTTTAGCACTCATCGGCCAATATTCTCTCCTTACCCCCACGAGGACTGCCGTATACTACATGGTTGGCATGGCCACGCGCGTTTGCCAAGCAGAGGGCCTGACCGACGAGAAGACCATATCCGCCGGGATCGCCTTGGATCCCTTGACCCTGGACATGCGCCGTCGTCTTGCCTACATCATCACTTCCATGGAAGCAGGCCTGGCACACAGCATGGGCCGACCCAACGGATTCTCCAAAGCTGACGACCGGATGGATGTGGAGCCTTTTGCGACAGTCGACGATGAGTACATCACGGCCGACGGCATTGGCCAGGGGCCTCCAAGCGAGAACAAGCTGGTGGCTTTGCATTTCTTCAAGATGCGCATGGAGCAGGCCGAGATCAGGAGAGTGCTCTACGAGAAGAAGCGCGACGAGCCCAGGGATGAGAGCCACCCCTGGTTTGCCAAGATGGAGAGAGATATCCAGAACTGGATTGACTCTTCACCTCAAAATCCTGCTTGGTGTAGGCCATGGTGTGTACTGCCCCGCCCTCCTCCGTTCCTAGACTTTTCTGACTGATCGCTTGCAGGTTCACCGGACGCTATCACCAGATGCGCATTTTCCTCTATCGGCCATCACCACAAGTACCCAAGCCGTCTCCACGGGCTGCGGGCATCTGCTTTGAAGGCGCGTCGTACATTATCAACTTGTCAAAGCAGCAGATGGAAAAGGCAGCAGTCGACATCACTTGGGTGTTCCTCCTCAACCTCTACATGTCTCTCAACACGCTGCTCTGGACAGTCTCGTATCCCGAGATCCGACAGGCTCACCACCGAGACGAGGTGGAAGAGTTGAGTGATCAGACTCTGGACATCCTGGAGCAATGCACTGAGCGTTGGCCAGGAACCGCTCAGGCTGTGCAACTCTACTCCATCTTTGCCAAGGCATGCCTTCAGAGCTATGATGCCAGAGATACCCCTATTCTGCAACCATCCAGCACTTTCACGACCCCGCCTTCTCTCTTTGACGGCAACTCTCCTCAGGGCTCCGACGTGTCGGCCTCAACAGCGCCAGGCGGCGGGCCGACATTCAAGGTTAACCCGCCTCACAACCCGCCGCAGTTCGGCTTCGTTTTTGACGCGACCCCCGAATCCATGAACACTTACCAGTGGGATCCCAATTTCCCCCCTCATCCAACCTTCCGTTCCAACTCAATTTGGGGCAACTCGTCTGGTGAAAATGAACCGAACATGAATATGGGAGGTCGCCGCTTCTCTGCCTATCCTCCCGAGTCACCACTAGAAGACTCCACTCCACCGGCCACGACCACGCCTGGTTACAATTCATCGTCGTCGCCGCCTAGCACCATCAACAACGCTATGCCTACACCGCCCGAGTCATTCAACAGCGGTCCCGTCGGTACGCCATCAAGCTCGACCATCTCGCCGCCCCCGATGGGAACTCCAGCCATGCCACAGTCTTCGCTACTTGTTCTCCAGCACGGAACACCAGCCATGGTCCAGCACAGCACAAACATGTCACCGCCTCCACCGCCTGTTCCTGGAAGCAGAGGCCCCGGTGCCTTTGGTGCTCCGCCGACATCGAATCCGGGGGCACCGCAACGCGCGCTGCCGAACTACAACCCGACCACGGACTGGTTCAATCCGCCACCTCCATTTATCAACCCCGACGCGTTTAGCTCGGTGAGCAACAGCTTCTTTGGGGACTCGTTGCAGGTGAATGGTTTCAACTTGCAAAACCCCGGCTTGGGGCTTGATCAGTTTGGGGGCCCTTTCAATTGGTCACAGGAGCGGCAAGGCAGTCTTAGCCAGCAACAGCAGCTGGAGCTATTGAACGTCCTGGAGAATGAGGGAATGAGCGATATCGACGCCATTCTCAATATGGGCATGAATCACCCACCCCCTGCCGCGAGTGTCTGGCCGCAAGCATAAAGCGGTTACGTGTAGATGTCTGGAAATGGGAGTGACTGAACAGTAGTCGTTTGCTGAGCATGGATCAGAGTCAGGATTTAAAGCTGCATTTATTTCGGGTACGGGCGTGTATATTATATATACCACGGAGTCAAGGGCGGCAGGAGGTTTTGAATCGATTTAGCGGACAAGGGCTACAGCGATGCGCCTCCGCATCGTGGGTGTAGTAGGCAGTGATTTACAATAGAAGGGTGTAAAACAGGTCATCACATTGCGATCAATATCTAATCACATTGCGATTACTATCTAGTTCTTGTACTGGGGGGCACCACCTTGGATGGGGTTGGGTTGAAACTTGGGCCAGATTAGCAAATGTCTTGGACCTGGACGGTGTCGTCTAGCTGCGCCTGAGGCCCCTTGACCCACGTGAATGTCTCTCGTGTATTCCTTGAAGCGAAGAAAGACCGTCAGTGATGATAGCTACAGCGACTCCTGCCTACAGAAGAACCGGGAGGGGCAAACGTTGGGAACTGGAGGGCCACGCCGGTATTCTTCCAGAGTAGGCCACAGAGAAAGGGAGTCATTGTTGTGTTTATATGTCAAGAAGTTGAGTGAAGTGTGAAAACCACGCACATGGGAGACACATTTTAGCAAGCGAATGATTTGATTTATATACTGCTACATCGACGCGAGAAACACGTCGGTGTGTGGAAAAGAAAGGTTGAGAGTATGTACATGAAAGTTGTTGTTTGTATCGTTCCATGGGAAGAAAAATGCAGACAATGCGACAGAAGGGGGGGCGTTTCGTCGAGTTCCCCCCCTTCATTTTATCCCGTTCCCCCAATCACAAAAAATGCTCCCTTTATTTCTCTCTCTCTTCTGTTGTGTACTATTCTTAGCATTGTCCTGTAGGATCCCGAATCTTCTCAACTTGGTCGCTGCCAGGGAGGGTTCGCCAGCATCTAGAGACATTGGCTGTACCACTGGTTGACGACGGTGCAGGTGCTGCCAGAGACGCAGACGGTGCCGCCGGTCCAGCCTTGGCCGCCGCACTGGCCGTACTTTGCGACGGTGCCGCCAGTAGGGGGTGCGGTGGAGGAGGTACGGACGGAGGTGGTGATTGTGCTTGGGGGAGTAGTGGTGGTGGTGGTGGCGGCGGTAACGGTGGTGGAACCGGAGCCGGGGGGCACGACGACGCTGCCGGCGGCAAAGGTGGAGTTGATGGGGCCGAACTTGATGTTGGAGAAGTTGACGCTCGAGTTGGGCACGTTGGCCTCGATGTCGGCGGGGACGCCCGAGGTGGTGGGGCAGGAGCCGCGTTCGGCGCCGGGCTTGCCGGCGCCGTCGGTCGGGTAGGTGGAGTCGAGCCAGAGCATGTTGGCGTAGTGGTCGTCCCAGAGGGAGAGGACGAGGACCATGGGGGCGGCGACGGCCTCGGACATTTGGGCGAAGCCGCCCTTTGCCTTGAAGACGTCCGTGTCGTTGAAGGCGAGCTTTTGCTTTGTGCAAAAGTCGGTGGTGAGGGAGTTGCCCGGATTGGCGGCGATGGTGGACTCGGAGTTTGGCACGACTTTGCCGTTTTGGACGTAGAAGCGCTTGATCTCCGAGAGGACGCCGTCGGAGCCCTTGAGGAACTGGGTCACGATGGAGAGCTTTTGGGTCGTGTCGAGGGTGAAGCCGGCGCCGGGCCCGTAGAAGAGCTTGTTGCCCTGGCGGTACGAGTTGAAGTCGCAGCCGTCGGGGTCGCAGTCGCCGGCGTAGCGGTCCGTCGAGTAGGTTCCGCCGCAGGCGTTGCCGGTGCAGGAGTGGTAGGCGCTGTTTAGGCAGGGGTGAGGGGTGTATGCCGTGGAGATCTTGTTGGCCTCTGTTTGGGGCGGTTAGTTGTTTGGTTCATGTTTATATATATGCATTGTAGATAGGAAGGGAGGGTGTTTGGTGAGACTTGCCCCAGATATCCATCTCTGCGCAGCATGCACCGAGGTTACCGACGCCACCGTTGGCGTCGTTGCTGGATGGGTTCCAGCCGTCGACGTTGGCCTAAGAGCTACTTGTAAGCTGGGAGACTGTGACTGAAGGTTCACGGGTCTTGACTTACAACACCGTTGATGAACTTGACGTCGCGGGGGCACTGCGAGTCACAGTAACCGGTGCCGTACTTGGCACCAGCCTTGTTGGTGGAGAACTTGGAAAGACCACCGTCAGCGTCCATGGAGACGAAGTACAGAGCGCCGTTCAAGCCGCAGCCAATGTTGGAGACATCCACGTCAAAGGTGAACTCGTTGCCTGGAAGGGGTTAGTATACAAGGTTTACGATCATCCCCATAACAGAAGAAGAGTAAGGCGTGAGGTTCAACCCACCGAGCAAAGTAAACATGGCGTATTTCGTATCCGACTCCATGAGATAGACACGGCTGCCAATGTTCTTTCCGTAGGCGTGGGTCGTGACAAACTTGAGGTTGAGGGCGTTGCCGCTGGTGGTGATGCCGTAGGTGCCCGGGTAGTCGGCGCCGTCGACGCAGCAGTTGGTGGCGCAGGCGGCCCCTTGGCCGCTTCCGCAGAGGGTGCTGTTCCACGCGTTGCCCGTGTAGCAGTTTGTCGACCCGGAGACGGTGTGCGCCCATCGCCAGTTGGAGTCGAGGACGACGGAGCCGGCGACGTTGGTGCAGGTGCCTCCCGCGGCGCACTTTTGCCAGGTGAGGGCCGGGTGCGTCTCGGCCTGCGAGGTGCAGACTTGCTGGGCGCGGGCGGCGGCCGCGAGGGCGAGGAGGGCGGCGAACTTTGTCTGCATTGTGACTGCTGGGATGGACAGGCTTGGTGGCTGTTGAGGGGAGAGAGAGAGAGAGAGAGACAGAGAGGATGAGGGGAGTGAGGTTGTTGGGATGAGGATGAGAGGGATGGAAAACTGAACTCATGGATGAGGATATCCATTGAACTTATATAGAAACATTTCATTCGTCTTGGTGATGGAATACATTGCCATCGGCCGTTTGAGCTTTTCGCCTCTTTTCGCAGCCGCGCCCACTGTTCGAGCTTGGCTCGATGTGACATCCAATCCCATGATCGACTAGCCCAGCGATGAGGAAGCGAGAATCCGACGAGCTCACGGCATCCGGCCCGCGAACGATCTGGAGCCAAGGCAACGGCTGAACTGGAGATGCCATGTTCAAGGGGGGGGGGATATACAAGCACAGACGTCCCAGGTGGTATGGGAGGAGGGGCGAGAGGGCAAACATCGAGAGGTTAGCGCGTGTAAGTGCCAGGAACCACGGCTTCTACGATAGCATCGTCGTCGACCCAAAGTTTGGCGTTACTTGCCTGATTAGGCAATTGGAAAAACTGCACCGCTTCCCTTCGAGGTTGGGGTAACTCTGTACTTACCTTGCATAAGGTTATAGTAAGCCCGCACGCGCGGGCTCGCAGGTTCTCGCCCCTCAGTCCCGAGCCGGGGAGAGGATGACACGAAGTCTCCTACGGCCATACGCCTGGTCACACACACACACACCCTCCTCACTACGGAGGAATAGGTCGCACAGAAGAATATGTGCCATGTATACGTATGAGGTGAGGTGGTGGTGAGTTCTTGTCCCAATGTGGACTTGTCCCCGCGGCTTTCCTCATTGGAGCACTTTCTCCCCCCCTGGGCCCAACGCGGAGGCCATGCGCCGAGTACTACGCGCCTCGAATTCGTCACAAAAGTCAGCTTGGGGACAAGTTCAGGGGAACGGCATCGTGAGAAAGCGTACCCTGACCCATCTCGCATGGAGAGAAAGACAAAATGTGCACCCTCGTGATCATGATGGCTTCCCGAAGATCCCGTCAGACCTGTACGTTGCTGGTCTGACTTGAATCGGGCGCCCCTGAATATTTTGCTCTCTCTCTTTCACTCACATTCGCTTCACACCATCGTGAGAACACCCCTCTCTCCCCACCCCCCAGTGAGGACGCAGCTTCGAAGTCCCTTGGTGATTCGACTGATAAGAGAATAATGATACGCGCATAACTGTTTTAAGGTACTAAGTAGGCATCTGCCTCCCCGCAATTTACAAGGATCGCCTCCAGGCCCCCCGACTTTCGTTGCACATCATGGGCGGGAAGAGAAACCTTCTCCCCGCATAACGAACGCTATTGGGGCATCCGGTACTGACTGCCACACGCCCGCCCGGTTCCTTGCTCTTGCGGAGGACGCCACGATTTTCATTCTTTGGTACGACGGGGCTGGAGAAGTGGTCCAACGTGACAAGGTTTCTCCAGGTCTTGTAGTTGATGATAGTTCGCCATACGAGTTACGTTGACGTCGTCAAGCTTCTTTTCCGACAAGCGAAGCGGCTCTGTCATGCCAATACGTTGGGGCCCAGCTTGGCTTTTTAAAATTTGGGCCTTCTTATGAATCAATCAACGCCTTTAATCAATTCATACCATGCCAACGGGTTCAGAAACAAATCGTGTGAGATTCAATGGAGCCCTGGTTCAATTTGGAGATGGGAGGTACTATGCCATAATGCATACGTTAAGAACAGGGTCACTACCACACCACTTTGAATTAGTCATGTTCCCTCTCTGCAACTATGTGTAGCTGAAGAGACCGCAGGACGGGTATTGTGGGAGGGATTTGATTCATCAAGGGTGCGATGTCACTCAACAACACCCGGTTCCGACGTTCTGCCCTGTCAAGCCCATGAAGAAGTGGTCGAGTGAGCGAACCAAAAAGCCTTGCCGCCTAGGACCGCAATGGCGCCACGTCGCAACTTGCCAAGGGCTTTTGAATTTACCCGTGATGACCAGAGAGACTAAAGTCTCTGGGCGGGCGAGGGTCAAGAAGCTTGAGAAGCTTGAGCTCAGCCTCCAAATTGTAGCGATTCGTAGCAAAGGTTCAGAGCGCGTCGCCGGAAATGGTGGTGATCTGCAGCCGTAGCCTCGACAAATTCAACGTCTTCCTTTACATGACCACCTCACTCTGATCGTCTGGGACGTCGACAACTAGAGCTAGACAAGTGAGAAAGCCTCGTAGGCATAATGACTTCCGCCCCTGGAGCATGGGTTTCCGAACGGCCACAAGCGAATATAGATCTAAGGGATCTTCGCTGCGCCGTGGTAAGATGGATGCGAGGAGTGTACAACGATGAGCTGTTACCCCTTTGCGCACAACCGAATCGAGACGATTATGTGCGCAGCAGCATGTTCGTGCTATCTGGCAGAGAGAACGTAGCGGGTGGCCTTGAAGCTGTCGGTGCAGAAACGGCTTGAGAGGCGAGTAAGTGACCAAACCTCGTGAGGCGCGTTAGCCATTCCTGAAAGTTCTACGGCAAGCTTGAAAGGCTGCTCCGGATGCTGAGCCGACTAGCTGGTCGGCAACGAAGGGAACGATAGCCGAGAACGCTGTAAGAGGCTCCCTTATCGTTGGCACACACACATACACACAGTATATCGCGAGGTTGCATGCATTCGTGAAAATAAATTGCCCCTCGATCTCGGACCCATCTTCCTGGACTCTCTCGTGCAGTCACCCCCTTTTCATAAAGCTTCAGGGACATGAAACTCTTCGCACCCGTCGTCGTCGGCACCAGCCGGGCCGCCGCAATATGGGACAGCATCAAAATGAAGCCAAAAGATAGCGGGATGCAACAGAGTCACTTCCTGGCGTAAATGATGAAGTTAGTGGTGGGTGGTAGGTGTGGCTGGCAATATCGTATTTCGCCTCCGAGGAGTGGATGATGACGGGATTAAGGTCATCAACATCCGAAGACGGGAAATCATGGCCGCAACGCGTTCTTTGTCTGACGCGGGCAAGAGAAATGCAGTCAGTCTCCTTGTCCCCAACAAGTCGAATCGTGTCCAAACACATCCAGCGGAGCTTGGAATCACCGCGAATGTCGGGCGGCGCCCAGGACGACGATGCTGACAAGTCTCCTCCCCTCTTCCCAGCGAGGCGAAGCCGAGCGAAAATTGGTATCGAACGCCCCTCTGGCGCAGCTCAGGTTCGCGGATCGTGCCTCAATGGGTCGATAAAACAGACTGGAACCTCTCAGTCAGCTCCCGTCGGCAGGCCGGCCACCTGTCCGTCATCACTTTCCCTTCAGCAAACTCCTTTGCGGCATCCGACGCGTGCCCCATGGTGGAGATGCCAGAGTCACTTGACCCTTCGCGTGTTCCTCCCCTTCGGCATAGGCGCAGAAGCGAGCAGCCACTCCCCCACCATCACCACACACTCACTCGTCCCAGATCTGTAATATGCGCAGATGGAACGTGACGGGCAGGGCGAGCCGCCTCACAGGTAAATCTGGAAGCCAGGTACCGCCCGGGCAGTCCCAGCGACTCGTCTCCCCAGACCGGCAAGTCAAAGGGGGACAGGCCCTTTTAGCCAGTCGGTTTCTCCACGCAGTAGGTAGAGAGCGAAGGACCATGGGAAAAGAAGAGAGAATAAGAAGAAGCTAGCTCTACCTACCTTACCTGCCTACCCCGTCGAAAGGTTTAACCGGTGACATGACATTGCCCACAAGGGGAAAGCGTCAAGTTCTGGGGAAAATTGCGGAGGCCGACGGTCAAAGGGCTCCGTGGTCTTTCTCGTCCCGATTCGGCCTTTCTGCCCTGGCCTCGCCACGACGTCGCACCGGCAAACCGTGGGGCAAGGGATGAACATGTGGCAGATGGAGAAGCCTGGTGCTGGACGCGGGTTGTTCGCTATGATGTGCCTTAGTTTACATTTTCGGAAATGAGTCCAGCACAATGGGCGGCTGTCGGGAAGATGAGCGAGGTTCACGTGTTGTTTTGAGGTGCAGAGTTGAAGCTCCGAGGCGTGTGTGGACAGAGGAGAAGCCCAAGGCGGTTTGAGGGAATGGGATGAGGGGACTGTGTGAGATGGCGCTCATACGGGGAACTACACACAGTACCCATGGTCCCGCCTCGCTGTTCCTCTTCCTCCTCACTCACAATGTCTGTCAACTTACCGTCGGCTATCCCCGTCCTTGGCCAGACATCACCTATAATGATTGCCCGAGAGAGGCTTGGCTGTGTGCATTTTGGTCCTCTACACATAGTCTACAATACTTCCCCCCCCCCGCTTGCGAAGGGACACCTCGACTGTAATTAACCCGAAAACAACTGGAATATGTGCGTAACCTTGCTCACAGCCGGACTCCTTTGACTGCCCTGCCCATGAGGCCATGGCCAGATTATCCCAAGTTAAACGCCTGCCTGCCTACTGCCTGCCAGAACCGCCACCTGCGCATCATGTACACAAAGAACTGGTCCACGGCGCACAGTTCTCTTCCCGGATCGTCCGATACGACGTTCCACACCGGATTGTTGCTCTGCTTCTCTCTCTCCTCTACTGGCCCTGCTCCGACCGAAGTGCTGACGTCGATGCCCACGAAAAGACGAAGAAAAAAGGCTAGAAGGTTCTCTCTTACGCTGTTCGGATTACCGTGAGGTGCATATTCTTAGTTTGGCGAGGCAGCTTGCCGTCACGCTCATACAGCAATCCACAATTTTGGCAAAGAGACTGTATTCCTGTTAGCCCATTCATCTTCTCGACTACTGCATTGAGAACTCACCCGGGGTCCTGCAGGTCCAGGTCGCACCGCCCACACACTTGAGCCCCAGAGACAGCAGTGCCAACATCTCCACGATAAGCGCTCCTGGTCCGTCAAGCCGCTTCCTGCACCGTATCCGGATCCCACGTCTGGCGTTCCGCGTCCGCCAGGGGTTCCAGATCGGCCTATCGGGCTCAAGCTGCGGAAGCGACGCTTCTTCTTGGACCGCTCGCCTCTGCCCATGCGCTCCTCTTCCGGAGCCTCCACCACGTTGCCAAACCCGGAGAATGGCACGCCGCCTACCAAGCCAGTGGTCGAGCTGAAGCGAGCAGTCTCGCGGCGGAGTCTGCGAATTTGCCGCTCTCTGTCGCCTTCCCGTTTCTCCATCTCCTCCTTGCTAAGGATCTCAACCTTGGGCTCCCAAGGATCGGCCAGGTTTTCTGGGTCGTATCGCCATCCGGCGTCGGCTCCAGCCGTGGCATCGTTGGGGAACTCGCGTACTCCGTTCCAGCCCATCACCAATCCACCCGCTTCGCAGGCTTCCTTCTTAAGGCGTAGTACTGCTTCATAAATGGCGTGTGTGACGGCGGGAACCCATTCGCCCGTCAATCCGAGGTCTTGGCAAGTTTGACTGGCAAAGGCCTCGGGCATGCCCGGGGGATGCAGCAGAGACCACTCAAACTTATCGGTGTACAGCGCTGACTGGAGGTTGATATTCAGGGTAACGATGCATCGGTAGGCGTCATCATGGTCATACTCGTCGGAATCAATAGGGACAGGGCTTGCGTGAGCGGTTACTTCTGGTGCTGATGTCACGTCCTTGGCCCGGGATGGCGTTCCGATGCCGCCGTTCTGCATTGGGGTATCGGGGCGGCTGAATGCTGCGGCGGGAGTGGGCGTCTCGTCGTGGTTAATGATCGAGCTGGACTTGGTTGCGTCGTTGATTCCAGAGTTCTGCGACTGCGCGTGGAACAAGGGATGCAGGGCAACGCCGGCATACTCTTCAAGCTGCGTCCGGATCTGTTTGGCAATATCAAGCATCATGTTGTGACGGTTCGGCAAGTCCAGGTCCTGGACGTATGTTTGCGCAAATTGCTCAGTTGTGATGACCGTCTCATGCAGGTTCCAGAGGAACGTGTCGCGGAGCCGGTAGGGCGGCGTAAGTTCTTGTGCTCGGTATTGTGGGAGTGTGGTGTCGACGCTGTGAGGCGCCGAGGGGAAGGCGACCTGGGGCACAAAGGCCGGTATGTCGAGTTCGATTCGGATGGGGATCAGAGTCAACGGGAGGTCTGCTTGCGCCGAATTCTGCTGGTCATTCCGCACTTGACGTCCCTTGCCAAACCAATCTCTCCAAATGCCCTGTACTTCGACAGGTTCGTCCGTGTCCTTTCCAGCCTTATCTAGTAGATCCTGGTTGGCCGCCTGATCATCTACTCTTCTCAAGCTTCGCAGACCAGTGGGTCGACGGCGGCCATTGTCGTCGTCATCGTCAATTTCGTCATAGCCGTCTTCCGCATAGTTGATGATGGTTGTGCCACGCTTCGTCACTCGGGAGGTGGGACCGGTCGGAGCGCTGGCGAGGACGGGTGTCAAGAGAGAATTGTTGTAGCTTCGGATTCGCGGCGCATAGGTGGACAAAAATGCTTGGGGCTTCGGTCGGGCGTCCATGGTGGGAGGCTATGAGACCCAATGGGTCATCGCAGGTTGTCGCAAGACGATGGCGGAGAAGCGGCCGAAGACACGTCGAGGGAGAGACGAGACTGCGCGGATCCGGGGGGGGTGCGGGGGATTCGCTTACCACGCGCAACCGTGGATTGGCGCTACGTGAAACTCTGGCGACTGACGTCGGGTGCGTGTCGAGCTTTATCGCCGGATGGCTCGTTGCGCGCCGATGGAAATGGGCAGTGTTGAGGCTGGAAGGGGAGCGCTGCACCGATTGCGAGATGTGGATCGCGTTGGAAATGCATTGGAGAGCAGCAGGGCGCGTCAGAAAAATCAGGTCGGCGTTTCCCGACCCAGGTCCAGCTCCAAAACAGGATTAGCGCATCCAATAGCCCCCACCTCACCTACCAATCCCTCACCGAATCCACCGAGTTCACCGAGGTGACCACACCGAGTATCCCATGCCAACTTGCCTCCTGATGGGCAAAGTCAAGGCGTCACGCCACGTCCGGTTATTGATACTGTTTTGGACGACTCAGTTGATATTAAAATAAAGATAAAAATGTGTTGCAGAACTTCCTGTAAATGCTGCCAGGTCTTGGATCATCGACCAGCCTCGCCCAACAATCACTAAAAACAAAGAATTGTGTTATAGACCATCTGTTCTTGTCAACAGGCGCCATTCATCTGCCTTTCTTTGTGCTTTCTTGCAAGTAGTATATCTTGAATCAAGTTGAATCAAGGAAGCATCTCCTTGTCAGATATCACAAGACGGCATGTTTTACATCAAGTCGATTCATGGTGGTTATTCCAAACCGCTCGGCCCCCAAAAAAACGAAAATGAACATAGATATGCCAAAGGACCATTTCAAGCCTTTCGATATAAATTTCAGCGATATTCTAATTCATACTGAGTTATTTCCATGGTCAATTTCACTATCCTATTCCTAGATATCAGCCAGCAGACGAAACAGCAGCCAAATTTGAAGGCATTTCCTGAGACGCCAGACTTACTAAAGAAATCCAAAGACCCAGAGAAAATGGAGAGAAATCAACATTCCCGAAATGACCGGCAAGTGAGCTTTCGAATAGTGCTCCAGTTTCTCGTCAAGACCCCCGAGAACGAGGCACCGTCAATGACACCATGTAGGTCTCCAAATGGCAGCGAGCATGACCATATAACTGAAGCCCGTACATTTGAAGGTCAAACACAAGATCCAGCCCGAGTTATAGCGGACAATATCCGTCAGCTGGGCTTATCTACTGCAATTGAAACCCCAGATGGTTCCGTGAACATTCAAAGTTCAGAATCAGAAGCTTGGAGTATATGCGCAGACGAGCAGGAGCTTGACATTCATGGATCATCGGGATGGTACCTCGCCAGCATCCGTTCTCCGCTCATGCCCATGAGCCAGCAGGCATCAGCGGTCATGTCGATCTGCGCCATGTTAAAAGCCTCTTCAAACCTCACCATTGCCTTTAACGAAATCCCCCGCCATCAAATCGAGGTCAAACCAGAAGAGGGGGATTTCACACTCCCAGACGTCCGTCGAATCCTCGCCTTTCTCTGGTCCGCCTCACCGCACTTGACTGAACCCAATGCACCATACGGCGGGCCGGGTTCAGCGACTGCCTCCGGCCTCGATTTTGCACGCATTTTCAGCCCCGATTCACATGCCTTTCTTTCCGATGCCAAGTGTCGTGGCGAGCCCACCGAGGCGGTCTTTACCCATGGCCCACCAGTTGCTGACAAGATCGACATGCTCCAACCATCCTCCATCCACGGAATCGACATCGAGAAGGAGACCTTCCTCTCTATCGAGACGGCTGGAAATGTTAACTCTCTCATGGCCGGCACAGAGATCTACGTCAAAGACTGGGAAGGGAAGCTGCGCATTCTTTCCGGGGGCTACAACTTTTCCAGGCTCCTCAACAAAGACCCTACGAAAAGGGCCATAGGATTTTCCCAACATGCCAGCACGTTGGACTCCGACGCTATAGGTAGTTGGGTCAAAGTCTGCCACGGCATTGTCGACTTTTGTTTGAACGAAATCAAGGACCGAGTAGACCATGCGGTCGAACAGCAGAAGCTACCCAACTCTGACTTGGGGTTCTCTGGTTCGTACACTGCATCCCATCTGCTCGAAGATCTTAACCTCTACTTACAAGCAGCTTATTACGAAGCTCTCGGCCCAAACCCCTTCGTTCCGGAACTCGCCACCCATGGCCGTCGCAAACCCGCCATCAACCTCGACGACGACGAGAACTTGTCCCCGTACACCTTTGGCATCGAACTCGAATTCCTTGTGCCTTACACCAGATCCAATGACAACCACACCGACGAGACAGATCAGCGCTGGGTCTACCACAACGACACCCCAACCATCTTCGCAGCTGAGCCCACCCCAGAGGACGAGCCCGACGAGTTGGCCGCCGCGATCGACCAGCGCAACAAGGCTTACAACGCCTCAGCGAATCGCGTAGAGGGGCTTCTCTGCGACGCGGGCCACTTCAGCGCCACGTTTGCCACCCTCTGGGGCCTCCGAAACAACGAATACCCGGCCAAGGTTTCCCTGCCCGGCTTACAGCCCGTCGCCGACGCTGCGGGCTTTCAGCTTTACTTTGTGAATGGTGTCGATGCGGAGTTCCAGTGCTGGTACGTGAAAAAAGACCTCAGCCTCTCCAGCTGGGCTTTCGGTGAAAAGGGGTACGCTGGACACGTGGGGATGGAAGTGGCCAGTCCCATCCTGCGAGACTCGCCCGAAGATTTCGGCAAGGTGAGCGACGTATTGAGGATTCTCCGCAGCGGGCTAAGACCGATGTTGGACATTGGCTGTGACTTGCACGTCCATGTGGGCAATGTTCGCAAATTTTCTCTCCTCGGCATGAAGCGCATCGTCACCTTGCTTCTGTTGGTTGACCCGATTCTCTACACTATCGTACACCCGTCGCGAAAGTATAACGCCTTGACGCTGCCTTTCCACCAAGATGCGAGGGTCATGAATGACGGCCAGGACCTGCCCGACTACACCGCAGCGTCTGGTTTCAACGACGAGGAGAAGGAGGCGGAAGGTAAGCCCTCACAGGCGGTCGAGGCAAGGGTGCTCTTGGACTTGGAGGCCCACGTCCCCATAAGCCAATTGCCCCGGAAAGTCCGGAATGAGCTGGCTCAGCTCTGGTCCATGGACAATCTCGACGATTTTACGAGTGAACTCCGGCCATTTCGTGGGTGCAGGGGCGGCACTGCCTTCGTTACATGTAGGCTCATTGAAAACCACTCAGTGCCGAGCACCGGCCGATGTATCGAGGGCACCATCGAGTTCAGGATGCTCGAAGGCACGCTTGATCCGGAGCTGATCACGCGTTGGACCAAATTGCTGCTCAGAGTAGTGGAAAGAGCAGAGGCCACGACAACGAGCGAGTACTTTGAGATGCTTGCTGCCCTTGCAGAAGAGCGAGAAAGCGATGACGAGAACCTGGCTGCATTGCTCGGTGCTCTCGGGCTTGAGAAGCACCTACCGTTCTGGCGGAAGGCCCTACAGAAGAATCAAGCTTTGGACATCAAGCTGGTGGAGACTGATCAGTTTGGGCTGAAGATCCTGCCCGAAAAGTGGGAGTTGCCCCAATTCAGAGAGTATAAAGGCGAGTACAAGGACAAGCAGGCGCGCAAACGGGATTGGTATGAGCAGCACGTCTTCAGACTCCCGGAGCTTGACGACGATACTTTGGACAGGGTGAGAGATATTCTTTGAAAAGATCGAACCGTAAGTATAGGGAAGGCCTGGTTTCAACATGAATGGCTGCTTTCCTGAGCCATTGGGGCCACTACATTCTGCCTCGAATGTGGAAGACGACCTACCCAGAGACGTCTTCGCCTCCTGTGGCCTTCCGTGGCAGCTAGATCTGAGGGATCCCACCGCAACAAGCAAACTACTCAAATTATTGTTCTACATAGTTTGCTCATTTCTAGACCATTTCTATGCAACAGGATGTTTCAAATGCATTGACATGTAGGGAGTCGATGGTCTCTCAGCTTGGCCAGCGAATTCCTCAAATCATCACGCTTCAGCCACCCACCACCCCCTGGGCGGCCTTGGTGCTACTCCTTCCTTCCAACCGTTGGAATCTAGCTGTCCCTCCCACCATCATTCCTTCTTGTTCAAGATGAGGCAGTTTTCTTGAGCGACAAAGGAAGGGCCGTGCTTATTGTGGGCTGCACTGTGAGCTAGGCCCCCACACCTCGAGGAGGCAGGTGAACAGGGCAGGATGAAGAGGCCATATTAACAATCCGTGCGAATCTGTTGTGAATCGACTTTTCAATCGCAAGATATCATCATTGAATGTCGCTTAGGACTTGTTTTACAAGAGCCAACAAGAGTCGGCGGTTGGGTGGTGTTGCGTTCGTAGGAAGCGCCCGAGGATGGGAGCCACGAGATCTATGGCAAAGGGCCAGTTACCCAAACTCAGGGAAGCTCGCACGGAATGGCATTCTGGTACCCCCCAACATTATTCCATGATTTATTCATTTCACAAACATGAAGTTCTGCACGTTTGTGCGGGGTGTCTTTGTTACTGGCCATGTCTGGGGACCACCTTGGATGCGTACGCAGCGTGTGCAGTGTCACTATGCTCCTGCCCACAAAGCTTGGTTTCACTGAGATTCCGCACTGTCAAAAGGAATTCCACTAGATTCTAACCACGTGCTGCTCTTTCCATGTTATCCAGGACATGCCAAGGTAGGAAGGGACGTTCTTGCAGCTTAATGTAGGTCTAGGTATCATGGATGCTATAGATGAAGTCGTGGCTCTCCGCCCCTCTGCTTTGCCCTCTCTTCTGGTACATTTGTCGTGCTTTGAAGAGAATATTAAGATGCCCTGAGATGAACCTTCATCTACATGACCTCATGGTCCAGCTTCTATATCCTGGTCTCTCTCTGCTGTGTTGCCCATCCAGTTGCAACTGCATGACCAGAGTGAAGATGAATCAATTTTCTCGGGAAGGTCGTAGCTTGTACGTTCATGTCTCCAAGTATCACAAGCATCGCGAGTATATTGAGAACCAAGCAAGGTCTGTCACCAGCAACTGCCGCCATAACAATCGTTCTGGAAGGGAAGGATAGCTTGGTCAAAAGGAGGGCACCGATGCTGACAGCGACATGATTCCAATTTGCTCTTGCCTCCAGTAGACCTGGAAAATCTCTTTTCGATGTGAAACTTGCGTAAAGGAAGGTACAGGGCTTTGGGATCCTTCCTCTGCCTCTTGAGCCTTCCTTTCTCTGGCCCCTATATTAACCCCCTCTTCCTCCCACCCACCACCCACTCTTCTTCTTCCTCCCACCCACACACTACTCTTCTCCTTTGATACCCAACTTCAAAGCCAGCGTCTTTTTTTCTTCACATCCAACTTTCGACACTTTCCTTCAAGACTTCTTCACAGTCACTTCACCCCACAATCACTTCACTCCCCAGTCTTTCCACTTCATACACAACAGCCAAGATGTTCTCCAGCGGCAAGACTCTCCTCACCGCTGCCGTTGTCGGCCTGACCGTCATCGGATTTGTCCATGCTGCCCCTCACATTGACAGTGGTGATGAGAATCGCGCTCTCTCCATGCTCAACACCGCTCGCTCCGAGGCTGGCGTCCCAGCCCTTATTTGGGACAACAACCTCAAGGAAGGCGCTGACATCTGGGCTATTGAGATCGCCAAGGTCGGCTACATTCATCGTTCCCCTGCTCATCAGCGCGATGGTGCTGGTGAGCTTCTGGCCCACTTCAAGGCTCTGGAAATGTCCAGTGTCCTTGTGACCAACCCTCTTATCTCGGCTGTGAAGCTCTGGCTCAGCTTCAAGGATATGGATAACTTCAAGACCACCGTCGAGAACTACTACGAGACCTTGGGCATCACTGGTAATTTTCCCTCTCCACCCGCCCACTTCGCTTGAGTCTGTCTGATCGTTTCCTGTAGAGCAGATTCTCTCCGACAAGGCGACTCACATTGGTTGCGCCACCCGCCTGGGTTTTGCCGACAGTGGCGCCCGGGACCCCCTCTCTTCCTTCACTGTCTGCCGTGTCTTCAAGGAAGTCAAGTGAGTTGCCTCTCCCCTTTACATCTTGTTTCTCGCATATGCTAATACTCGTTTGTTGCAGGCCTACCACCATCATTGCTCGCCAGGATCTCAGCCCTGGCCCCTTCCAGGGTGATATCACCTTCTTCAACCCTGCCCTCGGTGCCTGTGGCTGGACCGACAACGATGACTCCATGATTGTTGCTCTGTCTCATATCAAGATGGGTTCCCAGTCCAACGGCAATCCTCTCTGTGGCAAGACCGTTCGCATCGAGGCCGAGGGCAAGTCTGTCAACGTCAAGGTCACTGACAAGTGCATGGGATGTGCTGTCAACGACATTGACGTCAGCCCTACCGTCTTCAAGGCCCTTTTTGGTGACCTTGGCCGTGGCCGCGTCACTGGTGTGACTTGGACTCTTGTCTAAGTCTGCCTTACTTTTTGACGACATTTCTCACGCCCCAACATGGATTGGGATTTCGGGTGGCACATTGACATTCATCACGACTGCAGATTTGGGGGAGATAAGGACATGACATGGTTATACCGTGAGGGGACGAGTGCCTCAGTCTAGATATCGCCGCAATGCAGTAAACAATCATTCGGACTTGTTTGTTCCTCTGGTGATTACGCTCTGTGTTGTTTCCTTCTTTTGTAACCACCTCGCTGCTGTTTGGTATCTCCTGATTAGGCCTTGACTTGAGATATCAAAGCCAGAGGAACCAAAAATTTACCTCCAGTGCCTTTCCTTCCTTCACTGCTGTACGTACATTCGAATTTGCCAATAATTCTTTCCCTTCAGTCTCTACGGTCGCTCAGGCTCTGTGTCTGACCAGTGCTAAGGCAAATTCTAAGAATCGAGAGTTCGGACAAGGTGTGGGAGGACGTTTTCGTCAACATGATAATCGTCATGAATCATGGGCTTTCATTTCATCTATCCTCTAAAGATGACTTCCTCGGCCAGACATCTTCTTAGCCAAAACGACCCACCCTAATGCGTATCGATGCTCTTCCGACTAAAAATTACCAAGAAAGCCGCCCTGGGAATATGCAAGAAAGCAAGCGAGCCGCCCAACATTGAGGATCACAAACACGCGTATACAATGGTAAAAAAAAAAAAAAAACTTACACCGCAACCGTGTTCCGTTGCCGAATACTCTGCGACCTCAGAAACGAGATCTGGCCCCTCCGGACAGTCATATCCCCGCGCGGAGACCGCATGTCGTCCTTGTCCTGCGACATGCTCGGCGAAAGCTCCAGCGTGTTATTATACAGCTCGCTCGCCGACGGGGCCGGCCGCTCGTCCCGCCTGACGGACAAGTAAAAAAAGTCCCACCAGAACGAGTGCTCCAGCTCCCGCGGCTTCCCGTCGGCGGTCCAGTACCGCTCCTCGGACAACTCCCTCGACAGGTGCCGGCGAAAGTATCGGTCCTGGCTGACCCACCACGCGCGCCAGGCGACGAGGATGCCGATGGTGAGGGGGATGACGGTGGCCCAGTAGACCCAGAAGAGGTGGCTGAGGACGGGGATCGGGTCCTTTGGGTTCGTCGAGGTGCCGCCGCCGCCGCCGCCGCCGCCGCCGCCGTCGTCGGTGCTATCTGCGTCTTCGCCCGAGGCTTGCCAGTCGAACATTGACATGCCAAAGAGGGTGCCGAGGAATTCGCCTGGGAGGAAGACGGCGGTGATGACGGCTAGGGCTTTCATTGAGGAGCTGTCGCGGGAGGAGGCGACGGCCATGCGGGCGTTGAGGACGTTGTCTTCTTGGGCCATTTTACTGTAGATCTGGGTTGTGTGTTAGCTTTACCATGGGGGGGATTCGGTTTGCAGAAAATCACTTACGATGTCGATTTGAGCGCGGCATCGGGCCTCTGACATGCGGCGGTCGGTCTCGAGACCCATGCACATCCGTTGCAATCCCTCGAGATACTGCCGGATCTCATGCCAGTGGTTTCCGAGAGGGTCGGCCAGCGGATCAGGAGCCCGCGGTAGGGACCGTCGCCGCGTGCTCGCCGATGACCGTGAGGGCGGCCCCGTCGGCGGCTCGTCGGGTTGAACCTGCTGGTCCTGCTCGTCTCTCTGATCGGCATCGGTCTGCCTGATGTGGAAGTCGTCGAGGCGAATCTTGAGCTCCCCCGTCGACATGCGCTCGGCGAGCTCGTCGCCGGCCTGCAGCATCAGCTTCACCACCCTCTCCATCCAGCGTACGGTGTCGAGCAGCTTAATCGACTCCTTGAGCACGTCGTGCGCGCTCTTCATCAGGTTCGCCATGCTCATGGGCCCGGCAATCTGCGGCGTCTTCTCGTTGTGCGACGCGGCGGCGGAGGAGGAGGCAAAGGTCAGCCGGCGCATGAACTTTGATCGCCTCTCGCGCTCCATCTCAAAGGCCTCGAAGCCGGCGATGCTGCTGACCTCCCACTCGAGGGCCTTTACGTGGTTGATGTTCTCCATGACGGCCTCCTCGGTGCGCATGAACTGGACCTGGAGGAGGACGACGGGGGTGATGAAGGGGTGGGCCCAGTGGGCGCGGCAGGCCTCGAGGCGCTGGTCGTACTCGTCTAGGTTCTCGAGGCTGTGCTGGCGCGGGTGGTAGGACTGCCGCACCAGGACGGAGGAGGTGCGGCTGCGGACGTCGTAGGTTAGCGACATGAAGTCGTAGGGGGTCCTGGGGTTCTTGGAGAAGGAGAGGATGAGGCCTGGCGGAGGTGTTAGTTATTTGTTATTTTAGTATCCGTTGGCTTGGTGGGTGACCATGTGGCACTCACTCAGTTTGGAGCGGTCGAGGGACCAGAAACGAGACTCGTTTGTGACGCGGCGGGAGTACTGGAGAGTGGCCGGGTGCAGGTCCATGGCGTCGAGGTCTTCTGGGGTCATGGTGATGCCGTCTTCGCGGCGGTCAAAGGACTTGTTGCGGCGGAAGCAGATGCTGTGGCTGTCAGCCTCTGTCTGAGAGAGAGAGAGAGAGAGAAAAAATGGAGTGAGTAAGGGAACTCACACTCGTCGAACCCGCCCGTCTAGGACCAATTCCGGGTGCCGCGCTGGCTCTTGTGTGAAGACTCCCTGTCGAGGCGTCAAACAATCTGTACAAAAGCATCAATTGGGTCAAGCCAGGCAAAAACTCACATTATGGTCGACCGAATAGCCGTGGCGAAAAGCCAGGTTGAGCGTGTGGTGGCCGGGCACTTCGTCCTTGTGTTGCAACTGGAAACTAATGTCCTCTTCGCCCTCGAGTCCCGTCTTCACGCCGCCCGAGGGGATGCCATTGTCCTTCTTGAAGACGACGTACTCATCGTACTCTACCTTGGAGGCAGTCTTGCCGTCGGAGACGAGGATGTCGTCGCGCAGGGCGAGTGTGTCGAAGCGGAACAGGTCGGACGAGTCGAGGCCCTGGAAGCGGGCCATCAGGGCGTTTTGGTGCTGGTGGTGAGCGGGTTGCAGTTCAACGTGGCCAGCGGCGTGGTGGGTGAGCAAGTTGCCTTGGTGAATGTAATCGCAGGTGAATGAGGTGAGAGTCGGTGAGGATGAGGGTGAGAACGGATGTGAGTGAGATAATCATCCACCACCTACCAAACACCCCCTGGTACCTCGATGTGTTTTTTCTCTTCCGCCGCTCAGGTTGCCATGCCGATCTTGGCCGTTGGCGGTGGTTGGTGATTTGGTGGGCCTCAATCGCGGGGGCGTTCGCCGCTGATGCTGACAGGAGGCTACAGCCTACAGCACCCGGAGCGATTTGATCCTTCAACGTCCACCCCTCGCTAGACCTATATGCCCTCATGGTTCCCCCCGGTTCAGTGACATGCCGCCGCTGCACCTGCCTGTTCTCGCTAAGGTTTCCCCGTCGCGGCCCCGCTCAGTCACCTCTCAATCCCCCGGACGGCCTCGTTATGGGTCTTGGCGGGCGTCCTTGGCGGGTCATCTGTCCGGGGTCTCGCTGCAGTGGCTACCGGGCGACATTTTCTGGCCTCAGAACCATCCGCGGTTGGCTCAGTACCTGGTCACATACTTTTCACTTCGGACTAACCTCCTTCATCTCAGTTTCGAATCATCGCGTGAGGTAAGCAGATGGAATTTCGTCCGATGACGAATACCTCTAGCTAATCTAGATCGAATCAGCTTTTCCCAGATACATGAGACGACGCCTGCATCGGCAACTCAGCATAGCCCAATTACCGCCGTGCCTCGACCCCCGGTCCGTCCCTCCGCTCATCGGCCCTGTCACCGCCGATTCTCCTCATCAACGGCTCCGACATCCGTCTTCGTCTCCACCGCCCCCTCCTCCGGCCCCTGTGCTGCTTCGGGTGAGGCCGGCTGTGGTTTCGGGGCGTCCTTGCGCAGCTTCCATCCGCCGCTCCAACCGATCCAGCTCTTCTCCCGCGGACCCTTGAGCATGGTGATGATCAATGATAACCCGATGAACCCGACTGGGGGACATTAGCAAGCCACAACGACAAACAAGAAGAAGAGAGGTGAATCACTTACTAGAGGTGCCCGCGCTGTACCTCCACCCGCCTTGTGCATACAACCTGTTACCCACCGCCGTGCCGGTCAGCTGCCCGCAGAACACGCAGACCATGTACGCCGTGTTGACCCGGTTCCTGGCTTTGGGGTTGATTGTATAGATGGCAGTTCGGTTGGCAGTCTGCGCAGTTTGGATGCCCATGTCGATGCAGATGGCCTGTATCACGGGCCCGGCAACGGTGAAGGTGCCTGTGAAAGCACCAATGATACAGCCGAAAAGGATGAATGTCTGACCGAGTACGGAGGATAGCCAGGGCACGTATCGGTCCATGATCAACCGCCCATACACCGGCCCACCACAAATGGCCGCAATCCCAATCAGGGAGAACAAGCCAATCGTGATGGACGGGTAGTCGTACGGCGGCGACGCCAGAAGGAACGTCAAGGTCGTCCAAAAGGACGTGAAGATGGAGCTGATGAAGAAACCAATCAGGCACGCCTGCACGAGTATAGGTTCCGTGAACAGCATCGTCACGATGGTCCAGAGCGCCCGGAAATAGTTGAGGCCATCCGGGTTCGTCGACGGGTAGTCCGGCACGAAGAAGAAGAGGAGGACGAGCAGCAGGTTCTGCGCGCCAAAAGAGAACCAGTAGATGTTGCGCCAGGACGTGTAGTTGGCCACGATACCCGATAGCAGACGCGCGATGAGCATGCCGAGCATCAGGCCGGACGTTGTGATGGATAGGGAGCTTGCTTTTCGCTCTGGCGGAGCCATGTCGGCTACCAGGGGCAGCATGAGCTGCGGGGTTACGGTTGTGGCGCCGACGATGAAGGATAATCCCAAGAAGGCTTCGAATGAGTTCGTCAGGCACAGACCGAGCCACTGAAAGATGTCAGAATTATGTAATTCCGCAAAATCTCTTGTCGTTGGATTCACTCACCAGCATCGCTGTGACCCAAATGAGGGCCAGAATGAACGGCCGCCGTCGCAGCATGTCGCCCAGCGGACAGATGAAGAGCAGCCCCGCCGCATAGCCGGCCTGCATCAGCGTCGCCACCGACGACGCCCTCTCAAAGCTGACGTTGAATGTCTCTGCGATCCTGTTGAGTACCGGTTGGTTGTAGTAAAGGTTGGCGACGGTGAATGTCGCGGCCTGAATCGCTTAGCGTCTCATTTATTCATGTTTCTGTATCCGGAGGGAACTTACCACTGCAAACAAAAAGTTGACAGCGAGAGTAAATTGAGGAGGATTCTTGGGGTCGTATCTCATCTTCCTCGGCGTCCACGTGAGAATCCCGGCCGCCACGCCAAAGATCCCGCCGCGACGACCAGTCTTGCCGGCGTCTCGATGCGACTGGTAGTCCGAATTAGATGACGACCGAGAGGGCGACCTCGTCACGCCGTCGCCGCCGCCCCTGGATAACCGCTTCTCGTCGTCTTCAAAGCCGCCATCCTGGAGTGAGTTCGGGGCCGGTTTCCGTGCCTCCTGCGGGATGGAAGTTTCTTCCGCAGCCACCGCCTCGCCGGACCGTACCGTCGCGCCCGCGGGCGTTACACCCATGTTGTTGCTGTCGCTGGCGTATATGTCTGTGTCACCTCTGCCATCAGCAGAGTTTTGCTTCTCCAACATCTTTCCCCTTTCGGTGCAAACTCCAATTGTCAACTCTCTTTTCGGTTGAGTTGAAAGATGCTGAGAGCTATGGAGCCCAGAAGATTCGTGAGAACGCTTTCCACTCTGAGCGAACGCTGTTAGCGTCTACACGGTAGTCCGTCGGGGCTAGTTGATTAGAAATGATGAAGTCATTGCGGTGAGTTGGCAATCTTTAGAGGTGTTGTTTCTTGGCTTCCAAAGTCTCATTAAAAAAATTCATGGATCCTATCCCGGGAGCTCAAAATATTCCATTCAAATGGCAAGTTCCATGTTCCCAACAACGCATCAAAGAGGAAACGTTTTTCGGCAACATGGCGACCACGATAAGTTTCTATGACGCGAGTCGCGGGCGCATAATGCATTTACCGACACTCGATTCCGGGGGAGGATTTGTCACGGAGATAAGGCTACATCGATGGCGCCAGACCAGGGCGGTGTCCTATCATCGTCTAGCAAGCTTATTCGGCCGGCACCGACTCGGCGTGGGGGTTTGACTCGGAACTGGGTGTCTGAGACCAGACATGCTCCGATCCCCCGCTATCCAAAATAGGCCGGACCTCAGGGCGATGCAGCCTATTCGCGATCAACTTTCGAACGGGTGAAGGGGTTTTATACGTCTCTACTTGACCTTTGGCGACTAGCCAATCAGAGACGTTGATGTCTTGTTGTCTTCCAAAATCATCCACGTCTGCTATTCGAATTAACACTCAGATCCGGCTTCCTTTTCAACTATTCTTCTCTCCGTCCGGTTTCATCTTATTCTTATGATCAAAGCACCAGGTCGTCGTCTCCGGCGTATTCTGGGGTAGAACACTACCTTAGGGGATGGTGGAAATTATGAGAGATAGGAGGAGTTGATGTCCTGTGTGGTTTAGGTACTTAAACACCGGCATGACACTATCGCCCCTTACTAATCCGGGCGGCCCTTGTGACCCACTTTTTATGAGACTCCGTTCATAGGACACAAATTTTGCCTCCCAAACATCAGCAAGCACAATAGCTCAGGGGTAGAGCGCTGGGCTCATAACCCAGAGGTCCCTGGATCGAAACTAGGTTGTGCTATCTAATTTACAATTTTTGTCCGTTGTGCGTCCTTTTGTTTAGTGCATTCGCTGGGTTCAGGTGAGAGAGAGGTGGTTGTACTGAAGTACTACGTACACTTGAATGCTTATATTAAACTCGCTCGCTGGCGACTTTCAAGTGTGCAGGGCTTTCTGGGTTCAGTTGTGTGGTAATGCTTTTAGGTTTACAAGGTTTCATGGTTTGTATGCACGCACTGGTGGCAGGAACATTGTCTTTTCTGTCGTACCTGAGGTAATAGTCTGTGTAAGGTTTGCTACGGCAGCCTGCAGGGCTGACTGCGACAAATTCCGAGTTCGCAAATACGGTAGGTGGGAGCTTACCTTCCACTTTCATCTTTAAAAAAAAAAAAAAAAAAAAAGGAAATTATTTACTCAGCTCGCTTAATACAGCGTGCTTATGCAAGCGACTGCCGCTACCAGCGCCCACTTTAGCGCCCACTTCGACCTTGAATAAGGTACCTCCACTTACCGGGCAAAGCCTACCTTACCTTAATTGCTAACGCCTAGGTACCTCACTTATTACGAACCCCTACTTCTGCACCAACTTCAGCACTTATGAGGGTATTTTTCTCCGGCGTTACTCGCTTTGGGGATTAATCTAAATGAGATCCAGCTTTCAAGGGAAATCACACAATACGACGTACACATAATACAGAACCACAGTACTAATACTACATCCCAAGTTCGTACTAACAGCCCAACGTAGTGATTATTTTAAGCAGTTACAGTGAGTCTAAGCCGTCAAAGCGGGTGCTGGTAAGTGGGAGCTAGTAGTGGCGATTACGTTCGACGTACGTGCCTTCTTATATAAAATATGAATAGAAGCAAGCAGTAGATACTCAAAAAAGTACTTGTTATTATAATTGGTCCTAAATATTAAAGTAAATGATGATAAGAAAAGCCCGTATTATTTATATCACACCTACCGTCACATTGTAGGGAAAAGAGGGGTTTGACCAAGTCGGCCTTGCAGGCTGCCGTAGTTTCTTGTTTCTATCTATCTATCTTGTGAACTCTTGCTATGCCCCCGAACTTCCTGCCTACCTTAGTCGCAGATTACCCGCGCCTTCGCTAGCAGAAGCCTCGAGTCATAGTGGTGGCCATCAGCAGTGCCAACCTTTACCAGAGCAGGTGAAATGTTGAGCAGCACGGTGCTCCCATCACCAAGCGGTTCCTTCTCCCAACCTTCGGCCGTCATGGACCCACTGTCGAAATGAATGCAGCCATCACCCATCACCTGCTCGCGGGGCCGATCCAGGTAGAAGTGAGCTTTGGACGCCATGAAGGTAGCCTGGAGCTGCAAAGCATTGTCAAATATCTTGCTGAGTCCTTTGCCGAGCTTCTTGCACTTGGCGGGGTAGTCGGAGCCGACCTTGGGAATGAATTTGGAGAAGGCTGCCCGCTCCATGCGGACGACCTTCCGCAACTCCGTTTCATCGACACCAATCATCAGCCCGATCATCTGTCCGGTTTCACCCTTCCAATGTATAAGGTTATCGGGGTTCATTCCCTTACGAGTGCATAAATCTGTGATCCGCAGTTGTCAGCACCATGCTCATTCTGTGGGAAAGCGCTTACCTACCCAGGAATTCATGAAAGCAAGTGGTGAAGTTCATTCCGACGGTGCCGGCCCAGCTCTTTCCAAAATTTCCATCCGGTCCGGGCTCAAAGACTCGTCCAATGACGGCTTTCCAGATGTAGTGTTCGACAACAAATGATCTCATGTCCTCATTTTGGAGCTGTTCAAATTGATTGGGGTCGATGGAATTGAGGACACAGGAGCCGTCGACGATGCCGATGCCATGCTCGAAATCTTCCTGTGTAGGACTGGCAGTGAGAATGTTGGAAGCAAGGTGCTCGATGGTATACTTCATCCTCGCCCACGCGGCCACGATCGAGGCGTCCGAGACCTTGCTAGAATTCGCAAAAGGCTGACCATGTGGTTTCGCGGCCTCGTCTCGATCGAGTTGGGACACGACGTTGGTGATCTGTGCCGCAAGCTCTTTGTTGTGTTGCTCAAGTTTGCTCATGGCATCTTGATGATCTGACTCTCGCTGGGCCAGCTTTGCCTCAGCATCAGCGGCCTCTTGAAGCACCAACGCCAGCTTGATTTCCTTGTCGGCCGCTTCATCGACTATCTTGGCCAGTATCTCCTCAAAACGATGCGCGTCTTCCTCGCACTTCTTCGCTGCCTTCTCGCGCTCATTCAGGCGGTCTTCCAGATACTCGATACGCGCTGCCTGTCGGGCAATCTTCGCCTTGCCCACGACAATGAAAGTGTGCTTTTGGTGGAGAGACACCGAACCGTTGTGGAGCATACACTTCTTCTTCCACTGGATAACTTCTAGGTTCTTGCTGAGAAAGACATTCCGTGTCTTTTGAATGAGCCTTTTGCGGGGAAGGAGGGATACTTGAGGCTTCTCGGAGGACATTGCCATCTGCGTGTAGGTGGTGTCGATGATCGTTGGTGGATGAGTCTTTGCCTCACCCTGCTCTTCTTTCGGCATATTCATGGGAGAGTCTGCACCAGTGACATCGTCATCGACGACACCCTTCCAGAATCAATGTTAATTTCAGAGGATCTTTTTTCAGGACTTTGAGTGCTTGGGGCAGCTTACCTGTCTATGCTCATCCATGATTCCGTTGGACTCCGTGGAAAACTTTCTCTGGCCGAGATTGGGAATTTTCGCAACTAAGCAAGCTTATCTAGGATATGGAGGGTTCTTGTATGAGAGATACACTCAGTAAGTGAGGGGCTGACGAGGTGAGGTGAAAGGAAAGTCGGGTATTAAGGTAGTCGATGTTTTGCACCTTCCCCTTCTGCACTCACCTCGCCCAACGGGCGCGCTTTCCGATTCAGATTGCTTTCTCTGAAAATTAGGCGTGAACCTGTCAGCTTGCACACTTTCAATTCCCTTCGTGAGGGTATCGCTTACCTCGGGCACTCCTTCTCTGTACTTTTCGATATCAGGTACCTTCCCTCTAGTTCCATGGCACCCAAGCTTCTCAGCGGCGTCTCAGCAGCACACCCAAGAAATAGCTTCTTCGCTTTCTTATTTCCAGTCAACATCTCACCATTTGCTCTCACTTCACGCTCTTCCGAATTCTCTAGCTTCAACTTCTTTTACTCACCAGCCTCCTTGAGGCTTGCGGTATGATTACTCCTCGGTGTCTCTACAACGCCTTACGTCCCTGAATTATCTTTTCCATGACCTTAATTTCTCCTCCTGACTACCTTACCTCAGTCATCAGACTTCCTCCAATTTGATCATCTCCCTTCTTTTACTGACGAAGCTCATCTAGGATACATCCCTGCAGAAGTTTTCGTTGGGAAAGTAATGCCCATCATGGCGAGAAATCGTGTCGCCAAAGAGAAGAAGAATGCCATCATCATCGGCATAGACTTCGGCACGACGTAAGATCACCTCATGATCATTTCTCATTGTCAAAATTGATGGATCATTCTGCTGATGACTCAAAAGCTTCTCCGGCGTCAGCTGGGCCCACTCTGGTCAGCCAGACGACATCGAGGTCATCAGCCGCTGGGAGTCCAAGATGAACCTTAACTCCGACAAAGAGAAAGTGCCCTCCTCCATTCTGTTCCGAGGAAAGCGCGGCAACTCCTCTTGGGGATACGCCATACCCAATGACGGCAAGCAGGAGCCATTGAAGTGGTTTAAGCTCTTGCTCGTTGACGAATGTGATCTTCCCGAGAACGTCCGAGATTCTAGCCAGATTGAGGCTGCCAGAAAGCTGGCTAGGAGCGCCAACAAAGAGCCGGTCGAGATCATCAGTCGATATCTTCAGCACCTATGGAATCACGCCATAGAGTGCATTGGAAGCACACTTGGCGATGTAATGGTGAAGATGTGTCAGTTCCACGTCGTCATCACTCTTCCGGCAATCTGGCCGGACTACGCCAAGGCCAGAATGCGCAGGGCTGCCGAAGATGCCGGCTTGCTGGAGGCACGGCCAGCTGGAATGACGAGCTTATCCTTCATTTCTGAGCCTGAAGCGGCGGCTCTGGCTACAATGAAGGACTTATCGAAGATGCCCACCGCCAAGGTCTGTAAAATATTGGGTTTTTGAGTGCTGTGGCACTGGCTAATTGCTACTCAGGTTGGCAATCACATCGTTGTGTGTGATGCTGGTGGCGGCACCGTGGACCTGATTACCTACGAGATTCTGAGTTTGAAACCATTCATCGTTCGAGAGGCAGTCCAGGGTGACGGTGACCTATGTGGCGGTGTCTTCTTGGATGAAGCATTTGTCAAAATGCTACAGGAAAAAGTCACACCGCAAGCTTGGAACAATATTCCCAAGGGGGAGGTTGCAAAGCTATTGAATAACGACTGGGAATATTGCATCAAGCCTTCTTTCAAGAATCTGGAAGACGACTGGCACGTCAGTCTTCCTCCTGAGTGTCGCGCTCCTGGATCTCAACAGCGCGGCTTGAAGCGCAAGCGCAACCTCGTCCTCGACAGTGAGGACTTGCTTGAAGTTTTCGACCCCGTCGTTAACCAGACAATCTCACTGGTCAAGAAGCAGATTGATGCCGTCATGACCAAAACAGATTCGAAGCCCAAGGTGAGAAGCATTGAATGTGGTGAATGGCAAACGTCTGACATTGAATTGGAAAGCAAATCATCCTTGTCGGAGGATTTGGCAGATGCCCGTATCTACGAAGTCGCCTCAAGGAAGAAGTTGGAAAGGACGTCGAGATTCTTCAGGGTCATGGCGCCAAGCCGTAAGTTCTCTTCACAGACCTTCCGGGCCGATGCTAACATGAGTCAGGTGGACTGCAATTTGTCGGGGTGCGACCATCCATGGACTGACGCGCCGCAACCTCGCACCTGGTCTCGCGGTCGAGATCCAGTCGAGAGTCTCGCGTCTCAGCTACGGCACCTGTTGCACGATGCCTTATGATCCTGTGGAGCATAACAAGGACGACAAGTTTTGGTGCAAGGAAGAGCTCACGTGGAAGGTTGATAATTGCATAGAATGGTTTCTTGAGCGGGTATGAAAACGAACTTCTTTTTTTGTCATTCTTGTCTGAATGGTAACCAAAGCTTACACATACACTAGGGGACTGATGTCTCTACCGCAGATCCGGTCTCCAAATCGTACTACCGTCTTTGGGAGTCAGTTCCCAGCGAGGTCAGTGACACAATCTATTCCAGCGCGGTATGGCCCCCTCCGAAAAGGTTGAATGACAGCGTCAACGAGCTATGCACCATTGCTTGGAGAAAGAAGATCAAGTTCTCATCCCTTCCGCGCTTCACTAATCCCATGGGCAAAGTCTTCGCAAAGATCACTTACGACATGGAGATGACCTGCTCCGGAAGAAGCGTGGATTTCACTGTCATACACGATGGCAAGCAGGTGGCAGCTAAGAATGTCGAGGTGGTCTTCAAGTCGGAGGACGAGTGACTGAATGGCTTTCAATCTCTGGGGATCAATTCATGGATGGATAGCGAAGAAGCTAAGGGAAGGGAATGACTGGCTTTTCCGGCATACATAGGAGGGAATGGCAGTCAGACAGCAGCTCCTCAGAACAGCTTGGAAGGGAGAATCAGAGCTGATATTAGAAGGGCAATTAAAAGGCAACAGAAATACTAGAACTTGACTTGCAAGATGACTTTCACATTCACATTTACTTCAATACCGTGAAAGCTTCATGTTTCCTCAGATTGGCTCATATGAAATTAATGGGCCCGAGATTCAAATATGCTGCCATGTTATCCTTCGTGGCCTCCATAAATCTCGTCTCCATGCACATTACTTGTGAAATGGCTCTAGATCGCCAGTGTTGCTGTCTTCGAAGCGGGCAGCGTTTTCTGCGGCGCGGCGCCGAACATGAAAAGCCTCATCGTCGCGGACGTCCTGTTCATGGTTTGCTCGTCATTTGAGGCATGACCATGCTGAATGAAAGTAGCAATGCTTGATGTTGTGGGAGACGTATAAAATCAATGAGAGACAAGGGATGATATGGAGGCGAGTGAGGTCGTCGCGGTGGAACGTGCACCAACGGGCCGTGCGGAGAAACCCGCCCCAGCGCGTCTTACCTAATACGCTTGGTGACCCACTTCTTTAAAACAAAGCCCAGGGGGAATGCAGCTCCATGTTCCAGCCCAGTTTCGGTCTAACCCGTTGCGGCCGGTCCATCCCTCGGTCGGGGGACGTCCAAAAGTCGACACCTCTTCGGAAACTTGACCACTGCCTGAACCTCTCAATAACCGGAAACTCAGTTGCTAACTCATTAAACCGCCCTCTATCCCCGAAGACGACGCAAAGGCTCGCTGCCATCGATTCCGGCCCGCGAACAGCATGAGTTCATGAGAAAAGGGTCCCATCGCGCCCTCGTTGTTGTCCCATCACAGCCCGCCATGGCCCTAGCTGGCCTCCCTCTCGTGAGAGGTCACCCCTTCAGCGGACTCTGGATCGCGTTCCTTCATCTCCTCTTCGCGGCCTCGGTATGCGCCTACACGCCGCTCTCAGCAGCCGTGCTCAAGAATGTCACGGTCTCCGAGACCGACTTTGACATTCACAACGGCCCGCTGCTGGCCCCCATTCTCATCCCTAGGGTGCCCGGCACAGATGGGCAGCTGAAGACTCAACAGCATTTTGTCGACTTCTTCACCAAGTCGCTACCAAAATGGAATATTCAATGGCAAAACTCAACAGATAAGACGCCCGTCACGGGAAACACCGATATCCCGTTCCAGAATCTCATCATCAGGCGCGAGCCGCCTTGGACGAAGCCCGGCCAGGCTAACTATCTCACCCTGGTGGCGCATTACGACAGCAAGATCGAACCTAAGGGCTTCATCGGCGCGACTGACAGCGCTGCACCGTGCGCTATGTTGCTGCACGTTGCGAGGACTCTGGATCCGATGATGACCCAGATGTACGATGAGATGGTCGCCCTCGGGGAGAATGGAGGCACCGTTCCTCAGGATATGGGTCTGCAGATCCTGCTTCTCGATGGAGAGGAAGCGTTCAAGTCCTGGACGGATACAGACTCATTATATGGCGCAAGGTAGTTCCATCATGGTATCGCATCAGACGTACGACACTGACACTATGCTGCAGGTCCCTGGCTCTCGAGTGGGAGAACACGTTCAACCCTGCCATGTCCCACTACAAGAACCCTCTCGAGCAGATTAGCATGTTTGTGCTGCTGGACCTGCTCGGCTCGGCAGAGCCTAAAATCCCTTCCTATTTCCAGTCAACCCACTGGGCCTATAAGGCCATGGCCGACATTGAGAAACGTATGCGTGACCTCAGCTTGCTTGAGACCAAGCCCAAGATGCCGTTTCTCTATGACATCAACAAGATGAACAAAATGTTTGGACGCAGTGGCATCGGCGACGACCACGTACCTTTTATGATAAAGGGCGTCAACATCTTGCACATGATTCCCTCACCCTTTCCCGACGTATGGCACACGATGGCGGACGATGGGGAGCACCTCGACATGCCAACGGTGAGAGACTGGACGAAGATTGTGACGGCATTTACTATGGAGTGGCTCGATGCAATGGAAATAATGCCCGAAGAGGCACAAAGGTAGCATACCTAGAAATATGTCCTTATTCGTAATCATCTCTGTTCCCCGCTAGTTTTTGTGCTATCAGAAGAAACAAACTTGAACCATTTCGGTCGTGGTGGGGGTTCATGTTCTCACGCAACGCCTTTGTCACTGGTGTGGTAAACCATACAAGTGTTGAACCTCACTACCTAAACGAGGGGCAATCTGGTTAATGTCAAAGAAATGAATGCAGCCTTACCCTATGCTCAGTAAACCAAAAAGCTGTCAGCTGCGCGCGTATTCCGAACAGTCCGATTTAAGGTGCCCTCCGTTTCTCCGCAAGGTGTACATGAAGCAGCCCGCTTCCTCCAGACGAGACAGGGCAAATTTGACAAGTTCATCCTTCAACCACTACACTACACCCTACACACACTATACTACCGAACGCGCGGAAGGTCCAAAACAGAGATGGAGAGAGAAATCGAAAGTCTTCAAAATCAGGCCCAAAGCTTGCAAAAGAAAAGGAGCTTCACGACTTCTACGGCCATCAGCAACAGCCATTCGCAAGCAGACACGACGTCTATCGATGAGATGTGGAAATCAGTCAAGGAAAAGATACCGCCCAACCGATTCATCAGTCTGTGCGAGGATGGTTACATCGAGTATATTATTTGCAGCGATAACCAGAGTCACAAAGGTGACACGGAGAATCCGAGCAATTCGACCGGTGGGGAGGACGTGGGAGAGTCAGGCGATGCCGCTGCGGGGCCTTTGGCGATCTCGGTTCTCGTCTCCCGCCAGATATTGGCGGAAGCTTCTCCATGCTTTGAAGAATTGCCGACGCACAACAAGCACCATGTGGAGAGATTACCAGAAGATCGTGCCGAGCCGATGCTTGTTCTCTTCGCAATCGCCCACAGCACCTATCCGGAAATCATCCCAACGGAGGTCTCTGTTGAAGAGCTCCTTGACCTATTGGCACATGCTGAACGGAACCATCTCACGCATCTTCTGGGTCCGCACCTCCAGATTTGGTTGTCCGCACTGGACGAGAGGAAGGTTTCTGTTCACGAAGACCGCGTTGCCTGCATCCTTTGGGAGATTGGCGCGGGAGACAAGTACGACGAGATGGTCGATTACCTGGGCTTCATAAGTAGCATCGATGAGCAACAAAACATCCTAAGCCCAGCCAAAACTCCATTGGCAAAAGATCTCAGCATCGGTCGAACAGGAATCCCTGGTGAGTCTCTCGCATTTTGATCGTTGGCGAGTCAAAAAGCGACATTGTCTAACGAAAACAGACGATGTAGCTACAGTTCGCGAAGCAAGACTCTCATTCATGTTCCACCAGCTGAAATTCGCCATAATGTACGGCAGACTCGGCAAAGGCTGCAACGCTAGTAATACAACAGACGAGGATCGGTATCAGTGCACCTCTGTGATTCAACATTCCTTGACGGAGATTTGCAAAACGATCGATATAGACGCTCGTGCCTTCGCCGCGTCAGAGAAGCCGCATTATCTAGGTAGCGTCAAGCAAATTTGGGATTCGCTTGCGAAAATGGCGTGTACTACCATTCAGGACCACGAGTCTTGCAATCCCGTATTAGACATGAAGGAGCGGCCAGAAAACTGGTCGCCTATAGAGTTTGCCTCGAGGCGGGAGCTACATTTCACTTGGCAGGCGCGGAACGCAGGATGGTCGCCCCAATAGAAAGTTGAGCCTCGAGACATGAACGTGGGATATCAATGATTCTTTGGGACTCTCCTCAAGCTTGCCATTGGAGTGTTCATTAAATTAAGAAACCGGAGCGTATAAACAAAGCGTGCAAGAGAGACAAAGCAACACTGATAAGCTGACAAGAATGTATGTCACTAATCGTGAATTATGCCTGTTTACTTTCTTTTAAGGTTCCTGCCCATTGAAAGTTCAAAAAGAGACTAACTATAACTAAATCACTTTTATTTGTTTAAAAATGTAATGAATCGAAGTGATTCAATACTTTAATCTCTACATTACTTTCAAAAAAAAATTAGTTATTGAAATAAGAAGTAAAGGCTCTCAATTTTAGGTTGAACGATAGAAATCTGTGCTGAGACCTTAATGGCTAAGCAGCGGTGCCGCTCCTAGATCGCATCGTGCCACAAGGGATCGAGGTTGGCTCAGTGCGATGTCGGCTGCGCTCAATCCCTCTTTGACTGGTTGAAAGTCGCCGACACGTCCTATGCCAATTTGAGTTGGGAGGATGGGACAAGCCCCGATATCCTGGATTCGTTCATCCCCTACGGTATCAACGGAACGCGCCAGACAGACAAGACAAGCGGCCGGTACTGTGATGATTCATTCCGCGAATCGAAACTGAGAGCTGGTTGATCGGTATAGCGTGATTTTCTTTCCTGGCCAAGTCCGAATCTGACTGGGTCAAGGCTTTCAGCGGTTGTCATCACTTCAAGGAGGAATGCGCCATTGCATTGGGATCTGGATATTTGACGATTGCGATGACCGATGAAGCGTTCGCCTTATCTTTATTGATGTGCGCGGTCATCTAATCTCTGTCGAATAACTTTGTTGAGAATTGAGATTAACTCATCAACGATATCCTATCGACTCATCGAGCCTGCATGGTGTGGTCTGAATAAGGATTGTCAGCTTCGGTTCCTGGTCTCATATAAAGAGACCCACGGAGTATGCCATTAGTATCCAAGCCATGGCGATGGCTGAGCCGAAGCCCCTTGCCGTTGAGGAGCTGTCCATCAGTGTCAAACTTCGACATGAGCACAAGACCCTGAGCCATGCCTTGAAAGGCCTTTTCGTGTCCAAGCTCCCAAGCCATCCACAAGAAAGTTTCGTTCCCTGCTCTTCCCAGATTAGGTGATTAATGTAGGATTTTCTCTGTTCCTCGAGATCTCTACTACTCGAAATCATACTTCTAAACTGGGAAGTTAGTCTGTAGGTTCGCTTAGTGCTAGCAGAGTAGGCTGAAATAAAGGAGGGAGGCGCGGAGCTCCTGTTGAGTCAACATACACAGGTCTTTTAGTAAAGATACGTACGGGGGTCACCCCAGACCAAAGGATAATGAGAGCTCATTATGAAGACCTCTACCGTGAGAGATCCCCCCTCCCCCCCTCACAGGTAAGGTGCGTAATTTAGGGACTTGGATTCTGGATCGATGATCGTCTGCTGGATTTAGTCCAATTTTCTCGTTCTAGATTCAACCCCACGACAACGGATGGCTTTATTCACAAATGATGCAATTGCTTGATGATACCAAATTTTGAATTCAATTTCATCATATGGCTCTCCACCCGCAACGCCTTGAATGCCCATAGACTTGGCTAACAGTAGGTCCAAGGTACAGATCATCGGCGCAACTTCAGATACGAGCTTTTCGCCCTTGCCCTCTTCTCACGCAAGAGCTTCCTCTCCTCGGCCGAGTACAAACCATCTCCCGTCTTCTCTCCTAACCTCCCTCTAGAAACGTACTTCTCCTCCAACCAGTCCGTATACCCGGCCTTCTTTGCGTCCACCACTCCCATGTTCACCCTGTTTCTTTCAACCTGCCACACAGTATCCAGCCCGACCTCATCCATCTTCTCGCAAGGCCCTTTCTCTGCGTGGAAAAAGTCCCGAAAGAGCGCATCGATATCACGGGGCGACGCAAGTTCCGCCTGCAGCACCCTCAGCGTGTCTGACTTGACGGCGGACCATATTCGGTTGAAGACGAAGCCGACCGACTCGTGGGGGAGCGCCAAAGGGTTGAACCCCACACTTTTCATCTGCTTCTTCAGAAAGGGCATGAGTTCCTGGTCTGTGACGCCGCAAGTCATGAGCTCGACGTAAGTATTACGCGGTGGCAGGTGGTAATGCGTGTTCAACAGTCGCTCCGGCCGTGTAATCAGATGCCTCAGCGCGGACGTCGGCCACGTCGAGCTGTTGGACGCCAGGATGCAGTCCTCGGGGACAAGTGCATCGACTTTGCCCAGCACCTCGCGCTTGATCTCTGGGTCCTCGGGGAGGGCTTCGATGACCATCCAGGGATTACGGCCGCAGGATTCCTCCAACACCGTGCTGGTGGTGATCCTGCCTGGATGTGTCTCGCGTACGGCGCAGACTGTGGTGAGCGCATCGCCGATATAGGGCATCGCAGAGGAGAGCACCTTGGCATCGACGTCGTGGAGAATGACGGGGCGGCCCGTCGAGGCCCACATTACGGCGAGCCGTCGGCCGAGGACCCCCGCCCCGAGGATGACGACCGGCCGGGAAGTGGGGTCGCTGGGCGGCGTCCATTTCGGCGTGACTGGCGCCGCTGCTGCTACCTCAGGAGAACGGCTTGAGAATTGGCGAATTTGATGTAGAGAGGAGGAGGAATTTGATTGCCGGCATTGAGTTGTAAGTCGGGCTTTGGGGAGGAGTACCGCCTTCGTCACTGGCAGGGTTCTGGCGATTGCCACGGGGTTTGTGATGCTTCGGCTTGTGTTGCCGCTTATTAGGGTGGGTTGAGTGCGCCATAGTTGTTGACAAGTTCTTCTAGATGCCATTATGATGCGTAGCCTCTCTAGCGTCTCTGCTAGATCCGGGGGAAAGGTGGTCCATTTTATGTTGTTGGTTTGCCGCTCCGCACTGAGCCGATGATGATGGCACTGTCGCCTGATGAGAATGGCCGGAATGGTGGCGTGATGTTGTCGACTAACACTGGGCTGACCTCAACCGCCAAGTTCGGGTCTTCGCGGCTGGGGTCCCAATTACATCACGCAACTGGGGAAAATCCCCAGATCTCCCCGGAAAAGCATGGTCACTTGCTCGGGTAGTCGATGCCGCCCGACGCCTAATCCCCGCTCCTTCCCTTGCAAATGTGGCCCCTCCAACGAGGGGAAGGCCATGATCCGTCTCGGAGGTGTTGGCGCGACGACGCGTAGTGTCGTCATCTAAGTGAAGTCTTCGTAAAGTCCTTTGAAAGTAGTCATTTTTCAGATGACATGAAGAATCAATGATTAGATTGGGAGTCCTTTTAACTCGTGAGAATATACTCAGAGGTTTCGAGAATTCGCAGGTTCATTCACTTCGCTGATTCTTTTCAATAGCTTTGACGATGATGGAGCTTCTTATTCTGACCACCAACGCCTCACCTGGAGAGCGTGGGGATGTACCCAGCACGTGCCTAGGTATCTCCACGCTGAACGATAGTGGGGCTAGCGGTCTGCAATTGGCCCCAAGTTCAATTGTGGGTGTCCGTTTTCTCCCCGAACAAATTCCGTCGGCCGACTCTTGTGCAACTTCAGCAGCAACTTGAAGACCAACCTCAACGCGGTCGCCAGCTTCCCTTCAGTGCACTCCGAACCGACGCAGCACAGTCAAAGGCGTCGTCTTCACAGCCTGCCATCTGTGCCTGAGCAGCGCACTGTGGAATGTCACCCTGCTGGCAATAATGTGCGGGATCCACGTCGTCGTTTCACGCGACGGCTTCCAGTCGCTGCCCCCAGACGTCAAGGCCTGCCTCTGCAACCGCGGTCCGGATCACCTCGGCCAAGTTTGCTGCCAAACATCAGGCGGTAGCAATGGCTCTGTCTTTCTGACTCTGACCTCGACGGTCCTGGCTCTGCGCGGGGATCATGTCACGCAGCAGCCCTTTTGCGACGCGTCTTCTGGATCTGTCCTATGCTGGAACGGAGAAGCCTGGAAGATTGCGGGTGAACCCGTCCAAGGGAACGACGGAGAGGCAATTTTTGCTTTGCTTACAGCGGCCAGTAGCCGCGATACCGCGGAGGACGCGATTTTGAATGTGCTGCGCAGCATTGAGGGCCCTTTCGCTTTTGTCTACTTTGACGCGACTTCGTCCCGTCTGTTCTATGGTCGCGACCGACTTGGTCGACGCTCGTTGCTACTCAATGGAGAGGGAGGTATCAGACTATCCAGTATATCTGAAAGCACGTCATCGTCGTGGGGGGAGGTGGAAGCGGATGGCATCTACGTCGTCGACTTCGTCTCTTGGGATAGTGACTCATTCAGCCCAACTTCGCCTCGCTCTTGGACGCCAGGCGAGACTGAGACGGTAAGCTAGATGTCTCCCGCGGCATACACTACGTTTTTGCTACTTACGATATCAGGTCCTCAATATCGGGGTCTTCAATATGACACTTCCACCATCAGACGTCCAACCATTGTCAGCAGTGTCGCCGTCAGTGCAGGCTGTCAGACAGCAGATGACGCAGTCACTAAAGTTACGTGTCTTGAACGTTCCTGAACCCCCAGATCACAATACCGGCAACGACACGCGATTAGCTGTTCTATTTTCCGGCGGGCTGGACTGCACGATCTTGGCGCGTATGGCAAGCGACATAGTCCCGTCCGATCAAGGCATCGACCTGATCAATGTAGCCTTTGAGAACCCTCGCCTAGCAGCGAAGGCTGACAACTCTCCTGGCGGGCCGAGCCTCTACGAGGCCTGTCCAGACAGGATCACGGGAAGGAAGTCCTTTGCCGAGCTAACTAGTGTCTGTCCTGCCCGCAGCTGGAGGTTCATTGCCGTAAGCTCCTTCAGCACGCTCAGCGGCCTTCCCATGCTAATCTCAGACAGGTGGACATTCCCTATCAAGAAGTGCTTGAACATCGAAGCCAAGTTATCTCTTTGATGTATCCTCATAACACCGAGATGGATCTCTCCATCGCCTACGCTCTCTACTTTGCTGCCCGTGGCGTCGGCATGTCGCAGAGTACTCCGTCGGGTCCCGTTGTACAATACGCCACGCCAGCGCGAGTACTTCTCTCGGGCCTCGGAGCCGATGAGCTCTTTGGCGGTTACGTGCGTCATACCACCGCCTTTTCGAGAAGAGGTTATGTGGGCCTTCTCGAGGAACTCAAGTTGGATGTCAGCCGGCTCGGGAAGCGCAACTTGGGACGCGACGATAGAGCCATGTCCCACTGGAGTCGCGAGGTGCGCTTCCCGTTTCTCGACGAGCAGTTTGTCAAATGGTCTATCGAATGCCCGGTCTGGGAAAAGTGCGACTTTGGCTTCACCGAAGCAGATTCGGGGGTCGATCCTGAGAAAAGGGTGCTGAGGCTTCTTGCGAAGGACCTCGGCATGTGCGCAGTCGCACAGGAGAAGAAGAGAGCGGTAAGAACCATATTGAATGAGGCCAATGAATAAGTCACTAACCAACCTACCAGATTCAATTCGGCTCAAGGACCGCAAAGATGGAGAGTGGGAAAACGAAGGGAACAACGCTCATTGCTCCGTGAGTTTGTTGCGGGATGCGAGTGCTTCCCGAGGCTGGCGATGATGACGTACAGATACTTCCGAGCTGGCGGTCCCTTGAACGATGTGGCCAGCAATTGTGCGTTTCTGTTCTGCAGTAACCCTTTGCTTCCAGCCTGCGTTCAAGTATACATACAATGACCGCTAGCAATGATGTCGTAAAGGCAAGTCTGAGTCAGAGGAGACTTAAACCGAGCTCACTATGAGAAGGTGACAAGAATCAAGTTTCGACGCTTTTTGAAAAGCGCTCTCTAAACCCCAAGGCCGGATTCAGCGACGTTGTTGGTTACATGGACCAAGCCGTGAAGCGAATTTCCTCCAAGCCCCTCAGCATCATGAATGAAACGCAAGTGGCCAGGGAAAATCTCACTGATGGAGCGACGATGGCAAGGCTGTGAGACAGTGGCACATGGTCAACCATCCTAAAGTAGATATATTGCGACTCGGCAGTCCCCATGTAAGCCGAGATCACGCACATGTCGGGGATTCCCAGCCACCCCTTGCCTCGAGGTTTCCTGCATATTGCGCCACCAACAGCGTCCCCATTCCGGCTTGGCAGCATCGCTTAGCTATTCTCAGGCCCAAGGAGACACAATCGGCCCTGTCACAGCATCGCTGGTGGGGTAGCGACGGGCTGTGCTGTCTCTGTGTGATCCTGTTGCCTTGACGATCCACCCACAAACAAACCCAAGGCAGATGATTGTGCTGCACGGTGTCGGCCGCTTTTCTTACTTTAAAGTAAGCAAGGTTCACATTTCCTGATGTTGTCAAGTCCTTCCCACGTACAATGCCAGGCTACAAGCGTTGTTGATTATTTGCAATCTGAAGGCTAGATTCTGGCCGGCAAATGAGCAATCATGCACCACCTTGAAGGTCCCTGGGCGGCGGCAGATAGTTCCAGGCGCCCGCCGTACAGTTCGGAGCCATCGGACCTCTCAAGAGACGACCAGAGACCGCTAATAAATGTGCGGTCCGGCGACTCAACGGAGACCCGCACCGAACTGCCAGAGTCCGAGCAACCCCCCACACCGAAGAGCTCCGTGACCGCCGAGCCCAGCGCGGCCCTCATCTCCGGCGATCCGAGAATTGCCTATAAAAAGCTTGCCAACACGGACCGGGACTCGACCGAGTCACCCCGTCACGCCGGGTGGGACTACACGTCAGGAAGAACAGATACAAAGTCCCATCTGTCCCACAAGGAATCCGGCCTTGCTCCTCCTGGCCCCAAGCAGCCATGGACTTCGTCCCTCATGGGCTGGCTACCCGAGCTGCTGTGGTCCATCATAAGCATCGCCTCCGTCGCCGCCCTCGCGGGAGTCTTGTCCCGGTTCGACGGCCAACGGCTGCCCGAGTGGCCCCTGGGGCTGACGATCAACGCGCTCATCGCCTTTCTCGCGACGCTGGCGCGGGCCGCGTTCGTCATCCCGGTTTCCGAGAGCCTGTCGCAGCTGAAATGGCTTTGGTATCGCAAGGAGAGGCCTTTGGAGGACTTTCAGGACTTTGACTCGGCGAGTCGAGGGCCGTGGGGGAGTATCCAGTTGTTGAAGACGACCAGGGGTTGGTGAGTTTTTTGTGGGGGGGGTTTCTGGTACCGGTGGGAGGAGAGGGTTTGGTTGAAGTTGCTGACTACGTACGCAGGTCCCCGAGTCTCATCGCCACGATCGTCATGATCACGGCAATCTTCACCTCGACCTTGACGCAGTCTGCCGTGACGTACCCCGTCCGTCTTGCGCGCGTAGACGGAGATGCCACGGTAGCCAGGTCCACGTCGTACTTTTTCAGTACTTCCAATCTCTTCTCCGGAAGTATGAACTCCCTCGTCCTCCTCTTCTGCCTTCGTCTGCATGCCACGTTTTACTAAAAGAGCCCCATGTAGTGAACCAGCAACACTATGTCCAACAATCCATATTCGAAGGCCTGAGCTACGATCACACCCAAGAATTCCCCCTCAGCCCGGCCCGCTGCCCCACAAGCGAATGCCAGTGGGACGCCTACAGCTCACTGAGTATCTGCGCCAAGTTCTGGAACATCTCGGAGTCGCTAAACGTCACCACCAAGAAGAGGCCAACCGGCGGCCCCTTGGTACTCGTCTCGCTCCCCAACGGGCTGTCAGCGAACTTGAGCGAGCCTCACTATGGCCTCGTCAACCTGAGGGGCACGAGCGAGCCGATTGCCTCGGACGTAGACCCCGAGGCGGCGCTGTTCAATTTTACGGTAATCTACTCCCTGCGGGAGGGGAATGATGACACGATCGGTGCCGTGGAGGCTGTGCTGTATTTTTGTGCCAAGACGTATACTCTCTCGTTCACGGGCAACATCGAGTCGCGCGAGGTCCTCGATGTCACGTTGGAGGTTGAGCCGGGCTCCATCACGTTCCCGACCGGCCAGGTACGGGACGACTTGCCGGCGATACGAGATCCTCTCAACCCCGAGGGCGGCAATTTCCCCTACGGCGGTACGGGGCTCGGTGCGATGCGGGAGAGTCTGGCGTACGCGCTCAACGGGTCGTATGCGGACCTAAGCGGGATCCAGAGTACACTCGGCCTGGCGCCGGCTCGGTACTGGGCGGCGTTGCAGTATGGCGCCAAGACCTTGGAGGCGCAGGGGCGGATGAACGTCTCGCAGGAGGTTGTGATCAAAGAGTCTGTTGCGAATATTACGAATAATATTGCGAGGAGCTTGTCGAACCGGTGAGTTCCATATGGCACTTTCTCCGATGTTTTTGGAGTCATGGATACGGTGGCTAACTGAGGATAATGCAGGATTACGGATGACACCACAATTGCAAGAGGGAAAGCGCTTGCGGCGGAGACTTTTGTAAAAGTTCGCTGGCCTTGGCTCGCATTTATCTCCTGCCAGGTCGCCCTCTCAATAGTCCTCCTGGCCTTCGCCATCATTCAAACAAGGTCGGCGGGGATCGGCGTGGTGAAGAGCTCTACCCTGCAGGCTATGGTGGCCATCAACTCGAAGGATAAGCAGACCCTCGAGATTGGACTTGCGCAGAGAAAACACCAGGAAGAGGTTGACGATATCGTCAGGAGAGGTCCTGGAATAGCCTGGAGCTTGGGCATGACTGATAGGGGATGGAGTCTACGTATTTGACTTCGAGCGCTGTGTCAGGGGCCACTTTTCTGGATTTTAATGAAGACGATGCAGACAAATGTGAGATTTAAAGACAGGAACACGAGCACTTGAGCACCAGAAACCTTGTAAGCACAGCCGACTTGACATCATCATGTGAGGGTGATTCCAGCATATTTTCATCGACCGCGTTATCAAATGTGTTGTCAAGCTCTCCGTCTGCCGAGACTTCTAGTACTATGGACGATCAATCTTCAGAGGCTTCCTCAATCTGCTTTGACGCTCTCTGGCTTGAGTGATGCGGGTCAGGAATTCTTTGACTTTCTTATATCCTAATTCATCTTCAATTACCACCACTCCATCTACAGTCCATTCTGCCTTTTTGAAAGTCAGTCTCCAGAAGGAGTGGAATCACGAAAACCCCAGCCTCTCCGTCTCCTGAACCCTCGGTAAGCAACAGTAAGAACACAGCGTGACCTCATTATTTCTATCAATATGGTCCAGGCGGAGTAGCAGCATAGCTACTCCGATTTCTTCTACCTTGGTTCTGAAATATCTGCCATCAGCAGCACGATGCCTTAAATCTTTAAGTCTTCATTGACCTCCTCCGTCTTAAAGTGTAACTTGTGTACTTCGACCAGACCCCTTCATCCTTTAAAATATCTCTTGGTTTGTAGATTTCGGTCCAAAATCTCTCTATCACCACTCTCAACTTCTTTGAGTTTATCAAGTAGGTGATAATACGGGCTCTTTGAGCTGAACTACTGGATGGTGGAGCTCTCCTATAACCAGCACACCGGGTCTGTCGACTTCGGAAAATCTCCTCCAACCTCTCTAGTACCGGCAAAAAGTTCAGTGCAAGTGAGCATGTACTCACACTAGGGAGTTGTGTATAAATCACTGTCTGCAAGCAACTTGGCGCTTTACCCGCTTGGGTCATATTTACACTCTGCCTTCTCACGATGACACCTTCGTGCTTTACTAATGCGATTATCTTAAGCAGCCACGATAATACCATCGAGTCGTGGTGAAAAATCAAAATGGTAAAGCAAATTACTTTGAAGGATTCTCGTAGTTGGACTACCAGGGGTCTCGCTCCTGCTAGTCACTTCGCTACAATTGATAACAGGCTCCACTTTCCAGTGACTATCATTCAATTTAAATTTTGCCCGCGGACATGATCAATCCGCACTCTCACTCTACTTTTCCCTCTCGATATGCAGCCAGCGTGGTAAAGACGATGCTTCGACAATTTCTGGATCGTGGACTCTCCGAGACCGGTCTCCGGGCTCTCGGCAGATGCCACCTCGATGTCAAGTTACTATGCCTCCAGCGTTTCGTGCGCATGTTCGCGTACGGCGCGACGACCCTGCAGCTAGTAGCGTACTTTGAACTACTCGGCTTTTCAGCGACGCGCATAGGCCTGTTCATGGCATTCACTCTGGTCGGGGATGTCTGCATCAGTCTGGTCCTCACCTCCATCGCCGATGGCGTAGGGCGCAAGGCGGTGCTTGCTGTAGGGGCCGCTCTGATGGCCGTCAGCGGTGTCGTTTTCGCAATCTGCAGCAATTTCTGGGCGTTACTGGCCGCTGCTGTCGTAGGAGTCATAAGCCCAAGGTCTCACCACACACGCTCTCCGAAAATTGAGACTATGGAAGACTAACAGTCAATAGTGGCAATGAGATTGGGCCTTTCCGCGCCGTCGAAGAGAGCATCGTCGCGCATCTGACCGTCGCTGAGGACAGGAGCGATGTGTATGCCTGGTACAGCCTCATGGGAGCCGCTGGAACGGCGTTTGGGGCAATGACGAGCGGCTGGACGGCGCAGTACTTGACGACGAAGGCCGGCTGGGAGCTCGAGCGCACGTATCGCGTAGTCTTCTATGCATATGCGGCGCTGGGTGTGTTCAAGTTTGTCCTGGCATTACTACTAAGCCGTGATACGGAGGCAGAACAGGACGAAGCTAGGGTCTCTGAGGAGGAGACTGTCCCCATTCTGGGCGAACGACCGGCGATGAGACAAGTCGACGTCAAGACTTGGCGGTCAAAGGTGGTTCCTCGGGTCGAGAAGGAGAGCCTGCCTGTGGTCATCACCTTGTGTGTCCTGTTTGCGCTTGACTCCTTCGCATCGAGCCTGACTCCCCAGTATGCCTCCAATAGTTCCTTTACGATTCTGAAAGCTAACGTTTCCCAGATCCTGGATTGCCTTCTTTTTCCGTTGGAGATTCAAGGTGGATGATGGAACCCTGGGGTCTCTGTTCTTCACAACGAGCTTCTTGGCCGCAGTCACAACTCTGGTCGCGTCTTCTATAGCCAAACGAATCGGCAACCTGAACGTACGTACATAACTAAAGAACCCGTTCCAGATCTTTGTAGCCCCGATAGACTGACCTTTGACACCCAGACAATGGTCTTTACTCACCTGCCCTCAGCCATCTTCACCGCGCTCATCCCTCTACCGCGAGATGCCAACACGGCCATCGCCTTCCTGATCCTTCGCGCGCTGACGCAATCCATGGACGTCGCTCCGAGAGCCGCCTTTCTCGCGGGTGTCATCTTGCCCAAAGAACGCACTGCTGTAATGGGGCTCATCAACGTGTTAAAAACCGGCGTTTCGAGCGTCGGCCCAGTGGGAGTGGGAATCTTGGTGGACAAGAACCTTTTCTGGGTCGCTTTTGTGGGCGCGGGATGTCTCAAGGTCGTTTACGATCTTGGCTTGCTGGTTTGCTTCCGCAAAAATGAGCGAGAGCAAAATGATGAAGCGGGAGGAAGTGCTTAAAGGCATTGGGGGACTGCGTTTTGAGCAGTGCGCATGCAAATTTCTTGCTGGAAAAAAGGAGTAGGGGTATTTTTGTCATTGGACTGCGGACATATCATTCAAGAGACAAAGTTTGGACTGCAATTTGGACGGGGAAGGTTGTGTTAACCAGTCATGTGTATGAAAGCGATCAGCCAATGCCTCCGTTTTGATCTCTGAATCTTTCCATTGCAGCAGAATCTCAAGTCCCTGGACTACGCATGCCAGCCAGAATCTTGTCAGACAACTTTAGTCGCAGCTTCCGAAGGAGCTGTGGATCCAGCCTGTGCAGCAAGCATGGAACTCGGCGGGGGTCTCCCGTCTGTTAGGGCAGTAGAACTCCGCCTTGTGGAAAGGTGCAATGACAACGTCGTCTGAGTTACGCCTTAGTCTTAGGCGCAGAAGGATGGCCAAAGGATAAAGAATTAGCACTTACCACCGCAGCAGTGGGCAGTGGAACCCTGGGAGCCCTGGTCGTTGCCGTCCTGGTTCTTGAACTATAGTGACAGTAGTCAGCTCTGTAAAAATAAAAACGTAGCTAGATTAAAGCTACAGCAGGTGAGAGTTGCGTGAGACGTACAAGACACACGCATTTGCGAGCATCAACCAGGCTGCTGGAGATGAGCAGCATGGTGATGGTAGAGATGATGGATGTCTTCATTTTGAGTTTGGTGGGGTATTAGCTTGAAGTTGTGATGAGTTGTTAGAATTTTCTGTCTACTAATCGGATAAATCGCGAATCGCGAAGACCTCCGCCTCTTTATAGGATTGACAGTTGACAGCTTTCTCTGAATCCTCTCCACTATTCTCGATACACGGTGGAGCTACGGATACAATAAGAAAGTCTTGCAAAGGGTAACCACATGTAATTTCTTACCCTGGAGTTAGCAGGAGACAACAATCATGGATAACAAAGTTAATGTTTGGACTTCTTGTGGTTGACGACAGGCACTTCTCATGCCCCGTGTATCCATATAGCCAGCCCACGAGTCATCTAATTTTCTACCGTAGGCACGATATCTTTGACAACACGACGAGTAGAACAGCGGTATCGGATGATCTGCCCTTGATTCTAGCCTACGAAAAAGCTAGTTTATATTGTTTGCGACAGCTTGACCAAACCGAAGTCTTGCGCACCGCCTCATATCGGAGCAGGCGCGACTCGGCCTCGCCTTCTAGAATTTTCCCGCAAAAGGGCGTCCCGATCATACACGGTTCAGACCGCAAGTTTTGCCGCAGAATCACGCTGACTTCTTGTCGTTTTAACAGCGTCGCTTTCAATCTCCCGACCATCGAAAAGACGCCTACCTAGGTAGGAAATCGCGCTCTCAAAGATGCGCCTTCCCTACCTCAGGACCCGCTGGACAGAAATTCACCCGCGGCGACCCCGTGAACGAGTTCTGTGGGGCATCGACGTCTTCGGCGTCATGAAGAGAATCCGGGGAACGATTCCCGACGCCGCATATCCGGGATGCCCGTTGGGGAGGGGAAATTTTCCATTCGCACCGCAAAAGCCGAAGCCATGAACCCTGAAACTCGAAAGAATCCCTGTTGATTCTCCCAATAATGATTCACAAGTAATGAGCATGGTGATTACCGTATCCTTGGGGACTTTCATTGCTGGTTCGCTTTTGCCCCGTGACAAGATAACTCTGTCTCGGCTCGGCCCCACATCGCCGGCAGACCGGGTTGTGTTTGCCCCCACCTTCTCGTCCGGAAGTTGTGACTCTTGCTTTCCGAACGTCCCCCGGATTCAGATTTACTGGCCAAATTAGCGTTCTTGCTCCATCACCAAATACAATCGTTCCTGCGACCCGCCCAGTTTCGTACTTCATGCCAATTCATTGGTCGTACAATCACGATCTGAAAGTTCCGACTCCCGAGCAAAGGACAACGCACCAAATCGCATAGAGACCAGAGTCTTTCCGCAAAGATGTAGCAAAGATGCTGTGATTTCTGGTTATATTGCGTTATTTCCTTTCGTCACAAACCAGCCACATAGGTAGACGGCGGTGGCGGCGGCAAGAGGAGAATAATGTGTCCGAGAACGACGGTGGTAACATAAAATGAAAGATAAAGAGATCCAATGATCCTCGGGGGAGGGAATGTTGAGTGTCATATGATTCAGCACAGATCACAGAGTACTGCAATCTTGGTAAGCCCATATCTCCATCCACACCGGCATTGCTATCGTGGGGTGGCAATATTATCTCTGCGTTGTGCACAGGAGCCTAGGTCGTCATGACAATGTTCAGTCTAACATGGCCGCCAGATTAATGCCACATTAGGCCGTTCAATACGGAGCTTGAAGAACGCATATGATGGATAAAAGGCACCGTCAATGGCAGAAGCTGGCATTCAATCAATATTGCAAAGACCAGTCGCACACACCCGTCTCGAAAACCCTCGGCAACGCCCAGTCTCGTCCTCACGATGTTCCAGCCAGCGGTGTCGCTTGAAGACGACAAGAAGCATCAGGCAGGTGCCAAACCGCAAAGGATCACGCCAAAGCTTCGGAAGAAAGGATTATACGACTCGGTTATCCTGCATGAGACGTATCAGAGGACATGGGCGATCATATAGGTGTACCACGGTTCGGTTGGTGGTGGTATGGTCCGACGGTTGATAGCATACACGCCATGATTTCAGAAACGCCTGGATCCAGAATTCCTTTTCACGGAAGGGAAAGCGACGTTTCGTTTCCAGGTTCCACGCTGTTGAAAAAGATGGGATGGAGAAGACCCCGGGAGAGAGAGGCTGTGCTGCGTTGGCAAGGGTTACCTACCCGCCTCGCATAACCTCCTCAGATCCGGAAAGAGACAACTCAAATCACTGCTGATTAACGGCAAAGACGTAGGGGTTTTCCAGAGAGCCTGTGCGACGTTGAGTAAGCAAGGCGCACCATATGGTATCTATTACCATCGACAAGTCTCTGGTTCATCGGGCCGAGGCCTCTTGGAATCTGGATGTGTTCAGGTCCCGGGCACGACAGAGAAATCCAGGCTCGGTTCGGGTATTTTTTTCTGAGCTTCGAGAATGCCACCGCCGGGGGGCGTGACTGATCGAGGTTCATCTGGTCTGAGACTCGTCCGAGCCCGAGAACCACCAACAATGGCGGGCTGGCCCTGAAAGAGTAAAGGGCCCCCCTGGTAACGAACCCCATGGTGGGTGTTGCGCTTGGCGTCTCCAGAACGAGCCTCACCAGGGCCACCAGGGGAAGAAGCATCATCGACTGGGCAGCGGGCTATTTTGAAAAAGGGGAGCTAGGGCAGTCCGGTGAGCGGCCCCGCAGAAGCGTCCATGTTGTGGCACTCGCGGATCCCCTGGAAACCAGACTACTGCACGGGACGGCGTCGAGTGCCGGTGCAGGGGGCACACGGTTGGGCGACGGTATGATCTGCGCAGGGCCCATTGGCTATGAATGGGTTGTTACCCAAAGACCCTAGGAAATGATGCATACTGCTGCGCTGCATTCGGGGACGCGGCACTGTTGCAGCTCGCTGCTCCGTTGCACCAACAACACGGTTGAGTTGGAGGAGACCGGACCGCCCTCCCCCTTCCACCCTCCACCCTCCAAAAGTCGAGAGACATCTGCACCGACTCTGGCTCAAAACGACGGGTCTGTCCCGCAGATGCTCTCTTGGCGGGCGTCTGAGATTCTTCTTTCCTTCTTTCGACATCTCACATCGCCGGACATACGTGAGAAGGGCACATCTTTTGCACCTCGCTGGCCGTCGTCTCTGTTTTCTCGCGTCCTCCATGCCTCGGGGGTTTTCTGCCCATTCGTTTGCGTGTTGACGAACCTTGTCCGGACTTCTCGCCCCGTGCCCGGTTCCCAATCGTCTCTCGTCTCATCCTATCCATGAATGATCGACCGATTCGGCTGAAAACAACCGCCCAATCGTCCACGTCTCAACATCTTCAGTCCGGCTGAAGGCAGATCAGGATACGACCCAACAACACTCCGTCTGCTCCGTGCCTCTTCTCGGCTCTTACTCACCCACTCGCTCACCCTCACACTCATCTCACTCGGCGTGATCTCCTGCCACGTTCCAGAATCCCGAGGTTTATCTCTTTTTTAATATTGCCTAACCTTTTGTTATTACCCGACCTGGCTTATCATCTTTACTTCCCGTCTGAGACACCCGCCGCATCGGTCACTAGTGTCTAGTCTTTATTTTGGTTCCTGGCATTGCCTCTTACCCTATTAACCTCCTTTTGGTTCTAATTTTACCCGGTTCCCTATTTTCTCATAACAGATAACGTCACTGGCATGCTGGGCAATCTCCAAACGGAAAACTAAGTCGAAACAAGAAAAACAAAACAAGCTTCATCATCGCCGAGAAAAAGATCATGCTCACGGCCGCTCACGCAAACCCTCGATCCTCTTCACCTTTTGTCGCCCGCTTTTAATCTCCAAAACGTTTTGTTGTTGTCCAAACCCCCCAATTCGAGGATCTCTGGTGGTGCAGCGGCACAACAACAACAAACACCACCACCGCTGCTGCCGCCGCCGCCGCAATGGAACGCCCCCACCGTCCTCCGCCGCTCACGATCCCCCCACCGCCCCGGAGCCGGACCCGAGTCCGGAGGCCTCGTCGTCCCAACGCACAACAGGCACGACAATTCAAACGATGGCTCCTCCGCGCCCAAATCGCAAATGACGTAGCGCACGTCGCCGCCGCCTCGATTCTGTTATGGATCATGTCCTGGTTTCTCTACAATGTGTCGTTTCCCATGTCATATCGCACAGGGTCTGTCATCTCGCCTCCTCCTCCTCTATCCTTCTCCTTTCCCCCCGCATATCTTTTGAAGTCTAACCATGAACCACAGTCCCGCCGCCGTCGCCCTCATCGCGATCCTCTCCACAGATATCCTCCTCGACGCGCGCTCAATAGTCCATGCCCACGACCCCTGGCCAGGCTGGACCCTCCTCCTCCGCCTCCTCCTCGGCGCCCCCCTCATCGCAATCTTCTGGGTCTACATTGCCCTCGGCGACGTCTTCGCGCCCGGCTTCACCTACTGGGGCATGCCCGACACCTATGGCCGCGTGCTGGCGTACATGTTCCTCTGGGGCATCGGGCTCTGGGACCTGTTTTTCGTCCTGCTGTGTCGGCACTGGCTGGGAAAGGAAGTCAAGCGGTACGGGATCCGGGCGAGGCGTTTGTTTAGAGAGGTGAGAAGGGGGAGGATGTCGCCGGGCGTGAGCGCGCATCGGTTGGGTAGCGCGGGTGGGGAGGCGCCGGGGAGGGTTGCGATTATGGATGTTGAGGCGGCGCGGCCGGTGGATGAGGAGGAGGAGGGCGGCGACGGCGACGGCGGCGGTGATGGTGAGAGGGTTGGGTTGCCGGTGAGGATGGGGGTGAGGCGGGTCAAGAATAGCGTGAGAGCGAGCGTTAATTCCGTGGCGAGCGGGACGGGGACGGGTAATGGGAGGGGGGATGAGGATTCATCGCCGCCTCCGCCAGCGTTTATGAGACCGGCATGACATTTGTTTGGGCGCCGAAGTTGGAATCAAGATACCTTACGTAGCCAGAGAAATAGTGAAAATGTCTACATTAGCTAATGATAATCTATATTAATGTCAGAGGACTCATTATGGGATATGCATGTGAAGTGGTTCAAGGGTGACATGTCCATCTGATGGTGACTTTGGTTCGTCTTGTCGATTTTCATTATTCGTCCGAATTTACCTGGCAAGCTTAAAACTTTGATGAGCGCAATGTCAAACAGCATCTGTTGCAGCACGTCATTCCATATTTATGCTTTGGCGCGAGGAATAATATGTGCACTGAGTCGTGAGGGTATATTAGCCGCATCGTGACTCTTAACACGTGAGGTCTCAACGATCAAGGTCAGCTTCATCACATATATTTGAGGTGCATCACTCAAAGCAAACATCATGAAGAAGAGATAAAGCTACTGATTAATTGCAGTTTGGCTGCGGGTATCAACTCTACAACACCGTGTGCCATTCTAACTTCTGGGGTAATTCTACACAAGGTATCCTCTGCTACTCCCCGCCTTGATTTTGATACTGGGATAAGTGACCTCAAAACCATGGCTTCAGCTGCGCCAGCTCCTTGAACAAGGTATACGCATCTGTGTCTGGATCGATCGCAGCCTTTTGGCTTCGCTTTGTCCGCCGTCCACTCTTCGGGGCCTCGTTGGTATCAACGTTGATGGGAGGAGCCGCTGGGCCGACTGTCGGTTCAGCCACAGCTGTCGCGACCACGCTGTGCCCGGCTGCCTCTTCACGATCGCTCGCCGCAGCACCAGGACCATCCAAACTGCCCGCCATTTTCTTGCTGAGAAACCTCGAGGCCTGGGCCCAGTGCCTCTTCTCACAGCTCCCATCCCCTTCGTCATCGGGCTTCTATCCCACCAGAGGCTCCATAATCTGCTTCCCATGCTTGTCGACCATGAAGTGGCTAAACGCCTCCTCGTCGTTCTCGTCATAGAGCAGCGGGTCGTCTCTCTCGGGCTTCAGGCGCTGGTAGAGGCCGTGCCCGGCCTTGGGCCAGGACTCGGGCAGCGCGTCCTCCGAGTCCTCCGCGTCCGCCGCTGCTTGGTCGGCCGCGCCGGCGGGCGCCGTCTTGAGGATCTTGCGGACGCCGCCCGTCTTGGACCGCTGTTTTGAGGGCTTGGGAGCCGCACGGTGGTCCTGCTGGCGACGAGGCTGGGGTTCTTGGTACTGCTGCATTTGGTGTTAGACTTTTGGGGTTGGAACGGGGCCGGCGATGGCTATGGACGTACAACTTTTGGTTCAGCCCAATCTGGAGAACCGAAGATGGGCAGGTCGGGGTGCTTCTTGGAGACGGAGGCGAGGACGTCTACGAGAAGACCAGGTTGGATTTGTTCACTGAACAGGAGGAGATTGATGAGGTCGCTCCTCTTAAGGTCTGAGAAGTATTCTCGCCTCTGCAAGTACGTCAGCAATGATCCTGGGTCCTTGTACGGCTGTTTGATAGGTACCTCGTTGCCACTCGCGGAGCCTCCCTCAAACCCAACAAGGCTCGGCTTAGGAAACTCAGGCAAAGTAGCAAGCCTCTTCTCACGTCTTCTCTCGACATCATTATGGTACTTCTTCCACTCCGACTGCTCTTGCTTCGCCTCGCGGTACCTTGCGATTTCGCGGTGATACTTGGCCTGCTGCTTCTCCTCCTCCTTACAGGTAACGCACTTGAACTTCAGAGGACTGCCGCCGACAACGACGTCTTCCGATATCTCCGGGTCGTGGCAGAGCTGGTGCCAGGCCTCGCCGCAGCTACAGGGGACGATGAGATTGCCGTCAGTCGCAGAGATGCGATTACACTTCACGCACATTGGATTTCCGCTGCCGTCGTCCTTGGTCCGCTTCCTCTTCACAGGCGGCCTCGGTATGGGACGCCTGAGTATTGCGGGCTCCGGGTATGGAGGAAAGTTTGCGGATTTCTGGGAGGCTTCATCTTCCGCGGCTGTGCGCTTCCTCTTTGCTCCGGATGATGGTAGATGGCTGGGTGGAGCAGCCGAGGGCTCCACAGGTTCTGCATTGGGGAGGTGAAGTGTCAGAGGGAGGTGCGAGTAGTCCACGGGTGTGTCCTCGATATCCTTTTGAGAGATCGTGGGTGTTGTGGGGGCGGGAGCTGTGACGATATTAGGCGGCGGTGAGGTCCGGGTGGCGCCATTAAGACGACTCATGATGAAGTGCGAAGTCGTGGGAGAAAACTGCGGTATGTACGGGCGCTCCTCAGAAGCCGGCGCGGGAGCCGGTGAGTGTGCATCCTGGCTATTTTCTATGGGTGCAGGCTCGATATCCATCGGTGCATGTGACTGCTCGCGAGCTTCGAATTGGACTGAGCTTGTTTGCGCATCTTCGGCCTGTGCCTCAACCGTCGTCGACGGGAGTATTCCCATCTCAACTGTGGCCTCGATGTCACCTATCTGAGCCTCATTCGAAGCATCATTATCAGTTACCATAGGCTCTGAAGCCAATGGCTCAGACATATTGAGCTAGTTACTGCAGCTTGTGCCGCAATGCAGGCGCATAAGCTAGGTGTGGGTGCTATCGAATGCTGGTGATGAAGCTAGCAGACCGAGTGTGTGTGTGATGCAGCGGACAAGAAGCTTGTCTTGCATGTGCGGAAACTCGAACCAGAAAAAAAAGGCTGATCAACAAATAGAAAAATAGGGCATCGAATTGATGGGTATCTTTGTGAAGAAAGGAGAAATCAATTACAGTTTGGCGTGGACAGAGGACAGACAAAGTCAACCGCAGAAATGCGCCTTCAAACACGCGAACGCTGTGAGTCGTGCGGGTGTCACGTGAGTCACACCGAACCCACCGAGTGCGTACCCACTTACCGGACCTTGGATGTCCTCGGTCAGACTCGGTCAACCAAATTGCACACAGTGACGAGCGAGGCAAAAGCGGGAAACTTGGACATGGGGGAGCATAGGCAACAAAGTATAGCATTCAGGATTTCTAAAGCCTCTTCTCTCTTCGCTTCACTTCTAAAATAAAAATTGAGGTCTTCCCTGATGGTTACGACGTGTGAAATGCCTTGGGGTGGGTTAATATTGCAGTGAACTGCCCCATTACTTACCCTTGAGCAACCAGATACCCTCATCCGATGCACTCATCCGATGCACAGCGCCTTGGGGTGGGTTAAAATCGCAGTGAAGGCCATTTCTGGATGTAGGACGTGTCCTCCGCCCATTTCAAGCCTAGCTTACTTAGTCGCTTACTTAGTCCTAACCAATCACACCCTCACCCTTGAGAGATCGGATACGGTCCTCCGAGAACCCAAGGTGCTCCCCCAAAACCTCATCCGTATGCTGCCCCAGCATAGGCGGCACCGTCCGGATCGTCGGCTCGCTCTCCGAGTACTTGACAGGCGTGTTCACCATCCTAATCGGCCCACACTCGTCATGCTCCATCTCAACAACCATGTTGCGCGCCTTGGTGTGCTCGTGCTCCAGCGTACCCTGCACATCATTCACAGCCGCGTACGGCATGCCCCGGCCCTCAAAGACGGCCAGCCACTCCCCCGTGGTCCTAGTCACGGTGATCTCCTCAATCAGGCGCTCGAGCTCGACCCTGTTGGCGACGCGCTGCGCGTTGGTCTTGTACTTTGCATCGTCTTTCCATTCTGGTTTGCCGAGCCCTTCGCAGAGGATGCCGTAGAGGCGGTCGTTGCCGCCGCCAAAGAGGATGTCTCCGTCTTTCGTCTCGAAGGACTTGTAGGGAACGATTGACGCTGGCCGTCGTGTCAGAAATCCCGGTACTCATCGAGCACATGCCATAGAACGAAAAACTTACGATGCGCGGTGCCCCAGCGTCCAGAGTCCTTCTTGCCACTGATTAAGCAACTGCTAGCAATGTTGGCCAGCGTCGCCGTCTGGCAATCGCTCAAGGCTACATCAATATGCTGTCCCCTTCCCGTCCTCGCCCGCGCGAGCAGGGCCGCCATGATGCTGTTGCTCGTGTAAAGACCCGTCGTCAAGTCCGTCACGGCCACGCCGACTTTCACAGGCTCTCCGTCGCGGCTGCCTGTGATGTGCATCAGACCGAATTCGGCCTCGACCATGACGTCGTAGCCTGCGCGGTCCGAATAGGGCCCCGTCTGGCCGTAGCCCGTGATGGAGGCGTAGATGAGACCCGGGTTGATGGTGCGTAGGGTTTCGTAGTCCATCTTGTACTTCTTGAGAGTACCCGGCAGATAGTTCTCGACCAGGATGTCGCATTTTGAGACGAGCTTGTGGAGGATTTCGGTGCCGTCTGGGTGTTGGAAGTTGAGGCCCAGCGACTTCTTGTTGCGATTCACCTTGAACGGAGCTTTTAGCTTGGCTCAAACGTATTACCAAAGGGACGCTCACTGCTAAGAAATAGGCCGATTCACCGGGACCTTCTTTCGATGAGCCGGATTTGTAGGTCGCATACGGAGGCCCCCATGCGCGCGTATCATCACCGCGGACGGGATGTTCGACTTTGATCACCTCGGCGCTTCATTTGAGTCAGTGCGGTTGCTTAGCACGAGATGAGTGAGTTCGACCGACCCCAAGTCTCCCAGAATCTGCGTGCAATATGGCTATATCACTCGTGTCAGTAGGTGCCCAATAGTTCGAGGAGCGAGATCGCTGATTGGTCTCACCCCAGCCAAAACTCTCGTCATATCCAGCACACGATACCCGTCAAGCGGCAGCTTGCTACTCGGCACTGACGAGTATTGGCGCCATGCCCTCGGAAGCCGTGACGGCTGCGGACATGACCGAGCAGCCCTCGACACTATCCGGGACGAAACTCCAAATAATGAGTAAGTCATTGTCCACGTTGAAAAAATGCGGCAACCTTTGCGGGGAAGTTGTGCTGGAGTTGAAGACCGGCATTATTGAGGTCGCGACTTGGTGCCCCAGCTCCGACCCCGGTCTAGCTCCGGTCCGTTGGCGGGGATGCCGTCGGGTAGGCCTCGGCATTATCCTAGTCCACCAAAATGTAAGTACTTAGGTAATCAGGCACAGACCATCACGGACTTCTTTCGTCCCAGTCGCCAGCTCTGAAACTCGGACTCTGATCTCCCGGATGTACGGGAACACCGATTTGGTTGAGAATGCAAAAGCTACCACCAACCCACAGGCCGGCCAGTCTAGGGCAAGCAACGTATGTATGCGAACGATCTCATGCTTTCATTCCGTGATTTCTATTCTTACATGATCTTCGTGCGAGCTCGCGGCCGGATATTGAGCTGCACTGGCACCGAACGCCTCCACAAATGCTATGAAAAGAAAATAAGACTCCCACGACGGAGATAGCCACCAATAGCATAGGCGTCTTTTAACCCCATTTAAACCATCCAATTATCATCTCTAGTCGGAGCTTCTATAGAGTCTGCTGGACATCGTTCAACTTCTAACTGGTTCGCCTCGCGTTGTCTTGCACATTCACAAACGACGCTGAGCTTTGAGCGGGAATCTCGACCCGGGGACCTCAAGAGTCTGCCGACGTCGAGTTTGCTGACCTTCGGGCGAACCCACCGGTGAAGAAGGAGATCCCGGTCGCCGCTGCGATGACGATCGAGAGTATACCGGTTCTGAATTATTTCTCGGCCTAGCCCTGCTCGGTGATGGAGGCGACAATGGCGACTCTTGCGATGCGGGTGATACCGGCCTCGGGGTCATGGACCCATATTCACTTCCTGAGTGGTGTCCCGGCGACACTGGCTCCTGCGGCTCATGTTCTCGATATGTGCTGTACTGCTCGACCGTGTCCCTCAGATTGGAATTGCGCAAGCGCTCACCCGGGGTCTCGGGATACTGACTCCCTCTGTAATCCGGGGCTCCGAAAGGGTCTTCGGTGGTGCTCCCAAACCATTTGCCGACTTTGATCAGGCCGGCGGAGACCTTCCGTCTGTGCCCTGTACCTTTCTTCGTCCCCTCAGTCCCACGTGTGGATATGCCAGTGAGCGGGGGGAAGCCATTCTCAACGTGGTCAGCATGCCCGTCTGAGCTTTCTCGAAAAGACTCCGAGTCGACTTCTTGCGACCGATCATGGATTAAACGACAGTGCTCACAGCCACAGATGTGAAGAGGGTCTTTTGGAGGTTCCTTCATCCCGTCTAGCAGGTAAACCAGGAACGATCCTATGACTGCCAGCCCTGTTGCGACAATGGTGCCCCACTGGCCTGGATGGGAACTTGTCAGCAGATAAGATATTCGCCAGGCGCGTGCAACTTACCAACACTTCCAAATGGTTCTGTATGATAATCCATCTGTGGGCTCCAAAGGTTGATCTCTCCAAGGATGAGGATGGCCAATGCTGCGCCACCAAAAACGAAGACCTCAATCAGATTTAGGAACCCGCTAAAGGTTCTGTGTAGATCCTTTGACTCCTCGATTTCCTTCTCCTTCTCCTTCTGTGGCCCGTTTTGCTTCTTGATCCAATCGGTGATGACGATTTTGTTCCTCATGGAGATGAGGGAGATGATGGCTGGAACGCAGCATGCCACCGCAAGGAACATGGCGTTGCCGAAGCGGAGCTCATTCGGTCTTGGAACCACGAATATTTCGCTGGCAGCCTTTTGCCTCAGGCGTGAGAAAGGACCAGCCGTCTGGGAACAGGTAAGGCCGCATAATGGACTATCTCCGTAAGGAAACTCTCTTGGGTTCGGCGATATTGGTCTGCCGTTATCGTCCTGATAGCAGGGAATGGAATTGGATCGGTAGAATTCGACGGCCAAGCTCACGAGACCTGCAAATGTCAGTGAATTTTCGAGAATTTTCGTGCTCCGGCTCTATGGCTTCCCACCTGCCAGTAGTAGACTCGTCCACACGAAGACGGTGTTGCGTCCCTTTTCGTGGAAGTAGGTCTCGGACTTCTTGACCGTCAATGGAACTGCCAGAATGCCTATAGAGCAAAACTGAAGTGCTCCATAGATATCCATATCGGTGGCGTCTAGGCGATGAGGTGTCAGCTAAAAGTTCGAAAATTTTGTTGATTCGAACTAACCATCCACGTGCAGCACGGCGAGGACGATGCCATGAACCGCAGCCACGGCCGGTAAGATCAACGCCGCTGCTATGCAGACATCTCTAATCCATTTTTCTCCCCGGGCTAGTACACAAACTGCCAGAAGAATGTAATATCTGGATGACCCTGTATTAGCTATAGTTCTCTTGTCATGACACGTGGACTTTCTGGAGATCAACAAGAGGTACGGAAACAGCCTTCGCCCTTTGACTACGACTACGGAATCGGCGCATCTTTACTCCTCAGCTTATCTCCAAAATCGAAGCCTAAATCATACCAGCACCGGACAGCATTGCCACATAAAGTGAGGTAGAAGGACCGAGACACAGCAAGATAACGATGGAGTCTCAGGCAATTTCACTGGAGCCGTCTCCGGTTTTGTCTCCCGCGTGGTAGGCTGTATGTGATCCGGTTCCATTGCATTAGGGAGTGGAGAACGAGAAGCATCACTCACAGGATTCGTTGCCCAAACCCATATTGCCCTGATACAGGCCATCCACAGAAAACCTCTATGCAAGCAGTAGACGATCCGCAAGACGTGGTGAGCTGATCCGTGGCCCGCTGGCTGATGATAGCATGCAAAAGAGAGGCAGGAGAAAGCGGCGGCATCGCGCGGGTCCCATCAATGTTCCCGAGAGGTTGATACTACGGGCTCCAACCATCCAGTGTGGGAACCCTTGGTGAAATATGCTTTCGTTTCCTCCTCGGTATCAACGTTGGATGCTGTGGTCAATCGACGAAAACGGCTTTTGGCTGCCTCTCTCATCGGTAGTTGGACAAGACATGGAGGCTGTCTCCCGCCCCTCCATCCTAATAATTTCACCTCCCTCCCGATTGCCCGAGTGTCTAATGCCGTGAGAGACTACCTCACCTCAGGGTAAGGCTGGGAGCGGAAGGTGCTCGTGTGCCTGCTTACTCTTCTGGTGTGCCTCAGAGATACAGCAGAGCACCGCGCAAGGGGTAAAGGCTTGGGTTCATTGGCAAGCATTCCATAACCCCCTGGTGGAGGCGCAGCTAAAGGATTCGGTTGTTCATCTTACCGTCGTCAGCAGAGGTAGGTTTTAGGTAAAGAAGGTACCATGGTCGGGCATCGCTGAGAATATCACGCAGAATGCCGACCAATGAATGGGCAACGCCAAGCCCTTATGGGTTGGGGAAACAGCAGATCTCATAGCTTCGGGGGACGCTTTGATAACTTTTCTGGCCTGTAGAGGTTGCAGTGCCCTGTCAGATCTGTCATTGACGAGAAAGAAGAGACAATCGGATACCTACGTGCTGACTTGCTGATGGCATTCGAACCGTGCAGGAAACCATGCCGGTTGAGGCACTAGGGCGAAGTCCAACTCGCCAGCCGGGCGGCGTTGATGTCACCCCGCCATCTCACCCCGTCTCAGGTCTTAGTGCCATGTTCTCCTCGTGTCCCCTCGTTCCCCAGGCCTCACATGACTGGGGCGATCCCGCTGACGTGGGTGGGCGCTAGCTAAGGCAGCCTGCTCATTGAAATGGAGTCTCCAGTCGACTTTCGAGCAATTCGTACAGCGTGTCTGCTTGGGTGGATATTCTTAGCGTGAATTCTTCGGGCTATTCAGCATTTTTTTTTTTTTTTTTTTTTTTAGGAAAAATAAAGACGTTGATGGGGATGAAGAAAGATGGAGTGAAGAGGCGGAGGATGAAAGTGTCAATTGTTTGTAGATATCTCCATAGATGCGCAAGAGATCGTAGTTTTGGGTCGTCAGGCATTACTCCTGGCGGTACCTCAGGCGCGATGTGGCAGTGATGGTTCCAACTTCCAAGCCTTGGACGACATTGGATGTCAATCACTCGGACCGATGCCCCGCCAAAGAAGCGGCGCCGTCGACTGGAGAAGTTGAAACGATCACCCGCGCCTTCCTCTGGCAACCTGAGCAAGAGCCGGGTAAATACGTACTCGGGCCCACTTATGGATCGCACATTCCCCGTCGTCACAATCCGTCTCTTGCCTCTTTCACCGCACCGCTGAGAAATTTCATGAGAAATACATGGATCTCGCCATTTCCTCCCTCGTCATCGATTGATTTTTGGGCCCCATGAGGGCTGGAAGTCTCGAAACAGACTCGAAACGGTCACGATGGCCATCGACACGCGGACGGATCAGATCAGGGAATGGAGGTCAATCGTGACGTTGATTGTCTTCTTCCTCGCGAGTAAGTCGTTGTACTTTGTCACTCCGACAGCCTCCAGCTGCATCGCACAAGTGTCGCAAATGGAAATCTAATCGACTCAATGGGCTCACAGACATCGTCGTACTGTTCCCCTTCCACATCCCAGTCTATATTCCTGTGCGACTGTGGGATGCGGTGTTGAAGGTGCTCCGCGACTTGCGCGTGATACCACGGCAGGATGCCACTCACGATGACTTCAAAGAGGACCGTTTTGGGGGTATAACCCCTCGACGCAAGCGATTCGTGCGCTTCGAGTTCCCAATGAACTCAATCACTGCGCCGCTGATCGCCGACCTGTTTCTCCTTGCCATCTTGGCAATTGGCAGAGAGGAAGTGTATGATGGGACCATTGGTCAAAACGGCATTCACCCTCTCGATATCATGGTCTTTTTTCTGACGCTGGCGTACATTGCCATTTCGATTGACGCCTCGGGACTCATTCGCTATTTGGCGCTGAGGGTGCTTCAATGGGGAGGCAAGATCGGCTACCGGTTGTTCTTCTACCTCTACGCCTTCTTTTTCTGTCTCGGGACCTTCATCGGCAATGACCCCATCATCCTATCCGGCACAGCTTTCCTCGCATACATGACCCGGATCTCGAACAACATCAAGTACCCGAGAGCGTGGATATTCACCCAATTCTCCATAGCCAACATCGCCTCGGCCATTCTCGTGTCGTCCAACCCGACCAATCTCGTGCTTGCCGGTGCCTTCGATATCAAGTTCGTCGAGTACACGGCGAATATGGTTGTGCCAGTCGTTGTCACAGCCATTGTCTTATTCCCGTTCCTTCTCTACATTATATTTGCAGATAAGAAGCTCATCCCGGAGTCTATTGAGATGTTCCAACCGCCAGAAGAGGCTATGCGATCGAAGCCCGTCAACCCCAACATTCCAAATCCCCGGGGAGCCGCAAATACTGCCGATCAAGCGCCCGAGAGCAGTCCGCAAGCCCAGTTGCTTTCAGCCATTGAGATCCTGAACCCCTGGCTCGACAAGGGAGGAGCCGCCTTTGGCGCCGTCGTCATGTCGGTGACCCTCGTGACAGTACTGGCTCTGAACGCCGCAAATGTCAAGCCGAAGGGTGGCCAGCATCTGCAAGTCTTTTGGGTAACATTACCAGCCGCTTTCATCATGCTTTGCTGGGACTTGGCGTTCGGCTGGTACCATAGGAAAGATACTCGCAGGATAGCGCAACAGGGACGAGAGGGACAAGATGAGGCGCGCATTAGAGCAGAGCAGATGGCAAGGGAGAATGATAATTCGGGCATATTGAACCAAGAAGGCACGGGCTTGGGCGAAGGCACGACAGAGATATCACCGCTATCAGATGCGACCAGGCCACAAATTCACGTTCAAGATACCGATCTCTTGGAAGACAAGGGACGCCTTGAAGTTGCGAACGAGGAGGTTTCACCTGTCAGTAAAGACATCAGCACGAACACGTCGGATCGGAGCGCCGCCGCCGCTGCGGAAATCATGGTCACTCCAGCAATTCCAGCACCGGAGAGCAGCGAAAATGTGACCTGTAATGCAGGCCCGCAGCTCGAATCGTCACAGTCTACGGCTGTCGATAGGACAGAGCAGTTTAGAACAAGCAGACCGCCGAGCGAGGGCTCTATTACGGAGAGTAGGAAACGAACTTTGCCAGTTGCGGACACTGGACCTAGCGAAGTACACGGGGCATTGCCCGACGGTGTCAGGGATGTTGAGAAGGCAGTCATTGGAGGACAATCTGGCCGAAGCTCAAGTGTTTGCTCCAAAAAGCAGCCGGCGACGCTGGTATCGCGCTTCAGGGATGGGTATCGCTGGTCGCAGGAGACATTCCCCACGGTGATGGCGGTGCTAGCCCATCTGCCCTTCGCCCTCGTACCTTTTGCTTTTGCCATGTTCGTCCTCGTACAAGCTCTGGTGACCAAGGGCTGGGTGCCAGTATTTGCGTATGGATGGGACCACTGGGTGGAAAAAACGGGAACTATTGGCGCCATCGGCGGCATGGGGTTCCTCTCAGTCATACTCTGCAACGTGAGTCTCTACCCACTCCAGATCTGATTTTGATCACGGCGTTAAATGAAGGCTGACTTTTGTGGCCTTTCTCTAGTTTGCGGGGACGAATATCGGTACCACGATCTTGCTCTCCCGCGTCATCCAGGCGTGGCAGCAGATCCACAGGGAGAACGGCGTGCCCATCAGCGAGCGCACGTTCTGGGCGACGGTCTACAGCATGGCTCTCGGCGTCAACTACGGCGCCTTCAGCACCGCCTTTAGCGCGTCGCTGGCCGGTCTGCTGTGGAGGGATATTTTGGAGAGGAAGCACATTTTCGTCAGCAGGAGGGACTTTGCGCGGGAGAACATACCCATCATCGCCATTGCTATGACGGTCGGTTGCACGGTTCTGGTGGGTGAGATTTACATTACGCGGAAGGACACGCCGTATCCGCTCTGAGTGGTGGATGAGCGTCGCGAGTTGATGGCTGGCGTATAGACGACTGGACGTTTTTAGAGACCGAATTTCAGAGATACCCCAATTGAATGGCAATTGCTCAACGACTCAAGTGAATATTTGTGAGTTTCAATTCTCAGGTTTGTGTTGAGACTGAAGTGACCATACTGTATGTCTCTTACTACCAACAACATTTTGCGGCATTGTGCGATACTCGGTGGAGGGAATGAGATGCCACGCCAACAAACAACCCCAGAATTGACAAAAACACACCGCACACGAATCAACCACAGCACTCCGCCACAAGCAAGACATTAGAACGGGATCAATAGACTTGTGAACCAAGAACAAGAAGTAAGCCACCTTGGAGCGGCATCGTGCAGCCGTCCCGTCGCGACTGCGGCAAGAAGAGGGCAGCGGGAGGGCTGTGTAGGCGCAGGCGAGCTCGCAGCAGGCATGCATACCATGTACGGTAGGCGCGAGTACAAACATCGGATTTGCGGATGGCGTGCAGCAGGGCTGTGGCTGAGCGATGAGCGCAACCCGGGGGGCTTCTGCTGCCGCAACGCAGACTTTTTTTCTTTTCTTTTTTCCATGCATTCCGCGCATGTCTAGGAAAGAGTCTTAAAAGATTGCTTACCTGTCTCTGTTGGAGGGAATATTGCTCACTTCTGCCTCGGCGGCATGGTACGCGAGAGTTTCACCCGTTGGCGGCACGGAGTGAGTTGAAGGTCCGGTTTCTCCCAACAGGCTTTTTGAACAAGTGGGTTTTCTGTCACCAACATGGATTTCGTCCAAGTTGGTCATGGGCGGATGTGGTATGGTATGATTGCATACCGCGGTTCAGCGCTTATCATGTTCATTTCAAGGTCACATTGACATTGAGCAGAGAACGAGAAGATGGCGCAGCCGCGCTGCTGTGCCGTCATGGTCGCCCGCACGATCCACGGAAGAGGCATTTTGTAGTGACAAAGTGCAAGTTTACCGCGATGGTGATCCATTTCCGGACGTCGGCGGAGGGTTGTTTGTGTGTGCATGTGTCTCAATCACGATCGTCCAAGCCAGCCCCCAAATCACCAATCGTATCCTTCGACTGCCGAGCGTCGGATTCGATTGAGATGTGTGTAAGCTGAGGCAGCAGTATACCTACCTACAGCAGCCGCAACTCCTACCGACGACTGCGGGGTTGATGGGGGGGAACGGCACGGGAGGAATGGGAGGAGCCTGGGAGGGGTTCATCGGTTCGACGAGGGACGGAAGATCAGCGTCTTGTCAGCACGGGAGGGTGCTCACTGCAGGAGCAGGGCCATGCTAGGTGTTCCTCTCCGGCGGGCGGGCGGGCAGCGGGTGCATCCGGATGACGGTCTTGTTTCTGAATGGAGCTGAGAGGGGGTGTCTCTCTTTTTTTCTCTTCTCCCTCTTCCAGGCTGTCGTCTCGGGAAAGACGAAGGACCACCCCTATTTCGAAAGGCTCCCAGAGCCCAAGGGTTCAAGAGGGAAAAGACGGGATGACCTCGACTCTGCCTCGGGATGCTTTTTGGCCCAAGCACCCCGGCGATTGAGTTGACGCTGGAGCATGCAATGTTCTGCCCGAGAGAGGAATGTTTCACCCCATCGATGCAGGCAGAGCTTGTGTCTTTGCTGGTAGGCCGTGCTGGGCTTCGGTTACTGTTTTCTCACGCAGCGCAATGCTCCTCCAAAAGGCTTTCCCGAGTCCTTTGGTTGAGATGCGGCAGGGCATAAGCAAATGCGTCCAAAAAGATAATTTCGACTGAAAGAAATGGGAGGCTCCATAAGAGCTCCAATCAATCCAAGTTAAATGCGGCCGAGGCAGTATTGACCACTCAATGAAGACCTCGGACATGGTAGCAACAACGATCAAGTCAAGCTTTTCCACTCGCAAGTCATTCAATCATTCACTCGTCAAATCAGCTCGAAAGACATCCCATCTTCCAGCAGCTCTCCGTCCCATTTTCCCCCGCGGGGGCCAAGTGTTTCCATCCGGACTGCGCAGGCAGAGGGGGCATCCCGCGGTGCTTAACCGTCTGGTATCATCGTGCTCAAACGGGGGTCCAGCCGCAGAGCGCACTGCTCTTACTGTACGTCCTCGCATGCAGAAACATGAATGTTTTTTTGTGCTTCTTGCAGTTGACTTCCGGGACGCAGCTACACGATAGACTCCACCCCTTGATTCCACCACGGAGGTACTTTATCGGATCCCTTCTCTCTATCTGAGGCCATCCCGGAGGAAAAAGATCCTGCAGACCCGTTGAAACGACCGCACTGGGACGAAGGAGGGGTGCGTGGGAGTGACCAATGCGCCTGTTGGATGGGAGAAGAATGGACAGAGTTTTTTTTTTCTTTCAACATTTGCTAGCTAAAGAACCTTTCTGAATGACTTTGTTTAACCTCTCTCTTGACGCCAAGTGACTAGACATCAGCTGACGTAGGGAGAAAAGGCCAAATGGGACGATGGCCCGACTCGCCAGCTCAGAGCCCTATTTGCCTCGTGCCGCTGTTTGCTCTGTTGCTCGTTTACCCCGGCCCGGCCTGGCCAAGCCAATTCTTCGCATGATGCAACGCCAAGATGAGTCTCTTTCTTTGTGCGGGTGCGAAGGGAGGGGCCGGCTGAGAAACGTTTGGAACGTGGTGACAATAGGGTGGTGGATATATACTCGTGGCAAGGGAAAGGGGAAGGGCGGGAGCGCGAGATGAGTAGAACAAAGCCGGCATGGAGGCAAGCAATGACAATGCGAAGGGGGTTATCGAGGTCGAGGATTGTCTTCCTTTGTTCGACCGAATAGCATCTACTTGGCTCATCGCCAGTCCGATGCAACCTCACTGAATCATCAGCTTGCAGATTTTGAGAGTGAGCGAGCGAGTGAGTGACATTGCAGCGCCTCACTAACACGAACGGGGTTCGCATCCATCGATGGGGGGTGGAGGGGGGGTAACTCCAGCTCCGCCCCGCGGGTCCTTCGCCTTCGCTAAGGGGGGAACATGGCGCCGTGAACCAGCAAAGAAGGTTCTCGGCGGGTTCGTTCACGGTCCAGCAGCGCCGGGTCACGACCGAGCTGGACGGTAGGGCGTGAGGGTTGGTGGCCGAGCGAAGCTAATCGAGCGCCTGGGCTAAGCCGAGTTGAGGTAATTCTCGTGTACAAGCCGTGGACCGTTGTAGTAATTACACGAGGACGAGCCTAATGTTTCTAAGTTGGGAACCAAGGTTCACTCTCTTCTTCCTCTCTGGCGCACACTCACTCTGTCACATTTGTTCCAACTGCAACTGCAGCACAGCTTCTCTCCCCTCACCAAGACCAACAAGCCCCAGATGCCTCCAACGCAGATCAACGTACGCAGCGCCAGGCAGACGAGCACGATGATCCAGGGACTTATGCAAAGTCGAGCATGTCTCTCGTGTGATATCCGCCGAGAGGCATGACATGACCTAGGGAGCATTAGGCATAACTTTAGGACATCTTTCGGCCTTTCTCATTCCTCGCCGCCGCAAAGAAAGAAAGAAAAACAAAAAACGCCGTAAGAAACCAGCCCCAAAAGTCTAGGTATCCCTTCCAGACACACCCTTGACTCCCCGCGGTTGGTCGGAGCGGATCAGTTTCCCTGTTACGGAACAGGGGTGGTAGCGCATCGAAGCACACAGCCAATTATAGCCGCGTCGCACGGCGCCGAGCAAACGATTGAACCTTGAACCAACCTAAAAGGATACTTTGCTATCTTCGGATAGAGAAGTTGGAAGTGCATCGCAGCGGCACCGCCTTATGGGGCACACGGCTACTATTCTCAAACGATCCTCTTTTTCTCTTTTTTTCCTTCTTCGTCCCTCTGTTTCTGCTTCTCCCCGGTCCATCCCATCACCCCACACCTGCAGTTGGGCGATATGCACACTCCCAACCCATGAATTCGTGTGAGTGTGAGTGGAAAGCCAAGGCTCAAGAGGATCCGGGCCACTCAGCGGTAGAGATGCCCTCTCTGCCTCACGGTTGCTTGCTTCCACGGCTCGTGCTCTCTCTGGATGGACAAGGGTTATAGGAATCTTCCCCATGGCTATGCTTGCTTGCTTGCTTGCTTGCATGGGAAGCTGTTGTGAAGCTCCCTTCTCATACGAAAAGGTATTGTGTCTCGAAAGGGAACCAGACCAGAACCATGTAATAAAGGGGACCTCTCATCCCTCCTTCTGTCATCTGTTTTCCCCCCTCTGACCCTCCCATTAACCACACGGGCTTTTCTCGAGGGGTCAAGCACAGAGCTGTTTATTCCCATTGAATCCCAAAAGGCTCCGAGCGGAAACAAAAGCAACAAACCCCATAAGCATAGCATGGTGATGTCCTTGCTTGGGTGCAGTCGTCCGGAGCATCATTGACCACCCACCGCACGAACCCTCAACCCACCCCACCCTCTTCTTCCGCCCACCTTACCCGTCCCACTGGCACCACCGGAGGCCGGCGCCGGCGTACACTATCGCGGCACCATCTTAAACTTTTCCCCCATCAGCTACGACCTTGCGGAGACAACACGAGAGAGAGGCAGAGCGAGTCGAGACCGGGCGGGGCGTACGGACTGCGACTAGGACTGCGAGGTGATCTAGCCCGCTGTCAACAAACAAACGCCCTTCTTCTGTCCGCAACGTCAACATAAGAAGACATGGCACCTGCCATCTTTGAAAAACTCAGACGAGAAACAACATCACAAGCAGAAGCAGCAGCAACAACACCATCATCACCATTACCACCACAAACACCCACCAGAGCACCAACGCCAATAGATGCAAGCAACGGCATTGGCGGCATACCAGGAAACATTGAAACCCCCTCCTCATCGGGAACAACAACAGTCCTCATCATCGTCATCCTCTGCTGCGCATCCGCCATCATGTCGGCGACACTCTTTTACATATTTGACCGCAAGAAGAACGCCCAGTTCCGTGAAGCGTGCAAGCGGGACCCCTACCTCACGCGGAAAGAATTCGTGCGCCGGCGCAAGCTTAGCGTCCTGGAGCGGCTCGAGGAAGAGGAGCTGCAGCGGAGCATCATGATTCGCAAGTCGCTCGCTAGCCGCGGGCCGTCGAGGAGTAATAGCTGCGAGGACGTTTTCGACCTCTCTGCGATGCAGCAGCAAGCAAGAGATATGCCGGAGCCGCCGAGGGGGAGACAGCAGATGAGTGAGCACCAGGAACAATTACATCATGGGCAGCAGTTATCTGGGGAGTGGGCACCCAGCGAAGGGAGGAGCAGGTCCGGGTCGGAGACTTCGAGTTCGGCTTCGTCAGCGAGGCGGGCTTATGCCGAGCCCCATACTAGTGTGGAGGCCGAGGCCGAGGCTGCCGGTGCCCCGCTGACTCCGCAGTCCAGCGCGCCGTCGCCGAGCCGGTCGGTGCTGGATAAAGAGACCGCTCCGCCGCCGATTCACCCGATGCAGGAGATTACGCGACCACTGGCGGCGGTACCGAGACCTTCTGGTGGCTCTTCGCATTTTTCATGAAAGACGAGTCCTGGAGTAGGAGCGTGTGGTGATTATGAGACATGAGCGGGCTATTGGGAGAGACGGGGCCTGGAGTTTCCCCGTCATGTATTCTTGTACCTTCTTTACCGTACTTTTCATTTGTATTGATACCCTCGACCGAATACACGTCAAGAATTCTGATGCAACTTTTTTTACTTACAGAATGGTGAGAAACATAGGGATGAGTGTATGTGGAGGCCGGCTGATTGGATCCTGCCTGATGAAGTGCCTTGCAAGTTGCCTCCCTCAGGCACTCCGTCTTCGGCGGGCTAGAACATTCGACCAGATGACAAAGGTTGAAAACTCGAGGTTGACGGTGGAGGCGTGAAAGGTGCCCCACCACGTGATGGACCCAAATAAGGTTTCCGAGTCCCAGGTTCTGATTCGACTCTGTGTCTCTAGATGCTGAGTCATCCTGCTACCCATCTCCGCAAACCGCCTGCCTAAGGTCTTTTGGAGGTCAAAGTCCTCGTTCGTAATCCAAAACCTCAGCCTCGATTCCTTCCCCCCTACAACCCACTTCACGTCACTCGCTCGCCGCACAAACGATCGTCGTCTGCATTCGCCGCAACGAATCCTCGAGAACCGTCGCATCGAATTTTTTCTGAGCACCTTTGCGACCGTCGCACACGAGTCCTTCGAGCCGACCTGCTCCGCGACCTCGGTATCGTATCGTACCTTCCCAGGTCTTTGTTCGCCACTTCCCACGTCTCGGACGCCTTCACTGGTAGAATCGGTCGGCTGGCAATCAGAGCCTTCTCTTCTTTCTCGTCTCCTCTCCTCTTTCTTGACCCGCAAAACCGTCTTTGGCGACTTCCGTCAAAGGACGTTTAATTGGTGAGAGAGGATACTCCTGTCGAAAGTCAGGAAGTCATGGCTCACCTTTTTCTCTCTGCATATTTAGGGCATCCCCTGAGCGCTTTCGTCATTATCCCGCTGAACGTACACCCCGTTCAAGAAGAAAAAGCGATCAAGCAGTCTGAGGATACTCTATCTATATACATTCGCCTGCTGCCCGGCGTGGGATCGAGACTGTCTCTCGGTTCTGAAGCAGTCTCCAGCATCGTCCTTTGAGACGATCGTTTGTTGGACGAAGTAGCCGTCGCCCAAAAAAAACACCGCCAAGCTGCATTCGCCGCTCTTTGTTCAGCTTACTACTGATCTCCTCTGGACCCAAACCAGCAAACCGACAGAAGAAACCTACAAGGCAGTGGTAAATAAGCGAAAAGAGCTCCGGCGAAGAAGAAAGGAACTCAGACGTCGTCGCAAAGTTTTTGACGAAATCAACAACATCTATACTGCCAAGCCGTACAAGCCCAAGATGCTCGGCCCCAATGGAGCCGCGACGGATGAGAATGCCGAAGGATTCAAGGACGATCTCAACTGCGTTGTGATGTGTCCCGACTGCAAGGAGTACCCGCCCAATTTGGTTGAGGAATTCTCATCTGGCGACATGGTGTGCGGTTCATGCGGTCTTGTCGTCGGAGACAAGATTATCGACACCCGCTCCGAATGGCGTACTTTTGCCAATGATGACCAGGGCAATGACGACCCCTCCCGTGTCGGTGACGCTGTCAACCCTCTGCTCAACGGCTCACAGCTCGAGACCACCATCGCTTTCGGTGATGGCAGAGACTCGAAGCAACTTGCCCGTCTTCAGAATAAGTCCCAGAACGACAAGGCTAGCAAATCGCTGATGCAGGCGTACAAGGAGATTGGTGCCTTCTGCGACAGTATCAACCTCGGCAAGAATGTCTCCGATGCGGCCAAGCATATCTTCAAGCTGACATACGACCATAACTTTATGAAAGGCAAACCGCAGGAGGCTGTAATTGCAGGTTGCATCTTCATCGCCTGCCGTCAGACTGGCGTCGGCCGTACCTTTCGCGAGATCTTCCAGGTTACTCATGTGTCAAAGAAGGAAATTGGCCGGGTTTTCAAGCAGCTGGAGTCATTCCTTCAGAAAATTAAGGAGGAGAACCCCCGTGGTGCCGGCTCTCTCTCCAACCTGGACGGCTACAAGGCCAGCGCTTCTACCAGCGCCGAGGATCTCTGCACTCGCTTCTGCTCCAACCTCAATTTCCGCAACGCGCAGAAGATTGAAAACGTCTCGCGCGCGCTCGCACGCAAGACATCGAGCGTCTCTGAGCTGGCCGGTCGTTCGCCTCTGTCTGTCGCTGCCGCCTGTATCTACATGGCGTCTCACCTCATGAAGGAGTCGAGAACCTCCAAGGAGATTGCCTCCGTTGCAGGTGTTAGTGACGGCACCATCAAGACGGCGTATCGGTTCTTATATCAGGCTCGCGATAGACTGATCGAGAAGGAGTGGGGCGCGGACAAGAAGGCAATCGATAACCTTCCGGTTAACTAGAGGGTTTCTGGTCGCCTTTTCAACTGCTCAGTCACTGCTCATCCCCAGGGCGAGGCGGACGAAATGGCCATCATCAAAGATGAGGCGAAAGGCGTCGGAGAAGACGTGACATTTTCGACTACCAAACAGAAGTGGTAGAAGACATGGAAATGGACGCCTTGTGGCCTCATGCAGCCGGCTGCAATTCTTGTTCGTCAGCCGCGGCTGCGAAACGTCCAAAATTTCCACGGGCGCTTAGGGGTGGTTTCCCTTGGCCCGCCATCTCTCAATCCGTCGATCGGTTCTAGTCACCTGGAACGGTGCAACCTCAGAGCTCTTGGAAGATTAGAGCTTGAGGGTCCGATTACGACGAGACAGATTTGTTTGCTTACTCGCTTGCGCCGCGAGGTTTGGGATGGGAATTCTGGAATTTGTAGGACTGGGGCGGCTTCATTGCATAATCATTGCGGATATGTCCAGATTGCTGCTTGGCTTCTTTTCATACCAGGAGGGTTCATAGCGTAGACAGCACGAATCACAACATCCTCATGCTTTCACTTATGAAATTATAAAAATGTATGGTCCCTCGTGACCTTGGCATGGTCGCTTTCAGAGGCACATCAAGCCCGAAAAGATGTGGTAGACAACGGAACAGGTTCAGATAGGCACCTAGCTCACCAAGGTGGATTGAGGCGATTCGTAGATGAACTTGCCTACAGTGTTTCGAGGACCGTGCATCTTACCTCTAGCACTGTCTTCATAGCCAATCAAAACCATTTGTCCCCCCAATAACTTTTTCCCACTCCAGGGAAACTTGAGCCTTGCCTCGCGTCGCGACTCCATCAACCAGCGCCGATTGACACTCACTCAGCCTTGCACTTCACCGAACTTGCGCATTGCACCCACGAAACCCCATCTCGACTTCACCATCCGTCGCGAAAACTCCACGTGCGTGCGTCACAATGTCCGGACGTCGTTCTCGGTCAGGCAGGGCTGCCGCTAAGCGCGCCTCCGCTGCACTGCGTAAGTACAAGAAGCCTATCCCAATTGTTCACCCTGCGGTCGCGACATTCCGAGCTGCCTGGCACATGATTTGATTGCGTCGATGGCCTGCGATCCAAAAGAGATGAAGGTTCTGCTCGATGCCGTTCTCGAGAACAAAGTTCTGTATGGGATACGAGCCCATGGTACCTCAACGGTTTCTCCTCGCCTCACGTACCCCTCCATTTGTGGCTGCTACCCCTCGAACAGACTGGTGTCGCAGCAATAGTCTTTGTCGGGGTTCAACAACGAAAGCTTTTTTCTGACTGCATGACTGTTACAGAGAGTACGCCCAGAGCCTTTGAAGGTATAGATGATGACGAACCCGTCGCCGAAGCTGTCGAGTCTGAGCCGGAACACGAGGCACAACCCGAAGAAGATGAAGAGGATGAAGAAGAGGAAGAGAAGGCGAACGAATCAGGCGAAGAAGAGGCCGCTGATGAAGATGGAGAAGAAGAAGAAGAAGAAGAGCAAGCAAATGACGAGGGAGAGGAATCCGAGCCCTCGGCCAAAGAACCGACTCCTCCGACGGAACCTGTGGTGCGTCGCAAGCGACTAGGACGGCCCCCGAAGAACAAGCCACCTGGCTGGGACAATATGATCACTGTACCCGCATCCGAAGCCGACACCCCGCGTCGTAGAGGTCGCGGAGGTTGGCGCGGCCGCGGCGGACGCCGACCTGCGCCTGGACAGGCACCACCCAAGCTCAAGCAGGTGATTGACAAGGAGGGCACAGAGGTCGACATTGTCGACGACGAATGCGTACTGCCCGAGGACGCGGAAGGCGAGACAAAGGTCGATAAGCTTGGCAATCTCCAGGGCGGCCGTCAGTATCGTTGCAGAACGTTCACGGTCAAGGATCGCGGCGAGCGGCAGTACATGTTGTCGACGGAGCCCGCCCGTTGCGTCGGCTTCCGCGACAGTTACTTGTTCTTCAACAAGCACCCGAAGCTGTACAAGATCATTGTGAGCGACGACGAGAAGATGGACATGATTGAGCGGAATATTATTCCCCACTCATATAAGGGCCGCGCGATAGGTATCGTCACGGCACGATCCGTCTTTGTCGAGTTCGGCGCGAGGATCATTGTGGGAGGTCGGAATATCGCGGATGACTACCGTGTGGCTGATATGCGCGCCTCCGGCATTATCGAGGGACATCTTGCGGACCCTTCAGACGTCTTCAATCCCAACGAGCCGTACAACACGAATCAGTATGTTGCGTGGTTCGGTGCCAGTGCCGTGTACCATACCAACCAAACACCGGCCGCGTCGGATCCTCTCGCCGGCTTGACAGAAGTCAAGAAGAAGAGAGTCAACGTGAATGATACAAACTGGCAGTTGGAGCACGCTCGTGCTGCTAGGTGAGCTTGAATACTTCAGTCATCATGGTGTGTGTCATGGACTAACAAAACCTCAGCGAGTTCAACAGTCGCCTCAACGCCATCCGCATGGCGACACTCCGAAACGGCGCATACGACATTCACACCAACCTCATGCAGAAGCCAGTCAACACGCAGCCCACCCGCGCCCGCGTCGAAGTAGTCACCCCTGGCAACACAAGCGACCCGAACAGCGCATTCCCGACCGTGCCGTCCGCGGTGCAGCGCAACTTCAACGTCATTGACATCGTCTACGAAATCCCGCGCGCGGGCGTCCAATCCGCTGGAAAGCGACCCGCCGAGGTCCCCGACTTTTTGAAGCCCTTCAACGGCATCCTGGCCATTGGCGACGACCTCAAGGCCCTGCTTCCGCCAGAGTGCCGCGAGTCTCTCGAGAGGCATCAGGACCAGCAGCGGGAGTTTGAGTCACGCTTCGGCGACGAGAAGGACAAGATGGCGCGGGGCAACCTGCAAATCGACAAGGCAATTGTGCCGCAGGGCAAGCACTCTTAGAAGGAGCTGATTGCGATGCCGGGCTTCTATCCCATGCCCGACAACCGCTTCGAGTCGTGGTTCGGCAGGCGCGAATGTAGCTTTTGCGGTGGTAGAGTTCAAGAGTGCGGCCACGGGACGGAGAAGGGGCCGTTCTTTCATACTCGGCACCTCCGTGAGACCAAGGTTGAGTCTCCGCCGCGGAAGAAGATCAAGTCGGAGACGTCTCAGGGCAAGATGATCGGGTCATCGTCCCTTGCGAAGATGGTCGCGTCGGATATTGAGTCCTCCCGGGGGCTGAAGCGCTCCTTTGATGGACAGGGTACGGCCGGGTCTGTGGGGAAGAGGGTGAATGTCCAGTCAGACATCTTTGGCGGTGGTATTTGAACGGAAAGAAGGGGGGGTTGGAGGGCATCAAGTGCCTGATGGAATCCGTCTTTTGTCGTTTTTTTTCGTTGGGGGGATTTCCTCCCCGTTGGCCTGGCGTTTTTGGAGGTGGGGGGGTCCTGGCGGTGGAATGGTTTGAGGACCACTACCTAAGAGACTGGAAAACTTATTATTGCTGATGTTAATACTGCGTTTTTTTTCCTTTTCCCCTTGCCAGATGGGCTTTCTTCGCTGAAGGCATAGGAGATGAGGGAATGGGCAAATCTGGGGGATGCCTGGAGATGAGAGCGGGTGATGGGGAGGTTTGAGTAGAAGGGGGAGTATGGGCTATATATAGGACTAGCACGATTCATGAATGGCTCATAAAGGATTTCCTCGGCGTTGTCTTGTCCTTTTTGTGTCTGAGCATGTGTGAAATGTGAGGCTGGGGGCTTTCAGAGACTCGGATATGTTTGGTGTGGTGACTGCCGTTCATCATCATGGAGATATTGTATCATGATACAAGAGACAGAGTACACTATAGGCTCCGTTCCCCAAAGTCATTTGTTCCGGTCCTTGGTCGGTTTGGATGCCGGGTCCTGGAATGTGGCCTTTGAATGATGAGTACCTATGGTACTGATTTATACAAAGAGGCGTGCTGCTACCTTTTTTTGGAGATGTTGGGGGGTTGACGCACATATTGGGTCTGATTTCGTAGTGCATCTAGATCTCTTTCAACAGCCGTCTTTGTGACTCTGTCGCATTCCCATTGAGATGAGTGAGAGTACACAATATAGACGGCATGTTCTTGGTGAATACTCAACGCAGGACTACGAGAGAGCTGCTGCTTGTTGTTTGCTAATGTTATTAGCAGGGACTCTAGCTCGAGGCGAACAAGTGTATATACAAGTTGTGCACCATCGGATTCCCTTGTGATCGACCAATCACTTCATCGCTGGGCATTGGCCCATGGCCTATTCGTGTGGTCATGAAGCACTACTGCCTAGGATTTGAGCTGAATGTTCACTTGTTCAGTTGGCGAGCAGGGCCTATCAGACTAAAGGTCACGATTCACCATGTCTTGTAGTACCCGCTCCGTATTTGGGGAAATAGTATAACGAATACGATACAAGAGGTGAATAGGCAGCGAGACCTTGAAATCTTTTAAGGTTGACTTAGATTATGGACATGCAAGCTCATTGTCAGCAGCTAGGTATCTACCGTACAAGATTTACAACTTTCTGAACGGAAGGCAACGCCATGATTTTAAGGCTTTCTTTATAATATTGGATCTATGGCCTTTGTGGCTCCATCTGCCTTGAAGACTTGCGCCCATTGACTGGAGACAAGTCAGTAAATAGGCTCACAGTTGCGTGGAGACAGCTTCATACTTTAGATCCATGGATATCCGGGGAGACCGGATATATAAGGTAGGAGTAAATCGAAGGCGTGTAGTGTTTGAACGGGCTATCAGACGTATAGAAGATTGGCCATTTCGTTTAATACGTCTTTGACGTCGATCAAGAAGGCGCGGTGCTGTTATATACCGGATATTCGATGTAGGCTAGCTTCGCTTCTATGTTGGTGGGTGCTGAAGGTGTGATGAGTTGTCTTGGTTCGTCCTCTGCCTGATTCTCAGTTCCGTTCCAAGTTCTGGGTGCAGGTTTGTCCATCAAGGGCTTGGATAAATTTTCATTCCTGTCAGGGTATAGTTCATCAAGTAGAGACAACACTAAAGCTCTCGCGATGTTGTGGCACTCGTGGACAACAGTTCAGAGGTACTACTTGGGGCTGATACCGTGTCGACTACGATCAATCCTACATTCGACACTCGCTAGCCATTCGTTTGCAAAAATCAAGATAACTCAGCTCGCAATGGACTCTGGAAACCCTTTTGGTTACGCTAATGACCATGTTCCAGATCTTGGCTGACGCAATGCTACGAAGATTCTCGGCTCTGTTTACACGTTTGAGAATCTTTATTTACGCAATTCTGATAAAACGGCCATCCCCACGCCAGCTCACACTCAATAAGCGACTCCAACCCTTCCCCCCTGAACCAGATCTTGACAATCCTGAATCCTGCAGCCCCTTCCAGTGACTTGCCCTACTACTTCTCGGTCCTCTCCCTCGACGCAAAAACAGCCATCAAGACCAACAACATGCCGAGCGCCGCAACATGCCAAACCGCTCTCCCCCCCCCCTTGAAGTTGCGACGTTCTCGTTGATCAGGAGCCAGTTATACCCCGGCCTCATCGCAGCCTCAACGCGCGCGAGGATGATCTCGCAGACGTCGTCCGTCCGGTTATGCCGCACAGAGTGCAGGTAGTACGCCCTCGGGCCATTGAAGGGCTGCTCAGTGTGGAAATCATGCGGCATCAGCTCGATTTTGGGGTCGAGGTCCTGGACTTGGGTTTTTCCAGAGGACGTGCGGAAGGTCTTGGAGGATATGGTGACAAGGCGCGTCGGATTGCTTGCGGAAGAACTCGTCTAGATCATGGCCAATACCGCCTCCAACTTCGATGGTGGACGTCGCGACGGGGGAGGTGTCGGCGCTGTTGATGAGTCTGTCGGTCACTGGGTAGAAAATGGTGTCCATCCATATTCTCCCTACTGACCGTACACCTTCATGAATTGTTGGAATTTTCGCCGGCGGTGTACTTTGCCTTTGAGGTATGATGATAGCCGTCAGCATACCGATACTTCGACCGCTCAGCGAGCGTACTTTCGGCAGGCGCATGTTCGGGCCCAGTCTTAGCAGATGCGGCACACATACCGACGAGACTGGAGCTACGATCGGTCCTAGCAGGAGGGTAAAGTTGGAGATCGAGGCGCCGTCGCGCCCATGGGGGGCCAGGAGTAGAGCGTAAAGACGGTTTGATGAAGTCAGGCTGGATGAGACGGAAACAAAGGTCACCGTGGCGAGAAGCCGCGACAGCCAGGAGATGAAACTTAGTCAGGAATAATTCAGTGGAAACATCGTACGGACGGATACTTCCGGAGTGAGGAAAAAGGGAAAGGGTATTTGACAGGACAGGAAAAGCCAGCTCCTTGAATCGCCAGGTCTCCTCCTGAAGATAGTCGATCGTCTGAGCCAGCTCATTGAGGTTGAGCAGCATCTTAAGTTTTATTGATAGGAACACTAGGATGTACAAGCAGAGGAACAGCTCTCGCAATTGAGAGGCAATTCGTCCAGAAGTTCGGCAGCCTATGCTAATGTGGGGGATAGTGTTGTGCTTCTCATAAATATAACGCTGTTTTTGTAGGAAACATTATGTATAATGATAGTAATAGAGGCAATAAAAGATCGCTGTTGAATTAACAACGACAGAGACCCAAAAAGAACTTGAAGATAGAGAAACGGTCAGCCGGTCATCGTTCACCCAGCCACCACAAACTAACATGCCCACCCGCTTAGGATCCAGGAAAACAACAAGGATAAGCTCTGACAGTCCTGAGCCGAGTACCTTAGAGCATCATACAATTTACACCGTCCGCTCTGGTTCGTTCTAATAAGATTTTGATGAAGTAGAGACGGCTGTCAAAAGACATCTAGATGCACCGTATTGGTCCAGACCCTGAGAACATCCAGAGATGCCACCGGGAGCGATAGATCCAGCCTTCTCAAGAAAAGCCTTCCATCTAATATGTAGGATGGCGGCTAACAATAAACGCCTCTATTCATGACAAAAAGTAAAAGACTAGCTTTATACCACGACCTCAGCGCCTCTTCACCACTCATAGTGTCATCGTCACATCATTCTTCCCAATACGGACAGGGCAGTGTGAGGCAGTGTGTACCATCGGTTTTAGCCTTTGCAGAAGTAAGGCTGATAGGTTTGAAACCCGTTTATCAGCAACTCATGCTCGCAAGATGTCAGCTCAAACCACAAGTGGCCGCGTTGAACGACCTCACCAACAGGTGGTACGCCCATGCATCAGACGACTGCTCGCGGGGGGTTACTGAGGATGGGAGGCTTCAATTCATATTCGTCAGTCCGATCTAGTTTTTGAAAAACGCAGGAGCAAGCTCTCATCCGCGGGCAGCTCTTGCCTTCTTTGTGTTTCGCCTGTTGCCTCCTCGACCAAAAACACTCATACAAATTCCACTAAGCCTCAGCCTCGTGACGGGAGCAATATCAGAGTGCGTAAGTTGAGGAGAAAAGAGCCCACCGCCTGCTATTGAATGCCACGTAAATTCCATCAGAGCCACCATGACCGAATATCAAAGACCGCCATCTCAGCAAACTTGATTACCAAGACAAGGGCCTACATACCTTAATAGATATCACGAGGGTCTTGGTAATCCCATCGAGCAAAGAGATACGTCAAGACAGGCAGGTTTTTCGCAATGAGCCTTGTAGATATCATATACATACGCCTCGCAAATGGCGCACCTCTTACGGCTAAGTCAAGGCTGTGTGGCCCGCTCGTTCAGCCACCATTCTCAAAACCTCTTGACTCCTACGAGAACGAACCCAGAAAAAAGCAACATCAGACAAGGCTGAGACTCATTCCCATCTAGGCGGATATCATCTCGAGAGGGTAAAAAACCACTGATCCATACCCATCATACAAAATACCCTTCCTTAACCAAGAAAACACACCTCACAACCTCACAGCACAATTCAAACATCCCTCTCACATGCAAAACACCCAGGCGAGAAATCAAAGACACTTCACCCTCACTTCACACACTCAACCCACCCACAGACGGTTGAAAAAAAAAAAAAAAAAGCATCTGTGCGCTTCAAAGTCCCTGTTGAACCCCTTTCTCCTCACCTTCTATTCCCAGTCCCATCGTCATATCTATTTTCCGACGAGGACTTGCCCATAGCTTCATCAAGCTATTTCACGTCTGTCCTCCATTGCTCCAGGCACCATACCGCAACTCTGGGTCCTCGCCCCAGCCCGGTGCTTGATGAAGAACAGAGAGACACAGACAGACAGACAGATAGAAGACGACTCGGGCCGTCGTCACAGACATTAAACCTCCCGGCGTCAAGTCAAAGCCACAACAATTCAAATCCAACCGAACTCAAACCAACCCGACGACCAGGAAACACGACAGACCACCGCAAAGATGTCCCCGTCCAAAGGAAGGGCATATTCAACAAAGCGGGATTGCAGTAAAGCCAGTGACATAAAACAAGGGTTAAAAAGCTTATTATAGCTTCCCTCGTCCGTTCGTTCGCTCGCTCGCTCATCCTCAGGAGATGTGACATCACTTGGCTTGCTGCTCTGGTCTCTTGTCTCTTATCTCTCTTCCCGCCTCTCCTTTCTCCCATGTCCCCGACTCTCTTCTATTCAAAACTACTCTACGGGCTTTCGCTCCGTTTCAAAAGGGAGACGACGCGCCAAGTGCAAGAAACAAGGGGGCCTTCGCACTCAACAACACACATGCTCTTACCACTCAAACACCTGGGCCCGAATTTTGCCACAGCAAAAAACAAAGCGGTGGTTGAGCAGACAGTACCTACGTCAGTGTGGGAGATAGAACAGAGAGATCCTATAATAGATCTCCGGACTGTGCATTGCAGGATATCTGCTTCTGCCCCGTTCTACGGTAAGGCAGGGGAGCGGCCTGCACTCTGCGCTGCAAAGCAATGCCATGATCGAGGGAGGAAAAAAAAAAAGGTTCGAGCCAACGCTGATCTGACATGATCGAGACCACACTCGATGCTCGCGCCAATACGAAGCTTAGCATCGCAGACAGCTCGCCTGTCCGACCAGAGAATCCAGCCGAGAGACGCGGGACGACCACATACGACGCGGTCAATTGACTAGAATGTTCCCTTCCCGGCTCACAGGGATCGTGGGAAGACACACCCTCCTTCCACCCGTTAGTCATCCCCCGCCTCCTTGGGCTCGTCCGACCGCAGAAACGTGAGCGGACGTCAACCAGCCCAACGGCGCCATATGGCATGGTAAGGGTGGTGGGATGGAAGGCACAGGTGGGATGCTAACCAGTCATCGGGACATGGATGCAGTAGCCACAGGCCGCCAGGCCCAAGACCGCCCCGCCCAAGTTCCGACCCAGTCAACGCCAGACCACCGGCACCAACCAAAAAGCACGAGAGATGACACAACTAGGGGAACACTTCTCCGTCCAGCCCGCTCCGTTGTCCAGCATGCGTGAGCGTGTGTGCGTGTGTGCGTATTTGAGTGTGCAAGCAAAGATCACGCGCGTCAAGCTTGCCGGCGCTGACCACCGCAACCCAGGAGCCCATTAGCTGTAGCCTGGTTACCATCTCTCTCCTCTGGGGAAAGACACGCTTAGCCTGGTATTTGTCTGCGATTGCCGAGACTAGTATGTTCGTAAGGAGCAAAGTCGCGACAAGTGTCGGCTCTCGCAGGCTGGATGGGTGAACCGACGTAGTGTGTCCGCAGAGAGAATCAAAAGACGTTAGGCAGACATGTATGCTTAAGTCGCGCAGGCCCTCGTCACCGCTTGCATGGCCGCTGTTACCAGCAGGTCCCAATGAGGTTGCATGTACCATCTACCGCTATCCGGCCGAATCGCGAATCCAAGAGAGTCATAGATGCGGTACGGCCTTGTCGGTACGCCACGCGCATATCCGTTTTGCGTTTGGCGCAATGTGTAAAAATCGAAGCGTGGCTTGGCAACCTACAAAGCAGCTCTGCCTTCCTTTTTCGAAGGTAGGCAAATGTAGGATGGACGATGCTCAAGTTCACGGTGGCTTGCAATGGCTCTCGGAGCAGGTTGTCAGATCACCGACTGGTCAACGGCGGCCCGTCCGGATACGCTGGGAGTCACAACTCCCAAATTTGCCCACCCTGATAACAATGCAGAATCGAGTAGTGCGTGCCCCGGAGACAGCAGACAATCACCCTATGGAACATGCGCCTCGTCTCGAACGGGTGGGTGGTATGTGCTTGAGTGGCAAGGGCAGGCGGGCGGATCAACATGACGGTGATGACGCCTGGGTGTTCGCGTTTGGGCAGGGTGTGAGGTGAAGGATCGCAGGGCGCGGGATGAAGACGGAGCGGGTCCACGGCCGAGCTGCCTGCGGCGCAGAGGCATGAGAATAATTCCGGTGGTGAACGGGCGCGACATTGTTCGGACGCTCGTCAAGTTATCCGCAAGAATGGCTTGCGCTTCTCCATGCACTTGGCTGAGGAGGAGGGATGATGCTCACATAGATCCAAATTCCCAGCCGGTCGCATCCTGCCCTTTCCAAAATGGACACCAGGAGCAAGGGGTTTCTCCGGCCATCACTGCCACTTTCTTCCGCTCGAGGCAAGGCACTAGGTAGTACTGCAAGCACTCTAGCAAGCGCGTCTTCGCTAGGCTCGGAGACAATGCTTGAGGCCAAGTAGTCATCAGCGGCGGGGCTGTATTCGGCTGGTAAGGTCGCTCCGGCGGCCGACATGACACGCTCAAAGAGACTTGTCGTGAACGTTTCTCGTGTACGGATAGGTCTTGGTACATGTACTACAGGCAGGCCGTGGTTGGGTGAAATAAAGCAGATCCAACTCCAAAAACAAACGCCGGCTTACTAGTCGGGAGGGGGGGAGGAGGGGCATTTGGGGGTCACGCAGCCAGCCCGCCGAAGTAGATGACGGCGGGCGTAGAACTAGACCAAACGTGCATCTTCTAGCACGTTGTCGGTTGACTCTTGGAAGCCTTGGCTGACCCTCCCTTGCCTGCTCTTGATCGTTGCGCCTCCCTGCTCCTCTCACTGTGACTGTGTACGTGTGCTTGTGTGTGGGTGGGTAGGGAGGAGGACGAGCCGATTTGATTTGGGAGATGTCTTTGACGGCGGATAGGGGCGGCCATCGGTCACGGGTTGAGTGTGGCGACTAACACTACGTCAAGAGGGTTGCACCAACACATCGATGAGTGTGATGGGGGGGGGGTAGTGATGCGTTCCTGTTGAACGTCTAGTGGTCCCGAATGAGAGTGCTTGTGCGGAGCAAAGCCAGGCGGCTTGGGGCCGATAGTTCCTCCCGGACCCGTCCATGACATGCCATATGCCTCATGGCCATATGTTTGGTTCCTCCGTCCTAGGCGCCGTCGCGGTGTCGTCCATCGTGGAATCGCTTGCAGATTGGCCACAGTGAATCAACGTGACCCTGCAACGCTGGCGGCTTCACAGAATCGCGGCATTTTTCTCAAACATCTCCACTTAGACAGCGCTGCCCGCCGTCCGCTCCACCGGTTCCAGATACCCGGCCAGTCAACGGTCGCCAATCGTCGCCGACAAGGCATTTATAAGCAGTCGGCCTTGACTTCGACGCAAAGAGCTGTGATGTTCTGCGACAGGGGAGAGAGGCTGGTAGTCCAAAGGGGCGTCGAAGTTTGAATATGGCACCCCAAAAAGTCCCGTAGTTCCAAGTTCGTCTGCGGGGTTGTGAGGAGAAGGTTACAAGTCGTTTGACCATCGGTCCGGTTGAGCGGTTTATTTGCGACTTTCCATTCGGGTCACGATGTATCACGATGTTCGAACTCTCGTTGCCATCTGCATTCTGTTCTATGGCAGAGCGTTCATTCCCACGGCCGAGGCGCACGATGGATACATATCTTTTGCCACACAGATGCGTCTGTACCGCCGCCGATGCCTGCGGCAAGATGTTCAAAGTTTGGTGAGGCACGGAAACTTGGACCAGACTATGCATGACGAGGCAGGCGGCAAAGCTTCACCTAGCTTCAATGAGGTGTTGAAAACGCGATACCCGTCGGAATCCAACAATACAACGGCATCCCCACACCACCTGGAGCTGGTAATGATGCGGATGCCTATTACATGGCAAGACATGTTGGCGTTAGTAAATGGGCTCTGGCTAATAGGGAGCACTCGTGAGAGGTCCCGAGGATAGGTGTGTCCGGCGACGCGGGACCCTCGGCGTCGGGTGCCAGGTAGCCGTGCGTCGTATGCAGAGTTGCCCACGCCAGGCCTGCCCGTCCGTACACTCGTGACTTTGGAGGGCTGGGCGGCTGGGGATGCACACGAGACTCGGGCGAACCAGTCAGTGATATTGGTGCTAGCCAATATGGAAGCAAAATGGCGACGTTCCGAGAGAGACTTGAAGACAGCGAAATTGAAGACTTCTACTGTAGGATCCTGGAGGAGGGCGAGAGCGCGGGCAATGGCAGCCATCGGAGGATTGGAGACTCCATGATCAAGTAGACATTGTGTCCTGCAGACAAGGTCATTGGCTGCACCCAAATCCGCTGCGCACATCAGGCCTTTCCTCGGCGTCCTTTGAGTAGATCAGGTCGAGAAGGGATAGACGTCAGAAGATCGCTCCTTGACCACGCCGAGTTGAACCGTGGTCAGCCCACAGAGTCCGAAAATTGCAACGATGGCCCAGAGCCTTGCCTTGAACCCTGAAAAATTCTCGTCGACGTGCATTTAGCATCGACTAGCGGAAAGTCTGGACAAGTTTGACAATGACAACTGCCCGAACGGCCGTCCCTGATTCAAGTTGGCCAAATCCTGACGATCTGGAGACTTTGATGCTGTTGAGCATTGGGTGGGGGACTGCCTGTGGACATCTCCGCGTCCCGGTGCCATCGGCAACTGCGGTTGCCTTGTCCTTGGTTTGCGATAATATTGTAACCATAGATTAGGAGTCTTCATCGTCTGTACGTGGTATCGCAACGGGTCCTGACCGCGACGGGCATCTGATCGGATTGGAGCTCTCGCCATGTCCCGCCCGGGTTCCCCTCGAAGTTAGTTGCGGTGAAGATGCCCAAAAGCCCCAATCTGCAGGTAATCCCATAGTGGCTGGCTTTGACCCTCTAAAGAAAAGAGGGGAATCTTTGAGGACCCAGGTCAGGACTGCGAAAAAGTCCCAGGGGAAAAAAAAAAAAAAAGAGGTCGAATCGATAGCTTTTCGGCTGGCCCAGGTCGAGCACCCACATAACGGGGCCCTCGTGCCCTGCCACCCGCTAGTGAAGAGACGGATGGTGGAGTTGGACCCTTGAACAGGCACTCCAGGCACGACGAGTTTGGAGAGACAGGCCACTTTAGCCTCTGCGTGTTCTTTGCGTCTGTGGGCCGTTGAGAAATCTCGGCGCGGTTTGTTGGTAGGTATTGGTGTGATGAAATTCCACCCGATCCTCGGGCCTGGAACCCAGTGACTACAGATGACGACTGCTGGACGAGACTGGTTCCCCGACACACTAAGCAGTAGTGCCTTTCTTTCAGCCAGATGACCTTTCATAGCGTATGAGTTGTCAAATCTTCCATCTCTATGGTATACCTGGGGTGACCGGCTGTCATTCCGCACGAGACTCGTTTTTCAGGGTCCAAAGCAAAACCCCCAGCATCCCATAGCGTTGTCGTCAATTTGTCGGCGCGGTTGAAACCCCGAGATATTCATAGACCAGGCGGCGGTGCATTTGCAAGGGGAGCACTAATTAGGCCTCAATGAAGACCAGGCCAGGAGAACCAGCCTGGCACGCCTGGCAAACCTGGATTGTTGGCGCGCTTGTGGAGTCTTAGCACCACGGCGGCCGGCCTCAGTCCATCGACGGAAAGACCGCAAATTCTCTCCGTAAAGTGAGTTGCAGCAGTGGACACTGCCGGTTCAATGAGAGACTCAGCTGGGTAAGTCGGCCAACCTACCAGCGACTTAGAAGGGCTGTTGAGATCGCCAGGCGCCTTCCCCTCGTAAAAGTGTCTCCGTCAGGTGGCTGAGCCTTGGAATTTCTCGTTGTATCACGTCCTGCATATTGACGGGGTCTGGAGATTCTTTGCCAGAACGCTCGCCAGGGTTGCGGCGGTCCACGCGTGTGTTTAACACGAGGCACCGCCCAAGGCAGTAGACCCCCTGTCCAAAGGGGTACCCGCTAAGCCGAAAGAACCACGATGAAAAAGAGGATGCACTGTGTCTCTGGTGAGATACACCCCAGGTGTGCCACTACTTCAGCCGGGTCTACCGGTGTTGAGCTGGTGACAATGAAGGCGTCTGATAGGCTGATTGAATGAGCGGCTTCACACCGAGTCTCAAAAGATGGCCAACATTTTGCTTCTTGAGCAGTGGGTCAGCTTCACCCTTACTCGCGATGAAAATGGGATAGTGGGAATCCATTCGAACCTCCAAGTTCTCATTCTTTGTATCCGAAGCGGCAGGAAAGGCTGGCAGCGAGAAGAACCACTCTGAAGGATGATGTAAGCGGTACCTCCAGTATTGAGAAGACGAAAAAGCTTCTGTAACGTTGAAGGTGGCTCGTCATCGGCCTACATCGCCCTCCAACAACGTTTGAAAACCCTGTAATCTATTGCCGTGACGCAGCTGAGTAAGGCACAGCATCTCAAGGCCTTGTTTCCTCATCTCCGCCTTGTGAGAGCTGTTCATACGCAGGGCTGGAATTTCGTGGACGTTGAAGCGCATGGTTGGTCATGCAGACCGCCTGGGAGGTTGCGAGGTCGTCCAATCAGAGGGCCAAGATTTGAATTCTCCAAGCCATGGAGCCTGCTCATATCCGGGGAATTGGCATTTGTCTCCAGCGGCAACCAGGCGCAGGGCTGGGAGGGTTTCTCATTTCCAAGCCGATGCCTCGCTGCCTGGCCGGGTTGGGATCGAGAGGTTCTGGCTTCTGTGGGAGGTAGTGATGCCGATCCATGCAATATAGAATACAGGTCTCACCTGCGAGCACGGCGAGCGATTGACGTGCTGGCGATGCGATGCTGTCGACCGGATCCCCGAGCGAGACCAGAGCACGTGATTCGATAATGTTGTCAACGACCAACAACTGGGAAATTTGAACGGTTTGTCAACTGCAAGGCAACGATAACCCTGAGCGTAAGCCCGGATCTCACTTGAGTGGATTTCTAGATTCTTGGTTCCTGGTAGTACCCGTACTGCGATGGCACGGATGACCCAGCCTTCCTGACCCCTGGATAGATTGAGTGGCGAGGGCCTGGCATGGGTTGAGAGCACTGAGCACGTCGCAGCTCCTCCCGAACCATGACAGCGAAAGCTCATCATGGTCTCTGCATGGCGAGCTCTTCCTCAAGGTTACAATACGCCTGGCGAAGGAGAAGGTTTCCCTGAGCAGCTTCAGGAAAAGGGATGCGAATATTGTCTTGTGACACGATTGGAGTAAGAAGCAAAGGACAAAGGCTCAAGGGATCCATCCAGACACCCGCGGTTGGGTATCGAGCTGGCAGGCCGAGACCAATACTCTGTAGAAGGCATGGTGCATGCGAAAGCGAAGCTCCAATGATAGTTGGTCAGCCTGGCTTTGGGTGTTTGAAATGCTGTGGCAGGAGGAAATACAGCTCCCTGCCGGAGGTGAGCCGTGAACCGTGAGGGCAAAGCACTGGCACGGCGTGTATCAAGGTCGAGCGGCAACAGCAACGCGCTTGGCAATGTTTGGATGGTGTGTGAACGGCGTGGGAGGGTCATCAGCCGGACACACAGCTGGCCGTTCATACTTCAGAGTGTTGCTTCGTGTGACAAAGTGTGTCGTACCGGGCCATTTGCGCGCGTGTGAAATTGTTTCCTGTGTGCCATTTACGTTTGGCCGGTGGACCGTTTTCTGCTGCTGAATCACCCTCGGGGTGGTGCTAATAGATGCCAGAATCGAATGGAGAGACACCTGGGCACTGTATCTGGGACGGTGCATCGGAGAGTGGAGCATGCGGTATTTCTCTTCCTCCGCTGCAATTTCATGCAACTTCCAAGAATATGCAGATGCAATACGGATACGTATGCTCCTCATGTTTCCATTGCATTACAGCTTTTTGCTGGGCCTTGCTGCTGCGGGAGCTGTTTTGTTAATGTCAAAATTGAAAATGCCGCGTTTGGCTAGCAGGCAGCTGTGGCGAGCCACCCTACTCAAGGTTGATGAGCTGCAGGAATGCATCTTGGTGGGATGAGATTGGGAATACATTTCCAATGTTTTGGTACATGGTTACCATCCGCCCAGCCAGAAGAGGTTTAGCAACGGACTGCCACGTTTGCCAGAAATGTTAATTAGGGTAGCGGGACGGGGAATGCTCACACACGAAATCACGAGGCTGCCTCGTCTTGATGAAGCAAAATGGAGACCAATGACTGCCCGCCGGACTGTCGCACCCCCTTAGCGCTTGTTGCGGCTTAGGTAAGGCATTCCTGGCATCGTGGACGGGGCTTTGGCGACGGCAATAATTTGGTGATGGCAGTGGTGCCGGAGGCCATGCTCCCGAGGCAAAGGAGAGACTCGAGAAGTGGTCATACCAGACCTTGCTTCGCTCACCGGTCGTAGTTCCAACGTGTCGAGATCAGCGCCGATCCCATCCATGACATCCTGGGCCGGGCAAAGAGACTCACAGCAATGGGCCCAAGGTGAGGCAAGTGCGAGGCACAAAGAGCGAGACCTCTCAACGCCTCATCACGGCCAATATCCGCCAGGCACTGGTGATTCAATGCGTTAGTGGTCGGTATGGTGACGGTGAGTGGGTGCCCACTGGGTGCATGCCGTCGTCATAGTCTGGGAGTCTGGTAACTCTGGATCTCTGGCTGACCGGACCGGGGGGATTTGGCTGGGGAAGACAGGCTCAGACTCTGAGGATGAGAGACTGCCATTGGGCGACCATGCCGCACCGCCGCAGAGATCACCCAGCAGATCGGACGATGGGCACAGTCCACCGACTCAGACTGGCCCTTGCCCTTTGCAGTCGGGATTGCAGGCCAAGGGCGATAGGCTCTGGACTCCCATTCGCCGAGCCCCGAATTCATCAGAGGCCACTGCCTGGGGGCACGAAACGGAGAGTCAACGGCAGAGACGCAGAGGGCAGAGAGTGCCTGGTGTCACTGCGCTGCTTGTGTGCCCTTGGTGCGTGTGGATGGCCGCGAGACCAAACACCTTGTTGCTGGCCGAAGTTTACGTAGTAGTCTGTGGAAGACGAGGACCGGGGCGATGCAGACGCCAGCGGCCAAACGGGGGCGCGGGAGTCGTCAGACCCAGACCCATACCCAGGTCCAGACACTCTCAGAGGTGCCGGGTGCTGCGAGCCTGCGACCCAGGCGGTCAGCGGTCAAGCCAAAAAGATGATGCTTGTCAGTGCTGGTGTAGGGGGAAAAGGTACCTGGCAGGTTGCCTCGGTGCTTGGAGTTGTGTGAGTTGATACGAGTACCTGCTATAGCCGCGACATCCCAGCCTCCCTGACCCGTATGCAAGGTACAGGCGACTGACATAAATTGCACAAGGCTAGCCTAATACTCTGCAGTACATCTAGAAGCCTCGGGAGACTGACTGGCTTGACTGGGTCATCCCATTCTCGAGGAACGCTAGAGCCGGACCGCCATTATCGACCTTTTTTTTTTTTTTGTTTTTCCTTGCACGCCGAATGACCACCTCGCTTTTGTTTCTATGGGACACCCGGGGTGTGGGCATTGTGTTGGTTGCTCGATCCGCATGGTTATGGGAAGGGAGACTCGGGATGATTCAAGATGTGTGGATGCGTATTCGTAGACAACGTCGTCGCCAGGGCAAGTCGGTTGGTCGTCAGGTGCACAGTAGACCAGACGCAGACTATTGAATTACTGCGGTTGTTGCTGCCCACGAGTCGGACGGCGGATGACTGGGGAGATGGAACAGACGTTGAGGGTATTGTGAGCTGTCATTGTTTCCTGGTGAATGAAGTCTGTCAAGTCAGTCAGCTTTGCTTTTCCTCCTTGTCGCCGGTTCCCTCAGTTGCATGTCATGCACTTGACTTGCAGCAAGCACTCTCCGGGTTTTGGTTGCTGCCACGATGTATTCGTGGACGACGAGACGATTGATTACCCTGTAAATGGCTTGCAAGAAGGCAGCACAGTGTACCTCGTGTTCATCGTCAACGTTGGCCTCACGTCTTTCTGTACCTGTCTCTCCGGTGCATCGCCGGCTTGGCCATGTTCTTTTCTGAGGAGAGATTTGGGCTGCTCTGTATCGTGGATGCGCTTTAGTGTGAGTTTTACTCGACAGACACCACCACTTTTGGACAGTTGGAATTGCACCCCTGGACATTGCCTCAGACCCCATACAGCGCGCTTTGATTGGAGGAAGGGGCCAGTCAGGCCTGGCTGGGAAGGTCGAGTTTGAAGGAGCGCCTGCACAGCAGCCAGCCACCCAGCAGCGAGCCGTAGGTAGCAGCAGCAACGACGAGGACAGCAGGAGCAGGAGCAGTAGCAGGAGTAGGAGTAGGAGCAGGGCCAGACACCGGCCAGCGCTCTTGCAGCGCCAGGAGTCAAGTGCAGGGCAGGTGCGGTACTCAATGATGCAGATGTGGCCCAACCCCTGCCTCATCTCTCCCGTGCTGCCCGTTCTTCCCGTGCCCTCCTGTCTTTTGCTTTCTGCGCTGCCTCGACTGATTCTCCTCCCTGCCCTTTTTGCCGCCTCCTACTCTCTCCCGCGCCTGCCTCTTTTTTTTTTTTTTTTTTTTTTTTTTTTTTTTTTCTTCTTTTTTTTTTTTTTTTTTTTTTTTTTTTTCTTTATATAATATCTTTTTTTTTTTTTTTTTTTTTTTTTTTTTTTTTTTTTTTTTTTTTTTTTTTTTTATTTTTTTTTTTTTTTTTTTTTTTTTTTTATTTTTTTTTTATTTTTTTTTTTT